TGTTCTTGCTGTTGTTCTTGCTGTTGTTCTTGCTGTTGTTGATGAGGCGTCTTAGGGGTCCTTTAGTGTTTGCACTAAGGGCGCCTTAGAGGTCTGTTAGTGTTTACATTAAAGGCGCCCTAAGGGTCCTTTAGTGTTCACACTAAAGGGGAGGGGAGTCCTTTAGCATTCACATTAAAGGCGCCTTAGGGGTCCTTTAGTGTTCACATTAAAGGCGAAGAGTGTTCGGGGATTTTTAATAGTATTTAAATAGAGCATTTATAAGCCACCAGTCGGCTCCGCCACAATATGCCAGTGCCTTTTGTACTCTATTTCTATTGAATATTTAATAACCCATTTTATTTCTTTGCACTCATTGGATGAAGATTAGATTCATAATCAAAATATTTGTAGGTAAGGCTAATGGCGCAGAGGCAGACGGCAATCCCCCGGCCCCGCCTTCTCCACCACCACCAGCACCAAAACCAGCGCAGAGTGCTTTTTTCGACATATCGTTGCAGCCAACTACAATTTATGGCGCTGATGTCTGTGGGATCGCATAGAATCTGTCTACTTATTAGATGAAGGTAGCGGCTGCGTCTCCGTCTGCGGCATTTGATCTAATACTTGAATTAAATGCGGTTAACTCCTTCATTATCTCGCTTCATACAATTTTGGGAGCCGTGCTGTTGGGTTTATTATACGAGGAACTGGCTACTCTCCAGGGACAAGCACCAACTTTACTCTACCTGAATCGGCAGTGTTACTTTCCCTTTCATCAAGCTCGTGATAAACTTTCACAGACAACCACGGGAGCAGTTGTGAATAAACATTCACAAGAACAAAAATTAGTTGTCACTTGATACACTTGTTCAAGCACTGCTCTTTCCGGTTCAAAGCGTTTTTACGCTCTAATGGAAGACTTTAGAATTAGATCTTCGAGCTATTCTTACTTTTATTTCCAGTACTTTTGCGATTGAATCTACCGCCTGACACAGAGACAGATGCGTGATAGATAGGTAGCTAGATAGGTACTTAGGTAGATGGTAGCTAGAATTGAAGATCTCCTCAGGGTATGATAGATGGATACTAATGCTCTTCCCCCGCTCCTACATAGAGCAGAAAATTGAAATACCATTTCTACATCATCAACGGCGTATTCCATATGAGAGGCACAGGTCTAATTTCCTTTGCTTGACCAGAAGAGACAAGCGGTAAATACGTCTTGGAGCGGGATGTGGATTTTCGCACAGGATTTAGGCAGCAGCAAGTCCTCTGAACCTTAGGGCTTGCTTCATGCCTGTGTAATTACTTATACATAGTTGCAAACCTTCTTTTAAAATACTTCACGAACTGCACGAACAGGGCAGCTAGTAGCTGATGTGGATATATTAGACCCTCTACTGCATTTACAAGTCGTCCGACAACTCCGAAATGTAATATTAACCAGCTCAGCTGTTCCTTAATGGATCAGGATCTTCTGCGCAAGAAGCGTCCTGATTTCACGAGGTACTAGAGGATCCTCTAACAGCCGTGGAGTCTCGCTTCCCAGGCAACTCACCAGTCATCGAGCTTTGTTGCAACAGGAGCATCAGGTAGCACACAACGAGATTCCGAATCCGCCCAAGAACCGACTCCGCATGCGGCAGTTCGTGACAATAGACATTATGTCCTCGTTTGCAAAACGACGTGATAGAAAGGTAGATAGATAGATGCAAACGACGTGATAGAAAGGTAGATAGATAGGAAGGCACTTAGATAGATTATAGATAGATAGATAGATACGCATGGAACGTATGGAGCAGCTGCTCCCATGCAGCTCCATTCGATCCATGCACTCCATGCCATGCGAGCTGCCAGACCTTATAAATTATTCTGATAGATAGATAGGCAGATAGATAGATAGATAGATGGATAGATAGATAGATAGATAGATAGATAGATAGATAGATAGATGGATAGATCCACATTGCTGCCGGCAGGAGGTGATCGTGATAAATGTATGTAAGTAAGGATCCTAAAAGTGATAGATGTATGATCCTGGACAACATTGTAAGCAAGGGCGCGAAATTTTAAATAATGCCACTAAGTAGATCATCATGTATTTCATTTTGAATTTGAACTCATGGGAAATCTTAGGCAGAGTGCCGACGAGTAGAATCAAGTCATCAAATTTGACCTCATGACTTTCTAGTAGAAAAATGTGATATAGTACAATCGGAAGGCCTACAGACCGGTGGCGCAGCTATGACGAAAGGACAAGAAATGTTCGTTAAAACCGAGTCATTTACATTTCTTTGATGATAAGATGAAGATGGTTTCGATGAACATGTTCAGTATCAGAACTTACCTCTACCGGTTCCCCATCCATTAAGTAAATGTTCCGGACGCGTAGATACTAGGACAACAAAAACAACGGTACCAGCATCAGGGATACACATATGACAAAATAACTTTAGCCTGCCTTAGGTAGCAGGGGATTTTTCTACTAGTTCGGCTTCAGTCTAGAGTCTCATCATCATCATCCTATTAACTCCAGCCTGGTACCTATCACGGCTTAAGCATAGTATTTACCGGACGTCGGCACAAGCTGGATCTGTAGAAGGTAAGGCAAATCCTGTCCTAGCCTTCTGTAGGAGGTAAGACAATGTCATTATCTAAGGGTCAGACGACGACGAAGATTCCGGTGAAGACGAGGAGGAAGATGAACAAGGCGATGAAAGTGCAGGAACAGGGAAGAGGAGAGAGATGAAGGCCGCGGAACAGGGCAAAGGTAGTGGAGAAGAACAAAGCAGAGGCGCTGGAGGGGAGGAGGAAGAAGAAGAAGAAGAGGGTGAAGAAGAAGAAGAGGGTGAAGAACAAGATGAAGAAGGCGGGAAACAAGGTGGAAATGAAGGTCAAGATCAAGCAGACGCAATATGGCTCCTTGGAAAGTTACACCCTAGTCTAGAAATTACAATTAGAAAAAAAGTAGTACTAAGAGCGCGAATTTTGGTTGAACCCGACACAAAAGGCAGAGAGATTGCCTTAGACATTATATATAAGAACAGCAATATTTTAAGTAGTATATAGTAAAAGATATTATACGAAGAACAATATTTAAGTATTATAAGAAGAACAATATTTTTAGTATTTGACGCGCTGATCCGCCATCACAACCACTCACGTCGACTTGGTGCTGGTCTTTTCAAGCTAAAAGTAGAGGTAAATGGTTGAACACGTTACACGTAGCCCATGCTTTTTGTTTTCTTTTGCTTGTTAGTATCCTCAGGCATACATCCTCAGAAAACTATAGTACGATCTCAATTTATCTCTCTGGATGATTGAGTTCTCGCACCGGTTATATTTTATGTACGTATTCATCATGAACTACTTACCTAGAGAGCGAAGATTTTATTCTTGTTGCAGAGACGGATTTAATCTTGAGGCAGAATTGCCTTTTATTTTCTTAGGGAATGAATGCAACGCTAACGCAAGGAAAACCCCTTTCTTAGGCAGCTTTTTTCTAATCTAACCTTTACCTTCGTGGTTACGCAAGAGTGAATGCTAGTACAACACGACCATCCTTCAGATTAGGTAGCTCTCTAAATTGAGGCGCGGCCGCGGGAGAAAAGGCTGCCCCGAAACCAGTAGAACCGCCACAGGATCCAGGACAAGAAAGTACTTTAGGATATGAGTCATTTTTTAGATCATTAGCGGGACCGGTACGTAAAAACTACGTGAACGTGGTCAAGCAAATGAAAATGAAAATGAAAATCCTAGGCACGCTACTGTCGCACTTTTTGGCTTTTGAATGGCCTCGAACGCTCACCCCCTCATAGGTGAGCCAACTATCGTCCTATCTATTTTTTTGATAGCTTCAAACCATGATCAGGTCCTCGAAATAATCCCGATGACAAACCATCTTCAGGTCCTCAAAATAAACCCGATGCAGCTACAGACCAGAAGAAAGAGGCCGCACCAGATGAGGGAGACGAAACAAATAAAAATGCCTCAAAACACTCAAGTACTCCTTAACACTATCTCACTCGTCTTGGATGAAGATGCTTGAGTGAGTGTTCAAATTCTTGCTTCTACTAGATGCACTTGTAGACCACTACAGGTGCTTTAAATTAATTTCGAAGATGTCTCTCTAGATGCTTTATTATGCTTATTTCCAAACTACTATGTATGAATGTACAAGTGCATGTCCGTGCCGCCTGCCGCTTGATGGGTGGACCCCTACCCAATCTAACCTACAATGTAGAAAACTTCAGACTTCTCTTTCAAACTAACAACTATGCATACCTACTAGGTATTACACAATCGATTCTCTTTTACGCCTCGTGAATGGGCACACTACTTCCTCCTTCTTTCAGAAATGAAAGCAGAATATAATTATATATGTTCCAGGGCGCGGGGCGACGGCCCCCCCCGGGGGGGCCGGGCGCCCTGGACCCCTTTTTGAGGCCTCTGCCGGGGGGGAAGGCCTCAAAAGGCCCCCCCCAACTCACCCTGTCCCCTTCCAGGTGCTTGGGGTCCCCTAGAGGCCTCGGACGTAGGTGGAAGGCCTCAGGAGGGCCTCAAGGGGGGCCGCCTCCGCTTCCTCCCAGCTGCTTGGCTGTCCCGCAGAGGCCTCCGACGTAGGTGGAAGGCCTCAAGGGGGGCCAAGGGGCTCGCTGCCTCCTTCTCGTTTGCATGTACCCTACAGACTTGAGGGGTTAGATGGCAGCAGTGCACCGGCAGCGGAAGGCCTCCGAAGACGGCAAAAAGCGAAGGGCTGGACCCCCTGAGCCGTGCCGCTTGGACCCTCCGGGCCCTTGGTCATCGGCTTGCCTGCGACCGTGGCCCTTAGGAACACGCTGAGAGGCCCAAGGAGAGGAAGGCGCCAAGTTTTGAGGCCTTCCACCACTAGAATCCGCGAAAAATCCGCGCGGAAAAGCGCGCGGGCGCGCCACCACAGACCAGACCACAGGGGGGGGGCCGTTCGGCCCTGCGTCATATATAACCTTCTCGCCTTACACCTGATCCGACTGCTCTGGGTATATCATCCTTCAAAAATAAATGTTCAGCCTTCTACTTCATGTTCATGCTGACGATCACGTTTTACTCTGTTATGGCATAGTAATAAGACTCCTAGACAACCACAAGCCATGTTGACACTCTGACTCTATTATCTTGGTCTCTCATCTGACCTTTCATATATTCGAAGACATTGACATTACTTTTTGTCTAGTCCTAGAGCTTTGTTTTTAATAGTAGTTCAACTTCTTGCAGCAGGGATAGACTAGTTCCTAACTAGTCGCCGCCTAGTCCTGTCGTCATTATTTTTTGTGGTTGACAAGCGTTCCGGAAAATGATCACCTGTAGAAGTTCCTGCATGACCATGAGTACGTATGCCGTCTGCCTAGAACAAGTATGAACCTTCATATTTTATTGTAAAGACTTCTCTGTTCGCTTCTCTTCTCCGTTGGTTATCTCTCTGTTCTCTCTGGCACTTATCTCACGCTTAGCCCGTTATTGTCTTCTGTCTAATTTTATCGCTGGGGTTCACGCGATATTCATGTGGGCGCCTCGCACGCTAATTGAGGAGGATCCCCAGGCTTAGGGCTCTCTTGAATTATCTCTCAAAGCACTTCCACTTAAGTAAAAACAAACTTGTTAAGGTTGTTTTGAAGAAGTATATTGCTTTGCCTTGATTAATGATCAAAGCACTTAAGTAAAAAAGTTATCAAAGCACGTAAGCTGCGGTTACTTAGTTCTTCCCTCGTACTAATTATAAACCTTAGTTACAAGAACCAAGGAAGCGGGTGAATGAATTAGAATTCCCTTCATGATCTATCAATAGGCTGCTCCGTCATAATTGCTTTTCCTCAAGAACACGGTGTCGTGGCCGTGAGTAGTTGCAAGGAACTGAGGCTGAGCTTAGAAAAAGAAGTAGTAGCAACTAGCGAGACGCACACAAGGGAAAGGAAGACCCTAAAAGATCTTCTTTCGCACACGTGTGGGCACGACTACTGTGACACGGAAAGCACTAGCCCACTTCTCGAGGGCAGCCGGGGTCGCCACTGATATTTATAAGTACTTGAATGAGACTGATACTGAACCTGAAGATCAAGGGCAAACTATAACTAAGAGGTCAATACAACTTCTAAACTATGGCGGCGAAACTGAAATCGCAGGTAGGTGGAGGAGAGGAAAAAGGTGGAGTACGTAAAATTACGGAACAAAATGACCAACGAAGTTAGCACTCTAGATTTTTTGGTTAGCCTGTGGAAGGTACCTGTGGAAGGTGAGTTAATTGTTCCTATCCTATCCTAATTAACAGTCCTAGTTTGTTCGTAGTACCAAAGTAACTAGTAGATGATGACTAGATATAGATTCGCTTACCCTGTAGTGGAAGGTGAATCAATGCCTATCTTACCCTAATCGAAAAGTCGTACTAGTAGATGTAGTTGTGAAGATATCCGTTCTAATTTTCGCGCTCTGGATGTAGTGATGCTTTCTCGGCAGTTCGTCGAAGGTGAGGCGACGGGACCAATTGTCGAGACGGGCATTGAAGGAGAAGGAGAAGGGCACGAGACCGACTCGTTGATGGAAACCGACTCTGCACCTTCGTCCGCCTCAAATTCCCCTCAAGATTTAGGCTTCATGAACCGATATTTTTGTAAACGATTCGATATTTGTGTTTTTGAAGTGTTGAAGACTTTGTTCGAATTTGAAGATTGCATTTTCAGGCACTAGTAGGACTTGTAATTGTAAAACCGACTGTGAAGAGCCTTGTCCTGAGTACAGCACCTACAAGTGATGATTGAAGCTTGTGATCTTAGTAGTCACTCGATGACGTGAGATTTGCAGTTGTAATTTTTGCCTTTCTAAGAGTCGACGGCGCAGATGAAAACGACAACGCAAACACAGCTTCGAACGCCAGACGAAGGCGCGGTCAGGCGATGTTATGATGACATTTTCATTTTGTATATAGGAAAGAAGCACTGTAAGTAAAGCAGCCGGTTAGTTTTCACCTCTACTAAAATTCTAAGTTTATCCCGTGCAACAATATATAGGAAAGAAGGTGTAACAAGCATGCCTGAGTCATGAAGCATGTATGCCTATGCTGGGTCGTAGTTTGTTTCCTCGTAGACAGATAATACTTTTATGTTGGGATGATCCCAACATAAAAGTATTATCACTCTACGATCAGTCAACATAAAAGTATTATCCGATCAGTCACGTTCGCCAACATAATATGTAGGGTTCTTAGAAGCACTTCACCAACCTACATTCATTTCCTCGTGCAGAGGTACGAGCAGAAATTGCGAAAATGTCTGAAGAGGCGCACCGCTTGGAGGAAGATCAAGCGATTGAGCGCATGAATGAGGCATTGCGATCGCGCCACGACGACGATCTGGATGACACCGCGCCACTGCTACAACCAAAGAAGAAAATTATGGAACCGCACCAGGGTATAAGATGACGGCACACTACTCACATCTTCAACATAGTACAACGTAGAAGATGATGGCGGGTATAACATGGGGAGGACGACACTAGAGTCGTAGTATCTTAAGTAATCGTTTTTACATCACTGTCATCTATGATTATAGGTAAGTAGTCGTCCATCTAGCTGTCACGTGATGTAGAAACGATTAAGCTGTGACGAGCACGTGATGTAATCGATAGATAATAAATAGATCGTCATCACAGGGTGTGGTAGCTTAATCGCTTTTACATCACTTTCATCTACAATTGTCGTCGTTAGAAGCTAATACCACCCGCACCTCGTCTGTCATCGTTGAATGCTTTTCATATAGATATATTAGATGAAACTAACGAGTAGTTATATCGGCTTGTTTATTAATATTTGCATTCATGAACAATCGGTGCCGCGTATACAAGAAAGTCGATGGACGCTTCGTCGAAGTCGATCAAGCATGAGGGTGTCGTATGTTCGAGCCTTCGTTGTGCATTCGAGTGGGACACCGGTGGAGTCGATGAGGTTTCAGCAGAGAGTGTACATCAACGAACTCATCTTCTGTACAAAAATATCAAGGTTTTTACTCACTAAAATAGAAGTTGAAGTTGTACTACAACAAGACCGTCAACAAGAACAAGGAATTTGAGTGGTTTCTTGCCTCTACTTCAACATCTTCACAATCATAGCCACAGTGATTCCGCATGTTGTAAAGCGCACGAGTTGGTGCTGCCTTTTCATCACTAAAAGGGTTACAACAAGAACACTTCTTCAAAAGAACAAAAACTAGTCTGTCACTGTCGTGAGCCCAAGACTTCCGGTTCTGATGAAGCAAGGGATCCACATCATTTTGGTAAACGCAACCACAAGCACAACAATACAGTTGTAGTACTAGGAGTACTTCTGTAGAAGTCGCGAAGATGCCATCTCTGGCTCTAGCAGCAGAGGACGAGACCCTCACGACGATTGAATTCAAACCCGTCCACGGTGAGTCTGCTCATGGGGAGTACTTCGTGGCTTGTGTCGACGATCTGTTATGAACGATAGTTTTTTGTCTTCTGGCGTGCTTCAAGTTCAATCTCTATTTTATAGCCTCTAAGCACAACTTCCAGTTTCACTTTCACCTTACAAGTTGCAACGAACTACGCTGGTCTAGTGCAGGTACTGCTACCTTGTCGCCAAAGTAGAAGCAAAGGAGACAAGATGCATAATTAGATCGCTTTCTTTTATACCTCTAGACTGGGTAGTACATGACTACTTCTAGCACTACTTCTAGCGATACATAAACAAGAAACCCACACAAGAACTTCTACTTCTAATTTTAGCAAGCTGTGAGAGGAAATGCGAAACCCTGTACGGACACGATGCCAACCTGAAGGAAACGTGTCAGATGGCGGTCACGCGACATTTTCTCGGAAGGTCGTCTCTAACGTTTATGAAATAGTAGGCTGATGTACATGTAGTAGCTGCATTGTGTATAAGAATAGTCTGGAGAACGAGATGAATGTCGCCCACAACACGATGATGAACAACATGATTCACGAATCGATTTGGCGATTTTCAATCATCTGTCGTGTCTTTGGTGTAGTATGTGAGATGAAGGTCTTTACCGGGTGGACAACCATGGGGCTCACTTTTTTCAATTAGTTGCTGCTACATAGTACATCTGAGGAAGACGCCGGAGTTCCACCCTCTCTCCTTTCATGTTACGTTTCGAGGCATCAAGTTGTTACGTGGAGGTGTTACGCGAAAGGCACCGGAAGTATTCTGACGAACCTGAGACCAATAGCGACACAGAGCTCGTACTTCACAGTGGGGAACGGACACGACCAAAGAGCAGCGCTGTTGGCCTCGTCAAAAGGCACAAAGGATGTTTTCCTTATCATCTTCCGAATGCCACAACGGAACGCGAAGTACAGTCTACAGCGTGCCGCGGTTGTTGTACTACTAGCACCACGAGTAGAAGTGCTTATTGTACTAGGAGCAGCAGCAGCTGCAGTCCTAGCGCATGTTGCCGCGCAGTAGTTGACAACTTCACTGAATGTGGCAACGTAGTAGACCTCGTTCGACTACGAGATCTGCGTGTGGGACAGAAAGTGCGTGTGGGAGACGATAGATTCGAACCAATACTAGGCTTCTTACATAAAGATGAGTCCGTCTCCTCCGTCTTTTGCGATGTCAGCTACAACTGCATTGAAGACGCCAGCACTGGCGGATCTATTCGCTTGACACCAGATCACATGGTACTTATTTTACATATTAAAGTAGACACGAGTTTCTCAAGATATTCATATCGTATTTCTCAAGATATTCAATATATGGAGGATAGCAAGTATTTGAGTTTTGTAGATGGGGTCTTCGACAATTCTTGATTAATTTGTCTACCTGACGTCTGCGCCTTCAGTCTAGAAACTTCATCATTCTTCTTAAACGAAGATGCAAGTTATGTTGTCGCAACGAAATTTATAGCATGTTTGTTGTACGCTGCGTCACAACGAAATTCAGAGTATCGATTCGATCCCTTCACCAACGAGTAAGTCCTTTCAAACGGATAAAACCACAAAAAGGTATTCGTCTCTTCAAGCCCATGCGAGAAAAGCGCTAAAATGGCACAAAGTCTTACTCCCAGAGTGGACAGGCTTCTTGTCTGCCGAGCGAATTGCTCCACTCAGGAAGCAGAAATAGTTTCTGTTATGGTTTTAGTTTTTGCTACTTGTAGAACATTATCAACATAAAATACACACTAGTTACCAATATACGCCGAAAATAGCCAGACTCTGCTTCACCATTTATTTCATCTTCCATACAAATTTTCTAATTCCCTCACTCCGGTGCAAAGTAGAGGAATCTGCGCTCCGTTGACCGAGTCGGGACGCATTGTTGTGAATGGGGTACTCAGTAGCTGTTATGCGCATGCTATGCTCGGGCACGAATCATGTCACGCTGTTCTTGCACCCTTGCGATGGATGTTGCGCGCGAGACTTGAGTGGTTCACGCGCCAGGAAAACGAGCGGGCCAAGACAGCTGCCGCTGCTTTCCTTGTATTGACAAGCCTGCCTGGTGGTCATCATGATATCGTGGTGAAGAACCTGCCTCCAATCGGATCATAATCATGTTAGAAAACAGTGACGCAATAAAAAATCACGAACTACTAAGTGGATTGTTTCTACTAACTTGCTACATGTACATCACAATGACGTAGAACTTTTCCGGGCCACGACCTAGACGACCAAGGAGGTGGTCGCAGGTGTCGGTCTACGGCGTGTTGTCGCGAACGGCACTGCGAACACAATGCATTCTCAACCTCGGCACAGCATGAGTAGGCTGGCATCTTTCGTCACAATTTTAGTTTACCTGTCGTGATGTATGTTGTAGTATTCTCTCGGTCCCTTCTTGACATCATTCAATGCGGGCAGGATCGAACGACCGCATATGGCAATACTGCGCTTCCATGATTCGGTACTTGAAGTACTCACAATTTCAATCGTCCAGTAAGACTCTCATCTGTTGATTCACGCTTTCGAGCAGTCATCGGCTTTTGGTACTTATACGATCTGTGGATCTGATGCATACTAGGTCTGATGCATACTAGGCATCCAAAACAAGGCAATATGGTCTAGCACCCCCTCTTTACCTACCAACTCAATACTATTAAGTTGTGATGTCTGAAATTGGTGCTTGATCGCCGTCTAGCTCACACACGTTATTCCAGCTATCATCTATGAACGACTCACCGTTAGTCGTGGGAAGCCGTAGGTTATGTTTATCGATCAAGAATACTATTCTATTGTGCTTTTTCACTTGGAGATTTTTCGATTATGACAGCATCTAGAAAAAGAACTGTGAAAATTCAAACTCCTAGGCCCCTGTTGCAACGAACACACTAAAAATTCCTTATACAACATAGATGTATCCTTCTGCCTATTCGATTGTTTGACTCCGTGTTTTGCTTTTGATTGATGCCTCCGTCTTGACAAGAAGCTGCTCCATTTTGCTGAGCCGGTCGAGCACCACGTCAGAAAGGAAAATACACCGACGTAAAGCCCAGGGAGACAGGTCTGCGCGTGCTCAACCGGTGTCAAACGGAAAAGTGGGGCTAGACAAATTTCCGGGTTCTTTTTTCGATGACATAAGTAATACCATGATCCTGTTGCAGCTTCATAGAACTAGACAAAGTAAAACGAGATAAAACGCACATGGTGTAACATGCTCGCATAGAAGCAAGTATTGTCTTTGTCATAGTCACATGCATCAAGAAAAGGAGTCTGATTAGTAGACGGTTCAGTAATGAAGTTGCAGTAGTGCCAAGTAAGTATAAGTAGTTTTGCAGTACTAGTAAGTAAGCTGGAGGTTCATCTTGCGGTTAAGAAAGTGGTCCAGTTTTGCTGTCAAATTACGAATCAATAACTTTTGAGTAAAAGGGAGAGGGTATTGAAAGAAGTACATCCACATCTACTTCTACATCCACATCTACTTCTACAACTAGTTCTACTGTACAAGTAGCCGACGTCGAAAGTGGACTAGAAGTACAACTTCTACACGACTAGAAGTAGTACCACAACTACTCACGACTAGTAAAAGGACAACTTGAACTTCATCTACCCCAAGGCAGGATGTATCTGCAAGACCACTATTGGCGGCTGAATAGCGTCTTCGACGAGACGCAAGCCACGTTGAATGAAAACCTTTCGGAGATTCAGTCCTTGGACATGCTGATTCGCGACCAACGAGCACGAATGGGCCAACCTATGTTAAGGCTACCGCCGAAGCATCCTCAGCATCGTCCTTTTCCTTAGCTTCTTTTTCAAGGGGAGAAATAAGAACTATCAAAGGATGCTCTCACGCTCAGGGAACAAGATGCGACGTGGTAGCTCTAACTATAAAGGCGAGCATGGCTAAGACCTACGGAAAGTTCGGAGGCTTGCTGCCGATGGAGAAGGAAGAAGGGAAGAAGAAGGTGAGATCTTCATCAGGGATAAGAGGGGACAAGATGAAAGATCATTAGGGTTCGTTACCAATAATTGCATTCTTCACTACCATAATTCACTTGACCTTTTATTTCCCAGTGAGAAAGAACTGGGAAAGGGGGAAAACAAGAGTCAAGGATGATCTGAAGAATGCAACGCCGCAATGTCTAAGATCAAGACGGTGCTGCAGGTGGGAGTGCGACAGAAGATGAGGATGTGAAGGACAGAGTCGAACTAGAGGCGTCTATGGTGCAGTACAAGCAACAGAAAGGCCCGAGCTTCTTGCGGATTCGTGTCGATAGTGAAGGCCACTCCTTATTAGGTGAGGATGCTGGTCTTGTCGACTTGGATAAACTTAAGGCCCCACAATCAAATCCATCTTCCAGAACATCTTGGTCCTCTTCTTGACGGGAAATCAGGAACCAAGAGCAAGATGCTCCTTGTGGTGGACTTCTGGTAGTTCTAATGAACATGCTCAACTGATAGCAGATATCGAGGAGGCGAACGCGAAAAAGATCCCCGCGGGACCAGGAGAGGAGCTGTCGGAGTCTGCGCTGGGTCTGCCAGGCGACGGGTCCCTGGACTCTTTCGATTTCGACCTAGACCCGAACGAAGAGGAACTACGTGCGCAACGAACTACAAAGCGCATCGGCACAGCCACCTACGAGCGCCTGGCAAAAGAATATTGTAGGGGTCTAGCAGAAAGAGAAATGCTAGGGCGCCGATTCTTCGATCCTGTACGCGACCAAAGCGAGTTCTTGTCGCACATGCTACAAAGCATCGATTCCTTGGACTACGAGGTACTTGGCTTCGTCGATTTCTTGGACTACAACGAGCAGGTAAAACTTGCTGTAGCAACATATACATAGAATTCGAGGATTTAAACTAAACTACTACCCCCTTTACGTAACGTAAAGGGAGTAGAAGCATGTATGCCATAGTCGTCACTTTTGCGATCGACAACGAAAGAACTCATGAAAGACCTCATGACGACCACCTACTTTTGTGATCTTCATCAATTTCATCACTGGATACTTAGATGAACAAGTATCGCGTAAAGCCGCCTGGTTCTCTCTGATTTTTTTTATTCACAAACATACCTCCTAAATAAGCAAAGAACTAATGGTTGTTCCTTTTATTCACAAACATACTTACAATCCTCACTTCATCTCAGGACGACGATTCCAGTTTGTTGTCGGCCTTGACATTTTCGCAGAAACTGACGGTCTCACAAGAGTTGGAGGATCCTTTGTGGCTCGATGATAGCACTCACCTGGAGGGCAGGTTTCGAGACGATCCTACATTATGAAAGAAGCAAACAAGAGAAGTAGTGAGTTTGAGTTGTCTCAACATGATTATTTTTATCTACATCGCGATTGTCATGATAAATCTAAGTACTTCATCTAACAACTATACTACAACAAAACACTTGTTTATCTACATCTCCATGACTGAACAACGAACTACTACGACCAGCATGAAATAGCAAAAAAGAAGAAATTGAATCACGCTTATTCTAACCCCAGCAGAGCGTAAGAGTGAGCGACGTAGTGCACAGAAGGCAGCGGCGATCGCGCGAGAGCAGAGACTTGCTGAGTTGGAGAGGCTTCGAACAGACGGGCTTTTAGCCCAAGACCAGTTAACAGCTGAAGACAGTGCCATGCTGATAGCATCGGGAGTAGACGTCATTACGGCTTGTCTTGAAATTAGACCACCACTAGTTCTTATTCGCTGCATATCATTACTTTGACTATAATTTTAATTGCGTCTTTTGTTCTTTTGCTGACATACACTTCTGTAGTGGCTTATCCGTTTCCGAGTTTTGGTTTCTTCTTGAAATTCAAGACCCGCTGGTGTACAGACACCTTGCTGCAATATGAGGGACAACGACAGACATCTAATCTACCCATCATTCAAGCCCATTGATGACTTATGTTGAGTTTTATATGGGGGGCTTAAGGTACACTCTTCACGTATCAGAAAACTTACGTGTCCTCTCCCTCTAAGCCTAGCCAACTTCCGGTCTCACTAGAGCAATCCACGGACAACTTGGATACGTCTCACGCCCTGGAGACCACAGAGGAAGGTGTTAATAATGGGGCAGAGGAAGAAGCTGGAGGAGGAGGAGGCGACTATGACACAGAAGTCGTTGCAACCTCAAGCGACGCAGCGAACACCAAATACATGGAGGGAGGCCATGAACAACAGGCTGACACGACCGAGGAAGAGATTATGGAAATGAAGCATCAAGAACTACATGTACATTCTTTAGTTTGAACTTATTATATATAATATGACTTTGTACATCATAACCATACCTACTTTGGACATATGCTTTAGATTTAGTTAAGTTGCAGCATCGTGTAACATCAAGCTACAATTGCTACACCCATGATCATTCTCTAAGCAAAGCATGACTCACGACGTGAGTCAATCCGGAGCGACCCTCTCGGTTGGTAGCAAGCTTTCTAGGAGCGCAGCCACTTCACGATCGTCTCGCAATACAACTAATACCACTTCCGCGGCAAGTCGTGGCAGAGCCAAAGCGCAGCGAGGCATCTCTAAAAGTACAAGCATGAAAGCCCTCAAGGGCACGAAGAAGGACTACTTAGAACACACGCATGTGCTAGGAGATGTACAAGGTGCACGAACGACACTCCAGCTTCACAAGTTGCAGAAGGGAGGAGATCGCGATCCTTTCTTGGCGGGGTTAGGACGTACCTTTACTCTAAAATCATTTATGCCTACTACTGAAAGTTCTTGTTCAGAGTGGTCACACGACCACTTTTTTAACTGAGGATGAAATTCAAATTTTTTTTGCACTTGGGAAGTTCCTCCACTTTCTGTTCAAAAACTCATCAGCCAATCTGTACCGTCCCCCGCGTGGGTTCCCAGTGGCTCAAGCTCGAAAGTGGGTCGTCGATGAATCGCAAGAATTGTCATCAGTTTTATCTACCGGTGGCGACGCTTTACGTGGTCGGCTCTCGCGATTACAAGATCGCGGACCACGGCGGACGCATGCCAAACATTTGAAGAAATTACGGCATAGATTGAACATTGAAACTTTTGTAATTGAATCATCAACTACAACGGCTGAAGATTACTTATATGAATATCGCGTTTTCTTTTGTTCTACTTAGAAGAACCAACAGCAACGAACACGACCAGTTCATCCGTGTAAAAAGTACTAGTGCATCATCTCTTAGTCTTAGAGACGGTGGTCCTTTTTTTACCCTTTCGTTCTTCTAATTCCCCTTTTGGCAAGTCGCGACCCGCAGAAGTTTAAGATCTTGCCTGGTCATGAGGAGCGACTGACCGGAGACATCATGGCGGCACTCGAGGCTAAAGCAGAAATAGCGCGTGAACAAGAGGAGGAGGCTGCTCCAGAGGCGATCAAGCGTGCGGTCCAGCGCTGTGTGCGCAAGTGGACCACCGATTTAGGAATTCTGGCTACAGAGAAGGCCTTAGGCTTTGAGGATATCTCGCTCGAGTCCTCGGCTACTAGCGTGAGCTCTGGCGCTGGGAATGACGCTGCAAGTCTTTTGTCGAACGGAGAGATCAAAGCGAAAGAAGAATGAACATGTAAAAAGTGGTGCAGCAGGAAGAGCACTTGTAAGAACACACCGACACTACATGCTTCTGCACATCATCGAAGATTTTTTTCAAGAAAGCAGGAATCTTCTCTCCCCGCGGTTGTAGTTAGTCTATCAGTAGTTCCAGTACATAGCCGAGCACACAGCAACATACTTCTGCTCAGTCTCTGTCATAGAATGCGTCTACATGCATCACGACCAGTCCAAGACGTAGATTTCCCTATTTATTGCACTGTTTCCTCTTCCACACAGTAACTCAATTCGATATCAAGGAGATAATGATAACTCTCGCGGAAGAGTCTTGAGAGAAGTGTGGAGGACTACAATTTGTTCATGTGGCAAAGCATTAGCATTGTGACGAGAAATCCAGAATTCAATTCCCAGGACCGCGATCAGCCCACAGAGAAAAAGCTCCTTCTACTTTTCCCTCGCATTGAATAGACTTATTTTGTTTTTTTTTACCATTACTTAGTGCAATTTGTCTTGGCTATTTTTTTCGTGTCAATTTTTCTAATTCGTTGTTAAAAATGGTACTAGTTTGGAGACCTTGTTTGTTGCCAAACGCGAAGTCATTACTTGATTGACTTTGAAAGTTTCCGGCATTTACCAACAAGATGTTGACGGACCCCAAAGAGTGTGTTTTGGTCACTGGCGCCGCTGGTTTCATCGCTGCTCATGTGGTGAAGACGGCTGCAGAGCGAAGCAAGTTTCGCGTTTGCGGTACTGTCCGCAACGCCGCTCGTGATGGCCCTGCCCTTCGAGCGGCTTTAGCAGGATCTTTGACGGAAGAGGATCTGACGCTGTTGGAACTGGACTTGCTCTCCAGCACGCAAGAAGACTGGACGGAGGCACTGCGGGTCAACAAGGTGACCTATGTGCTCCACGTGGCCTCGCCCTTCACTTGGGGCCCCGCTAGCGACATGATAAGTGTAGCATTGGAGGGCACCAGAAAAGTGATGGAGGCGTCCCTCGCGACTCCGAGTGTGAAACGAGTGGTCGTAACGGCATCGGTGTCGTGCATGATTTTCGGGCACGACCTGCGGGCTCTGGCGGACGAGGGGGTGAAGATCAGCCCAGGCATGTGGACGCGTCTCAGCGATGACGCTGTGGATGGAAGCGCACTGCAAGTGATCACCTCGAATGGCCCTTGTGCTAGACGTGCCAAAAATTCAGGGGAGTTTATCACTATCCCATGTGAACTATGCTGAGTGGGTTTCCCCTCTATTTCAAGGGGAGACTGATTGGGAAAAACAAGAACTCGCCCTACCTGGGATAGTGAAAAACTACCTTTAATAAAAGCTGTCCCCATGGGTGCCGGACTATCCTAAAAGCAAAACACTCGCAGAACAGCTCGCTTGGACTTATCACGGGGCGACGGAATCGCCTAGTGTCGTTAGCAGTACTTCTACTAGTGGTCCGCGTCCGATCATATCAAAAACAACCTCGAAGACGAGAACAAAAGGTTTATTAAGGCTTCCCCTAATCCATCTTCGGAAGCATCTGGAACAGGCTTTTGACGGGGAAAAGGCCTCTGCGATGTATTTCGAGATGGATTGGAGTGAGCTCTAAGCTTAGAAGTCGTCTCAATTGCTCCACAAGTCGCTTTTGGTCCGCTCCTTCTTTCCAAAGGTTGTGAGAGTGTGGATGTCGTGAAAGACGTGCTCTCTCGCCCCATCGTGCCTGACTTCGGCATCCAGGTTGTGGATGTCCGGGATATCGCTGAGTGCCACATTAGAGCGATAGAATGTCAAGATCCAGCAATTGTGGAAACTAAACAACGCTTTATCTGCCATTCAGAATTCCTACCCTTCACAGAAATATCTGACGCAATTCGGACTGCAATTGAGAATGGCAAGAAGAAAGCAAGTCCAAGTGGTGCTGCTGTGCAGAAAAACGCGAAGAAAGCAGAACCCGAATTCCCGGCTTCGGTTCTAGCACCATCGAAGCGGTCCTTTCCGGTTACCGTACCCATGTGGATCCTGAAATTGAATTTATGTTCTTTTGAAAAGATTTATTCCCTCTTCCTTGATTAGTTTGCTATTGTTACTTCTAGGTGAAAAAAGCAGTTAGCAGTAACATTGTGTGACAGAAGATGTCAGCATACAGATACTCGCACTCCTATTTTGCTCCATCAACGTCGTACAGCATAAGCATGCCCCAACATCGAATTCCGTTTCCCGTCTTTCCTTCCCCGTTCCTACTCGCCTTCTCCGCCCCTGTCCTTCCCCAAGCACCCACTCACTCTCTAATGTCTTCCGTGATAGATAAGAGCCTGCGCGTTTTGTGCCTGACCGAGGGCCTCGAGAGGATGGGCGTTGACTTGGAAAACGGCAAGAAGATACTGAAGATGACCTCCTATCGTAAAGGAAAAGCCTCAATTTATGCGATGACACAAAGCATGATGGAGAAAGGCATGTTGTAGGGCGCGATGCGATGCCACAAAGCATGCTGGTGGAAAATAGGGGCAGGCTCTAGCCCTACAGTAGCAGTAGGAGTTTCCTGGTGCGGGAATGTTGCTATTCCCTGCTACGATGTCGGCCTCCTGCAAACATGCACATGAAGATCATGTAGATATCAACTACAGTTTGATTTTCCAACGCAGTCTGTCGTCTCGCCAGACAGACTAAAAAGAGTTTTTCGATGGACTTACACCCAATTTTGGTGCCAATTCTTTTTACGCGATATTAGAGTATAATAGATACAACTACGAACAAGCAACGCGAAACCAAAACGGGAATGCGCGCATCAATTTTTCCACTTTTTCTATACCTCTAGCTCCATGAGAGCTCCTCTACTATGTCGGGACATGATCTCTCGCTGAGTCAAATCTGGTATAACTCATTTGGCTGCGCACAAAATAGCTTTATAGCAATAGCTATGTATAATCTGAGTCAAAACAGATAGTGTGTATTTTCTGGTTTGAAGAAGATGGGAGCGAGAGCGCCGAGAGTGAGTAGAAGTTGCACCGTGTTTGATAATGAGAGCTTGACCCGATTATCCTGAAAAGCAAATTCGTTCATCTGGCCAAAGAGTGTTCCGTCTGTAGTGACAAGTTTGAGAGTAAGCACTTCAGACCGAGTCCTATCCACCTCTCTGAATATCTATCTGTTGAAGTGCTACTGAGGGACGATTCGAATGACCATGACTATTGAGTCTTGAGTGCTGACTGCTGAGTATATCTGTGCGAATGAGGACCATTACTCTACTTAGAAGTGTCCGAATGAATGAGAGTGCGTTGGAGCGACATAATTATGTGAAAGTTTCGAATTACTATTCCACAAGGCCTCGCAGATTCTTTCACCCTGGCTTTCCCTTTCCCTAGCTTTCCCACTTTGATAGATCCTACGCCCTTCAAGAACACATGGCGGATTCTATCCTTCACCAGTTTTCCCAGTTTCTTCTTGTGGGTTAAGTAAACTTGAAGATGTCCCAGTTTCTTGAGTCCTCCCAAATTCTTGTCTTGTCAAATTTGATTTATCCCAAGATGTTGTCGTTTCCATCCAAGAACGTAGTTTTTTCCTGGAGAAGAAAATTTGCACTTTTTTCATCAGTAATATTTGCAGGACAAATGAGTTTTTTCATTTCTTGTGTACAAGCAGCTGACGATATACAACATATAGATAGTGGGAATGATCCAGGATTATATAGTAAGGAGTTTCCAGATTTGACTCTCCTGCCACAAAATGAGGCTGCTAAGCGTGAACTGGAGGATGCGTTCACATCTGTGCCGCCAAGGGAACTGCAGTACGTTCCACCCACGACTCTCCCTGCCACGGAGGAGCCGTCGATCTACAACACGGTACTTTTTAGCTTTGAGGACTTGGGGAAAAAACTTGTCGTGTCGATCTTTAGCTCCATATGTAAGTAGTTAGCTACTTCCTACGAGTAGCTCGTCGTCGTAGGGAGGGTGCAGAATACCCATACTCTTATTGAGTGCAAAAAATAAAAAAGGAATCATCTAATCTATGAAAAATAAACTACTTACTTACACAGTTCACGACGACAACAACTCGAGGAGAGCGAATTTCGGAACCTTATCTTGAACCGCTCGACTTCTTCGGAGTTCTACGCACAAGCACAGCGCCGCCAACGACGACGACAACAACCCCCGCGCCTACAGTGGGGATCTACGTGCCCACTGTTGAAAACCTACCACTTAAACCCGTCGCTGAAGGCCGCATTTACAACACAACGGAGCCAGCACGAGACGGCCTCATGGGAAATAGCTCGATCATGAGTACTTACTCTGTTACTGTTGACCGCACTTTGTCTTTGCTGATTTTACCTGTATCCTGAAACTATTCATCCTAATATGTGTTTGTAAGCAGGAGACGTTCACTCACGACTACATAATCGTGATGATTTCCATTTCGTTCAAAATCCATCTTCCGTCAACTACAAGCTCAACAACTACGGAACATAAACTCCTAATACAGTGATGTATTACGGTTAGGGTTAAAAACAGCAAGTAGGGTTAGGGTTAGTGATATATTAAAAACAGCAATGCCGCCGTTGGCTCTGGCCAGCAGTATCGATTTGTCATCGCTTTTCTCGCTGAACGGTACCGTGACAACGACGACGACCCCTCTTCCGTTCTCAACGCGCCTAATCGTGGATGCGATTCTGGAGCTTCCATTTGGCGTACAATTCGCCCAAGCCGTACCAGCTTGGGAGCGCAGTGACGCCTTCATCAACTCCTGGTCAACGGCGGGTTGCATCAGCCTGAAAAACAACATTTTCGTCCGTGACTTGGACTGCGAATATTTCAAACTCAAGAAAATCGCGGAGTCTGTTGGCTTAGAAAGGGTCCTGTTGACGGAACGAGGTTCCGGACCTGGAACGGCAGCTACAATAGCAACTACTGGTGTAGCAATATCAAGTGAAACTACCTTAACTGGTGCACGACCCGCAATCGAACACGTCGAAGAGACGCATCTCCACCCAAGCCCAAAAATAGCTACCCAAGCAAAGGAGCGTCCGATGCACGAACACCAAGCTCCTGTGCTGGAGACCAGGAGTGCTGTAAGTAAAACAGGGAAAAAATCCACACACCTCCGCCTCCCACAGAGAAATGCCCACACCGACGCGCAGTCACTTGTCGGAACCTTGGATGATGACGAGGATGGACACAAACCCCAAGCCCAACCTCATCTTCCACGCCAGGAAGTGACAGGACATTACGCTGCTGGAAGTGGATCTTCTAAAGTCGTGAAAGGTGGAAACTTTATGCAACCACACCGAAATGCAAATGTATCAAATAGAAATACCAAGAAGGAGATTCAAGATAAGAAGAGCAGAAAGCAAAACAAACGAGGTATGCAAGTGGTTGTCGGAGAGTCTGGTGCAATTGGTGGAGTACATCATGATTCGGCATCTTCTGAGCACTCAAGCGAAGAGTTTTCTTCTATGCAATCTGCGGGAACTACGTCCTCGTCATCACAGAAGAAGCCACAGGCCGACTCTAAGGTGCATCTTGCTCGAGCAGGAGCAAAATCAGAAAAAGCAACTCGTAAACAAGTGGATCATAAGCAGAAGGATACCATCAACGCTATTAACCTTACAAAAGCCGACCACCGTCACCGTCACTTAACGACCTCCAGTTCCGACGACGAAGATGAGGAAGAGGAGGAGGAAGTTTCCTCAGGTTTGCGTCGTGTGCAAGTATACTTGGATTTCGAGGTTGGCTGTGCGTCTGTGGAGCAAAAAGACAGAGCCGAAGAAGCTGCCCTTACTCTCGATCGTAGGATGTTGGCTCAGAACATGAATTTGTACGTCATGAGCGCGCAAGCAGCTGGCGAGCTGGAAGACGAGATCCGATTCATTATGCCGGTCGTAAAAAAAGTGACGGAACTCTCCGCAGGGACAGAGAAACAGTCTACAATACCTTTGATTTTGATGGAGCAGGCGGGGGAGGAATCAGAGTCAACCCGTCGCGCGCCTCTTCCGACACAATGGCGGATGCGGTTGTTTGCAACGATGCTCGCGGTTGCGGGCTTCGCTTTCCTATGATGCGCAGCGTTAAGACGGAGTTGCACATGATGGACCGCTAAAAATCTTCGTCCACCTCTAATATACAATATAATAAGCATATCATCTATCGTTAACGTTATAGCCAGTGCCAGTATCGTTATTTTTCTACTTGCTGACGGTGTCCGTGGGAAACAACTTTACATTTTTGGAGGTGCCTTCTAGCATGTACTACACTTCAACGAATTCACTAGCGTTGTAGTTGTCAGGGGAAGGATGGCGACTGCATTATATCTGTATTCATTGAATTCTACCAAAGTCCTTTTTCACTTCTAACATTTTTTTGATTTTCTAGTTCCTTGAAAATCCTGAAGAAAAAGAAAGAGGTTTCTGGATAAGGAATTCTATGCATGCCATATCATGTGTACGCATGATGTGACTGAGAAATTGATGACGATTAATTTATGGGGGATTTCTTGACACGATACCCACGCTGGAGATGAGGTTCCAGCAAATTAAATGTTCAACTTGGTTTCTCTGGAAGATCCGGAAACTCAGCGGAGCACGGACGAGACGAGACGCACTTATAATTCCGAATCTGTGGGAACAGAGTAATACTTTCTGTATCTCGCTTTGGTGCCATGAAGAATGCAATGTGTCACAAGTCTCTAGTGGACCAGCCTCTAGGGCGAAAACGAAAACCTCTCGCCTCGGTCTTTCATTCAAAATATTTGCCCGCTTTCGCTTTGTCTGTCTCTGTTCAAGAAAGTCTTGAGCGAAAAACCCATTCTGTTTCCGTTTTTCCGGATAATAGTAAGTCACACGCCGTCACTCTGTGTGAAGAGAGATGAGTCGGGAGTGCCAAACAAAGCATGTGGAAATTCTAAACGAAGAAAACGTATTGAAAATTGTAACCCCTAAAAACCGTAACCGATGGCGAGCAAAAACGAAAAAAAAACTACTTCATAGGAACCTCCCGAAAGCTATAAACTCAGCATTTTACTCATGATCATGATTGTTCCGTGGCGCAAACCACTGGCCCGATTTGGCTGAGTCGACTGCCGCAGCTGCCACTCTTCCAGTAGTGCGGTGAAGCGACGTCCACATTGATTGTTATACTAGCGGACATCACAAACACAACAACCTACTTTTACTCAGAAGTAGTTCCGCTTCCGTTTTTGATTGTTCGGAGGAGCAGGTAAATCCGTCAAGATGTCGACCACTACAAAATCACACAAAAGAAACGAACAGCTGAAGCACGGCGATGTCTCGCTATCAGCAGAGGAAGAAAAAAGAGCGAAAGAACTGTACTACCATTTGTTGTATCGAACTTGTTAAATGCTTGTGGGGCTCGTTGTGAAGGATCCATAACCTAACCTAACCTAAAACCTCCTAGTTTCTTGATCATTTTAAAATCGGCGGGTTCGTAGAGAATAGAATGATAGAGGAGCACTAAGCTCCGCCTGCCGCCGGTTTGCGAACTGGATAAAGCTGAGGCCGCTCTTTCAGTAGCCCCAGGATACAAAAAAAAATAAAACTTTTCCTGAAATCTCCAAATCCAAATCCAAAACCTCAATATGATTCAAAATACCATGAAAAACTTGTTTCCTTCGACCTTCTCTTCATCCGCATTCTACTAGTAAACGATCGACATTTATTTCCTCATCCACCATATATTTCCTCATCTCCTTCTTCTACCTAATTACACTGTCCTAGGTTTGCGGTGTACGACTACGATAAGTCAGATAACATATCACCTGATGAGCTTCGCGACTTGCTGGTAGAACTCGGCTTCGAAATTCAGGATGAAACCATTACAGATGTCACGGCGACGCATGGTAAACAAGACTTGTTCATCACTTTGGTATAGGAAACTAAACTCAACATGCAACCTATCCTGAGAGACGCCTGCTGCACGACATCAAGAATTCGCAGTTGTGACAGTGAGTCCTTGCTGCAACAGCTATGAACCTTTCTCCGTCTACAGCATCACAGTCCGTTTTGATCCTCCTCATCCTCTCCAATCTACAGTTACTCTAGTACTGATGGCCTACTAATTATACTCACATCTAAAAAAACTACAACAGCAAAAGACCCGAAGAAAATCGCGTACTCGGAATTCCGACTCATCTACATGGAGTTTCTAAGTCAGATGCCGTCAGCATTGCGAAAGCAGAACATGCATGGAGACTGCCGACCATGCGTATTGAACATCAAAAGCCACATTAGTTGATACCTCCCTAGTTTCACAAGACATGGTGGACACCTATTCTAGATCCACTTCCTTCATGTAACAACTCCCAGCCTCGTCGATTTGAGACATCATCTTCTATTTCCAATTCCATACACAAGGAAGTCGCTTAGATTTGAGACATCACCCATGCAAGATAATTCTTAGCAGTGATACGCAACATCCTCATCCATACCCCACCCTCGCCCAGCATCAAGACATCTACTTCACGGAAGCGTCGTATCGGTCGGCGTTTAAGATGTACGATTTTGATCGAAGCGGAACCCTAGAGCGGAACGAAATAGTTTATTTGCTAGACGATTTGGGTAATTCATTTTTCATTAAATCTACTACTTGCTAGACGATTTGGGTAATACTAATGATACAACTTATGTATCAAATGTAGGTGTATCTATGTGATTTTTTTGTCGCTCGGGGTGATCTCGCACTGTTCTCTTTCTTGCTTCAAAGCCTATGCTTTTCTTACACCACGGTGACAATAATTAGTATTAGCCACACCCACTTCGTGATGACAACAGGTCTTCCCGATGTCCATGGTGACAATTATTCGACCCTAATGGATCACGCCTTCTCACGCGTCGACTGGGATCATAGTGGGAGCCTCGATTTTCAAGAGTTTTGTAGCTTCATCAACGAAGTGATCAACTACATTTATGGATCTTATTCAAACACTCAGCTTCATCAACGAAGTGATCAACTACATTTATGGATCTTATTCAAACACTCAGGTTCTCATTTTCAAATGAGACTCTTAAGAAAGGGAGCCCGCTGACTACGTAAGCAGTCCCTAAATCTTTAACAAAAACTTTGATACCTCTCTCTAATCACTCGAGGAGATTCGCGAGGAGGGGACGAAGAACGTGAAGGTGTACTGATTCAGGGGTGCGGCAGTGCTAGTACGCTTGGCTCATTTTTGGGTTACGTTATTTGATACCTATATGGCGATTTGAGTGACACGATCAACAGTGAACTGTTTGGTAGATTTGCGACTTTACATTTAATTGTGAGTGAACTAATTCTGACAATTTTCTCCAAGGCCAGGCTTCACCAGCCAGCATGCACATCCACTTGTGCACCGATAGAATTCTTCATCGTCCGAACAGTTGTACAAGAAGTAGTTTCATGTGCATGCTGAAGACTTCACTTGGTATCGAACTATCTCGCTTGCGCGTCTAGGTTCTTATTCATCTTGAGAAATTAATATCCCCCGTCTCGCAACGCAAACACTAAAACTCAACAAGGTTGATCCGCGCCAGAGCCAGGTCGAGAATAAGCAAACATAAAGATTGAGGCTGCAAAAAAATGCTGGCAGTTCAGTTGGCATCCATCAGCGATAAGCTGCTGGTGATACCCACGCTGAATACTACCTCTGTCTGTGTGGAGAAATCTGAGCGCTCCTAGAAGAATCTTGAGAGTTTCCTCTGTAGTACAACTAGACGAAAAGGTCTTTTGAACGTGAACCTAACATTTATGATTCATCTGTCGAGAGAAGAGGATCGGATCCTCTGTCGAGAGAAGAGGTAATGTTACTCTCTTCCAAGTTGCATATTTGTCTGTCCGTGTGGATCCATACTACCTAGTCACTCTGTTTGCGGATGCACAACCTAACCGAACCTGTCTGTTTGCGAGACTCGCCTGAGAGTTTTTATGATGTTGTGATGCTTCCAATTTTCCTCATACTGTTATTATGTCTGTGAGTCAAGCAGTTGCGTCTTTATCTTTTATAATCTGGTGCGGATAAGTATGTTGCTTTGGCGACTGGCTCAACTGTCGTCAATATCACGAAACTCACCCTTCTCATTTTGCGATGTTCACAGCCATTGATACACCTTCTTTCATCAATCTTGAAAATTTTTATCGCAAGCCCATCACCTTCCCGCCGACGACCGTACGACAATATTTGTTAAACCATCCTTTCACACGGACGAACTTGATTTTCTTTTTTTCATTTTGATGTTTTCTTTGAGTATACTAACTATGCATACCAGCTGAAACACAAGTTTTTAGTGTGGCAGCAGGTGTAGCAAACACAGGGAGAAAAATCAGCGTGATTTCTGACAATTGACAAGAAACCAAAATTTCCATCACTCGTTCGGTCCTTCTTCACAATACTCACCCTTTTTCGGTCCTTCTTCACAGTGATTATTACCCTTTCTTTTTACGTAGGCTAGTTGAATACATCATCTCTTCTTGATCTGATTCATCTTCGGAGGTCTTATTTATCTTTCACGATGTCGGCAAAACTAGCAAGTCTTCCAGTCTCCCCACTGGAGGATGGGCCACCACCGGGGTCGCCAGGCCAGTCACCGACGCGCGGTCGCGCTCCACCCACCTATATGATCCCACCAGAACCACGGGCCTCAGGCATTGACCATACACGACTGAGCTCGGCGTCAGCTTCTTCGGCGTTAGAACGGCGTGCCTCTTCGGTCGGACAGGAAGATGTAGGAGACTTAGATGGAACTACTTTGCATAGTCCACGCAGAGCTTCTGCTTCCACAAGTCCTCCTTCGAGTCCGCGGAGGGCATCTTCGGCTGCCATCAACTATGGCGCTCGGGCATTTTCATCTGAAAATACTACATCTGGACGAGGTAGTATTGCTAGTACCGCCAAGGCCAACATAGGCAATATGAGGCCATCAGCTGCTGCAGCCGCACCTGCTGGAGATATTAGAGTGGAACAACCAGTAGGAGTTCTCGATGGGAGCGACGCTCCCACAGCGAGAGCATCAACAGATGTAGTAGGTCGTGCGGTAGTTAGAGACGAGGATCCACAACGAGTAGTTTTAGATCGCAAAGTCGAGCCACGCTCGTCCGCAGGTCGTGCAAGTTTAAAACAGGACTACAAATGCGAGGTGTTCCAGGGTCAGACCCGACGAGGACGCAAGGGTCCCAAAGATCATATCAAGAGCGAGCTCTTCGGAGAAGATGCTCGATCCACAGAAGTCTTTCTCTCAGCGCAAGAAGCCCTGCGACGAGGACAGGCCTTCGAAAGTTTGGCACGTCAGCCATCATGGGTCAGACAAAAGACTGCTGAGTATTACGTTAAGGCTTACTTTTATTCATCTTAAGAGGCATCTTTGATCCCTTTTTCAAGGGGGAACTGCGTCAAAGATGCTTTCCAAGATGAATAAAAGTAAGGTCTAATTACGCAAGATCCATGTCCCCCAAGGAGATCCACGAATGGCACGGAGGAAATCCCCACCACTATTGTGATCGCGGTCTGGTGCCACGCACAACGCCATTGGCGCTTGCGATGGATAAAGCGAGAGAAAAAAGGTATCTAATATGGAGTTAAAGTTGAACAAAGTTAATATGAAGTTTCACTTTCTTGTTGATGTGGTTCGTCTTCGTGGTCGTGTGGCTAGTTCATAATTTCCACATTGTCCTCTCGTCACGCCATATTTATTTTATTAACTTGGGCTGATTTTTATTCACTTTCACACATGATCTATCATGTCTCCACTCCACAGAAAGGCAAATTCATACTTATTCAAACTCCACAGAAAGGCAAATTCATACTCATTCAAATCGTTATCATATTCAAGTCGTTATACTCAGGGGCCGCGAATTAGCCAAGCAAATCGCGCATCCCGAGACTCGAAGATTGGATGCACTGTGGTCCGCGCGGCCCACACGCCCGGGGAAGCAGCATTCTAGGGCCTCCCTGATCGCTGGTTTCCATAAATTTGAATCGCTAAAGGGACACGTGGGACCGCTGTCACTTCGAGTGCAGAGACAACAGCAGCGCTACTATGGGGAGCACCGTTCCTTGTCGCCAAGGTCAGAGGGCGTCCCGGATGAAATGTTTGAGTTTGACAGTGCGCTTTCCCTGTCTCCAAGAGGTTGTAGAGGAAATTCACACGATGAGAAGATACGCAAGATGAAAGATCAGATGGCGCCGCTTCTCGACATTTACAAGGGAAAGGAGGTACAACTAGTAGTACAACTCTACTCACATTTTGTCCTTCTTCATCCTGTAGGTAGTGCGTAATATGTTGTAGTTGTACTTGTTATTCCACAAAATGTAGCTACAAGTACAAGTGCTTTTTCTACGAAGGATTCTGACCGAATTCTTCGACTATGTATTGGTCTTCATTGAGCGTTGCATCAACTTTTTAATAGTCCTCGTCTTTATTTACAATCAAGTACTCGACCATCGAGATCGACTTTTCTATCACGACAGCGTCCTTTTGGTACAAGCCGCGTGATGCAGGTGCTACAGGGTATGAAGCAGGACTACTTGGATCATACACCGCGAGAGGTGTTAGTCCAGCAGAAAACCGACACAGAGCACGGCGATTGGCATTCTGGGGTAAAGCGCTTCAGCGCTCTTACGGTTGATATTGAAACTTTCATCGCTCATCGCGAAAAAGCGCTCTACCATCGTTTGCAAAAACAGAACGGAAAATTGAAGCAAGTACAGGGAAAGATGTCGCAGGAGATGGTGAGAGCAACATCTCCGAAGTCGAAAGCGGAAAAGAACCCTCTTCTAGCTCTAGCTGATGTAGTTGACGCCAGAGATGACAGTGTGGGTGAAGTCGGGGAGGAGGATGAGCCAATGGCTGTCGCAGATACAGTGGGGAGCAATGTACCCGATGATGATGAATTGGACGCCGAAGATAATGATGACGCTGAGCAAGATGAACAGGAATTATCTTCATCTTCTGTAGGTGATGAAATTATGGAGATGGAGGCCTTGGATTTGGAGCCGAGGAAAGCGGCAGCACTTAAACGTCACCAAATAAGTGGTGGTTTCAGGAAAGGAGAGGGTGAAGCCGTGCCGCGAGCTAGTTGTAGACAACTGAGGAGCTCTAGGACTTCTTTTGAGTCCTCTTCTCGTGCGTCTTTACAGGCTCGGCCGGCGTTTTCAGCGGCCACGACCTCCGCCTTCCACCAACACGCTGGCGGAGATGGTCGGGGCAACGCTGCAAACGTCGCCAGGACGAGTGTCGGTCACAATCGCAAGCTACCATCTTCGTTTTCCGAAGAGCAAAAGGCTGTGGCGATCGCGAACACGAACCACAGTTACTCGTTGATGAAAGAGCCCGTGTTGCAGTCGGGAAACCGTGCAGCTGCGCGTCGCAATTCACGTGCAAGTCAAACAAAACGCTTCTACGACGCGGACCTGCAAACAAAGGTCACCGGGCCGGCGCTGAGTCCCCTCTTGCGTGAGAATGAGGGTGTCGAAGCACGCATGCACGATATCATCTCGATAGATCGCGCAGCGCAGCAATCACAGGCAAAAGTTCAGACCTACACACCGAAGACCCAGGGCAGAGCATCGCGCTCCTCAAGAGTAAGCACCACATCAAAAGTGAAGCCCACCCGCGATTGCATGTTACACGGTACTGCGCGCTCCTCCATAGGTAGCTTTGCGCCGGCTTTGGACGTCACTAGGCACAGTAAGACAGAAGAGACGCTAGAGGAACGACGTCACCGCTTGTACATTTTACACCATGGCGGTGGGCCGATTGCTAAACCTTCATCTCCTAGAAAAAGTACGGAGAACAAGACGTCGAACGCATCATCTACTCAGGAACCTCCTGATTCCAAGAATCTATCGACTGATGAAAAAGCTGGAGAAGCTGAGGCCTCCTCAGATGCTTTTTTGTCTGCAATCCAAGCACGAGCGGACGCAACAAGTCCAATGTTCATGGTGCAACCGATTCAGTTGTTGCCCTCAGGCGCCGACGATCCTCTAAGCAAATCAAACCTTCTGGGATCATTCGCCACCAGTAGTAGTAAGCGATCAAAGGACGCTGCTGGATCGCGATCGCTGTCTCCCGTCCCAGACGAAGGCATGCCGCTCCAAGACTCGTCGACAATCGTTCTCCGTACTCTTGCTTTCTCCTCTTCCACCATGGGTGCGGAGCAGATCGGCAGCGCGACTATGCAAGCTTCTACAGATGAACAGTTTACTACAACTAGCGGAGAGAAACAAGCGCAACCAACAGGAGAGACTCCAGGAGGACACAACTCCAGGACCGACCGATTTGATCGGAGTGAGCGGCGCCATTTTCGCTCTTCGGGGAACAACACTGCAACATCAGAGCAACGTAGCTCACAGAGAACCTCGCAGAGTTCTACATTGGTCGCTAAGATTCGGCAACGAAAGAGTGAAGAAATGAACAAGAATGTTGATCCAAGAACGTCTGGAGATTTAGACGAGGAAGCGTATCCTCACGCCCAAAATTTCGGGAGACCGCATCCGTCACATCTGTATCATACAGCGCCTAAGAAGTCCTCCAATCTTGGCCAACGACTACTCTCATCTGTAAGCAGCGCAGCCACTGCAGATCTCAGAACTTCAGGTCAACAAAATCTGGATGTAGACGAGCAGGAAGATGCTGATGTTGCAAATAACATAAAAAGTGCTGGAGAGGGCAACGCAATTGTGCCAACCAAAAGCAGGAAAATATCAGCCTCCTCAACACAGGAGGACAAGGACAAAAACTCAGCAGATTCTTCAGGACATCATGCTGGACTTGTAAGATTTGGATCAAAAGTTCATAGTGAGGAAAAGCCTACATCAGTTGGCATGACACTGAATAAAAGTGGACGACTGGTGGAGATCGGTGGGGGTGGTCCTAGTAGTCCTCCTTCTCTGTCTTCTCTTGGTGGAGCAGTTGGTGCCCTTTCCGCTGGTGCAATCTTTTCGTCTATGCTAAACAACAGAGACAGTGCAGTTCAGAACTCCTTCTCTTCTACTTCGGACACTGGGAATGGAGGCACTTCCCCTTCCCCACGGGTGTCGCTCCTAGGACCAAGCCGGTCGCTCAATCTAACTGGCATGCCAACAGTTGTGGCGCCTTCGCTCGAAAGTGCTCTACTGTGTGTTGTAGAAGGAGTTGCTGCGAGTGGTGCAACCACCACCAGTACAGCTAGCGGCGTGCCAGAACCAACCGAGGACCCACCTGCGACTACACTCGTCGCAACATCTTCTGGTGCTCAAGAAAGAACGCAAGATACAATATGCAGCAATTATGTTGAAACGAGTAAAGAACAGGGAAAAGATAAAGAACCTAGTGGTACAGTTACATATTCGGTGGAGCAAGCTGCAGCACCTCCATCTGCAGTCGTGAAGTTTGATACAACTGCAGCGAGAAGCCCACGTGAATATGTGCAAGCTAAACCAGGGGTGGAACAGCCTCAGCAGAAAATATCAACGACGCAAAAACGAGGAAAAAGCACTGTCAAGGACGTCGAAAGGAAAAGCGTAAGTAGGAAAGCGACGACTTCCACTGCGACGAACATGAACCCTGCTGCGCAAGAATTTAATCCCGCGAAACGCTCAACATGAAAAGAAAACACGAGATAGATTCCGATTCATGGTTATAATTGGTCGTAATAATCTACAACTGAAACTGATGAATACTTCTCTTTTTTTCTCCGAAAATTTAGCATGTACAGACTCACACTCATATGATCCACATCGATCCACATCATACGCATAAATACTGAACATTCAACATTGTTGTAGCACTTGGTAAAAGAATTGTACAAGTAGGTCCAGCGGCGCTCAAAGCACTAAATAAAACAACTGGTTCGCTTTTACCTCTAGCGTGTAGCCCTTCCAACAATACAAGCACACAATAACATAGTACATACGGAAGGAAAGAGCAGCAGACCTGGTTAGCACTTTTTTTATGGCGAGAACTGTTCTTGGGAACAAACATTCATATTCAACTGCTACTGTAATGCGCTTGTTTGCAGTTATCGATTTGCATGATGCGCAATGCTATAAAGGAGGAGGCATTTTTTTGTCATATGACAAAACAATGAAAATGATGCGCTCACGCACATAGCGAAAACTTTGATGTTCTCATCCTCTGTGATCTCCCTGGAGCAAATGCGAGAGCGAGCTTTGATCTGCTTCACGATCTTGTCAATGATGCGAGTGTGGTGGAAGGCTTCACTTAATTACTACCACCACTTGGTTGAATTTTCTAGCGATTAGATAAGATTATAGACGGCAATTATAGTTATTCGATAGGTAGTACAATGGGTACAAGAAGACTGGATCGACAGTTGTGAGTGATGATCCTGAACCTGGGCGCATTTGTATTTAATGGTTTATTCTTACTCATAGAACGCATCAAGGAAAAAGGGAATCAATATTTATACATAGAGACATTGTTTGTCAAGTAATCCGATGATCACGGATATTATCCCACGCCTGCCCCTTTACGTAAACAAGGTTCAAGAGTAAGGTAATCAGTGGACCTTATCTCAGCTACGTCTCCCCGCCGGTCCACAAGCACGAGTGAGGCTGAATTCTATTTTCGCCAGGCTCTCGCACTTAGCGTTCTAGCTGGAGTGGAATCTTCTGAAACTTGAAACTTGTCAAGTAATGGCGTGTGGTCGTTCGTCGTACGCGAAGGCGAAGATGTCATGCTTGAGCACGACGGCACCCGAAAAAGGACTCTACTTTTTCCGTTCCTTATCATGGGTTCTCCTCGTCATGTGCGTCTTGATGTACTCGTCCTGCTCGTCTCCCATTCTGGCTGCACAGCTTCCCTCTGGTCGCCCAGACGCCTTCCGTTCCGGAGAAGAGCTTCCCCGACGGGAGGGTCTTGCTCGAGAAGAGCTTCCTCCACATCGACTGCGGGATGTTGATAGACAACAGCACGCCGTTAATAACCAGACTTATGCAGCTATGACTCAGCCAATTGTAGGAGGGTACTATGCCTATGCTGTCTCCTCGTCCTCTGAAGACTTCTATTACACTGCGGAAAAGCGAAGAATAGGAGGTTCTTGCGACATGCCAGAAGCGGCAAAAATTAAGGCTGATACTTGATTTGTCAATAATATTCTTCATCGCAGACGGCACAATAGAGTACTCACTAGAATAATCCGTGCTTGAGGAGTAGAAGGACCCTTAGTAACGATTTCACCTTCGAGAAGAGTTGTGGGAAGAGAGAAGCTTTTAGCACTAGATTTCAGGGGACGAATCAATTTCATATTTATAGAAGCGAGGAAGAATAGGAGGTTCTTGCGACATGCCAGAAAGGGCACTCTCACTAAGTGAGAGACGGTGATGAAAATTTAAGCATACTAGTAGCTCTAAGACACGGGTCCCTATCGCTGTAGCGGACGATCCTTCCGTGAACGTAAGCAGATGCTCTCCGAACATCCCAGTTGATGTTGGGCGAGGAGATGATGCAGCTGCAGTTCTCCGCGACGAGCGTTAAGGAAACTTCTTCTTCTGTATTCACATATTTTCGCTTGAGTCCATTTTCATCGCCATGCTGAAGACGGTAATATGTATTTTTTAGAAATATGTGTCTGTGCTGTCCACTCGTCTCACTCAGATTTTCATTTTTCTAGTACAACAAGAGCAACTTTTAGTTTTGATTTTGAAAATATGTAGAGGGAGGAAAAGAATCAAGAAGCATGACTTGTAAAAAGATGATGTGTAGTTGGCACTACAAGAGATATGCGCATGAAGATGCTCTAAGAATATTTGCACGACGAGGGATGTGCGCAAGTGTGGAAGAGCGCTCTCACATTAGCCCACGAGCTGGATTAGGGCCGCTGTTGGACCATCCTCAGCGTCATCGATCCTTGGCCCTTTTTTCAAGGGGAAAAAGGGACCAGGAAGGCTCTCAGGGATGCGAGAGCGGTAGCTCTAACTGGAGCAATTGCGAATCCGATCGGACCAGGCTACAGTGGAAGGTGCGACGACTGAAGAGGACCGCACAAAGGATAAGGAACGGAAGATGAGAGGAAGAAGACACAGGAGACTGCGATCGCGCCAGAGAAGATCGTCACGGCTTGGTAGGGCTCCAATTACGAAGACCAATTCATCCCTATTCGGATCCCTGAAGAACAAGTAGATAGACGAATTGAAGTAAGTAGATATTTATTAGACAGAGAGACAAGAAGGTGGAGGAGGTTGTAGCAAGAAAAGATAATCTCATCGAATGGGAATGAGAAGATACCAATATTTTTTGTTGATACTACTAGAAGGGACGAGAAATAGCTTCAAGTACTTACCTAATATGCTGGTACAGTGCACCAGTGATTGCGATGAATTTTTCTTACTACTTGCGCTAAAACATCCTCATTGGCAACATCACCACCCTGGTTGGAAGCTGCAGCAGCATTCGGGCCGAGCTCTTATTTTTCATGGGACGAGGTACGTAAACATGCTGAAACTTCGCCAAGCGCAGGCATTGACGGCTCTTCAGATAGCGATACCTCTTCAAGTAGCAACTTTTTAGGACTATGTAGCTTCTGCGAGGACCCAGAAAGGACTACATTTCAACCGCTCCCTGTGCTGGGTGCTTTGCACCATCACCAGAACCGATGCTCAGCGTCACCAGAAAGAGGGATAGAGGAAGTCCGTCACGCGTGCGTAGGGAGCTTCAAGGAAGATCTTCCTGAGGGCCGTGGAGTGCTGAAGAGAGAGCTGGATAGTCAACACGAGAGAGCAAGAATGGCGGTCAACAACACGAGAGAGCCTCTAGAGAGCGCCTCTAGCGAAAGTTGTCGGTCGTCCGGTGGCCCTGATGATTTGGCGCCACCTACTCCTTATTCCTCTGAAGACAAAGCGTTTTCTATTGCTGATGTCAATTCCGTGCACCACGACGCCAGCATGTCTTCGCCGCCCTCTTCAAATTTGCATGCTGAGGCTCCCATTCCATTTGAGCAGGACGTCGAAGAAACCACGGCTCGCACAAAGAAAGTACTAGAGCACCCTCAATATGTTGCAGGAGAAGAGCAGTCTACTTCGTGTGGATCATATCTCCAGGTCAATCTGCCCTTCCTTGTGCGGCGGATGCGACGTGGAAGTAACCCATTTGTACAGCCGTCCGAAGAGTTGAACGAGCTTCCCACTTCTAGTAAGAGGAAGAACTATTTGCTCTCTGCCGGCGTCGATCACACCCGTGCGCATACTAGTAGAACAGCGGAGAATAATGTTCTTCAAAATAATGATAATGCCAGCACGTCGACCTTCGTCACAACACATCGCGTGGTTGACGGCAAATCCTCAGACCGAGGTCTAGAGAGTCCGCAACGGAGCGAAACCCTATCATTTCTGCCACAGAGCAGCTGCAAGACTGGAGAGTGGTGTAGTTGTTAAGGGTTTTCGAATTGCTGCATTCTGATTCTTCACAAGTACCATCCCTGACTCTATTTTTAGTAGAAAAGAGGCCAGGAATGTTCCGAAGAATGTAATTTCGTAACCTCTAATGTTGGCGGGATGCCCAGCGTGCGTGGTCGAACAAAATCTTCGCAGCTTTTACTAAGGGCGCCAGAGGAGCTTCTAGTGGCGACACCTTCGCGACCACTGAGAGCAGAGGCGCTTCTACAGGTTCTAGTGAGCCACTCTTGACATCCGGACGAATCTGCAACGGCCGAGAAGGAGGGCCAGAGATAAGGCTGTAGCTAATGCATCTTTGATTGCATCCTTGAAACGTATGGGGGAGTGTCCCAGTGCGATACTCTGGCATACTCTTCAAGGATGCAGCTGGAAGATGAATTACGGAGAGCGTTAACAGAGGACTGCATTATATCAACGCGACACAAAGTATTTTTAGCACCGAAAGACTATGTTGAGTTCTCAGAGAACGTCGAAGAACATGAAGGTGGCAATAAGAAAGTCTCGCTCTAAGACATGATTGTGATTTCACTGAGACTGACGCCGCAGGCGCTGGTGCTCGTCTACAAGTTTGCTAAATGCTCAAAGCTTATAATACATAAGTAGAAAAATTAAATCTTCTTTTTTTGAATTGTAGAGTGAGATGGATGCGCGCACTGCACGACTTCTAGTGAAAATCGTTCCACATTCATTGTAAACCTGGTCCCTCTTTCCACTCATGTGGACGGTTGTTCGCTTTTTCTGCGGTAAATGCACAACTGCAGCAATCATCGTTTCTTTAGCTAAGTGAATAATGAATTTGCACCTTGGGTGGCTGCGCCTCCCGCCGGGTGTCAAAATTTAGATCGAGGGTTGAGGGAACAGCACGAAGAAGAACACTGCATTCTTGGAAACTACAAAGGGGATCGACTGATGCGAAACAAAGGGAGCTGGAGCTCAACTCAAGTTTAAATTGAGCTTCTTTGCTCGAAACCTGCAGGCTTAGAACTCATTTCTGGACACGACACAGACAATCACAAGCTTCTTCATATTCTTTTAACCCTTTGGTAGTAGAATCAATAGTTTCTACTTATTGATTCTGCATCCACGGTAGTCGCGAACAATTATAACTAAGTTTGTGGGTCCACGATTTACATCCTTAACCACCATCTTCGCCCCCTTAGAAAACGGAGTGTACTGAGACTTGTTTTCAAGCAGAAAAGGGCGTGCGTATACATTTGAATACTCACGCACTTAGGGGGAGCGCTTTATGATTATACTGCTTGGGCATCCACGGTAGTCGCGAATAATAAGTTAATTATACACCGGGAGAGACACTACACATCACATGATAGTGATACTTACCCCTTATCAATCAAAACATTCTTGTACGCCACGAATGGGTTTTCACCAAATGGGTCAGCTACTGTCCTACATAACTAAGGATGAGACTCATGAACATCATCATGAGTAAAAGTTCTACTAGCACTGCTCGCGGCAATATAATTGAGGAAAAGACTGTAGGAGGTACTGGGAAAAATATTCCTAAGAATTTCGAAAGACCATCTTCTTCTTCATCTTCTAGCGATGCTTCTACAGGTAGTTGAGATGCAAGAGCTGTTGTTGTAGCACTACGCTTCTTGCAAAAATCTGTGGAATTCATGGCACTTCATCTTTCATCTTCATTATATGTAAGTAGTCATCTACCGTGCATTGTCCTAGATTAGTCCCTCATCAATGCAATATACAGTCAGTCTATTGAATACAACTTCTTCTCCCGACTGCAAGGTTTAGGATTAGTGATAGGATATTTATACTGTCTTGTGCATATACTATGATGGAGGTAGTGTCCATGGAGAGGCAGCTTGCGCTGGTCCGTCGCCGGCAGCTTCTCGGATATACATGCAAGCTCCAAAAAAAAGGGAGGCCCAAACTGAATCGAGTTGCTGGATGAAAGAGCAGCTCGCTGTCGCTGCTGAATTTGCCAAAGAATCAAAAGCCGACTTCTATAATACTTTTTCTTTTTCTTTTTTTTTTTGTATCGTGAGCGAGTTCCGTAAAGAACCTGGTGCCTCATCCAGTTCCATCCAAACAGCAAAAACGTTGTACATGGAAAGCAACATACAACGTGGAGGCAGATCTTGGAGTATTTTTTCCCCTTCTTCTACTACGTCCTCGTGTGTAGCACACGCTGTGTTTCGCTGGTGCATTTCCTAGACCACAGGCACTAGGATAGAATTAAGAAATTGTGCTGTGAAGGAGCACCAGTAATATAGGGAATCGCGCGTCGGTATTAGAAGAGTTAGCGAACCTTGAGTACTCGAAATCCACATGAACCGAGAGTACCCTTCTAAGTAGGTACCCTTGTAGGTAAACTGCGCATGCGTCAATTATCGTCACAGCCGCTAAAAATCTGTTCATGCGAGTAGAATGAAGTCCTGTCGTGTTTTTCAAAATGACAGACGTAAGTGTGTTGAGTTGCAAGTTTACCCTCTCGAGAGAGTGGAGTTTTGTTTTGATTCTTGATGAAAAATTCTAGTGGAGTTCTTGCGAAAGAGTCGTCATCGTAGGGTATCTTCTCCAGTGAACCGAGAGTACTTGCCGTCGTACCTGGGGTTATTTCATCTGTAGAAGATGTCGTCTCCTGTCGCTAGCACCACCAGACCTCTGGTTGCGGTCGCGCAGATGCGTACTACCAATGAGCACGCTCGCAATTTCGAGACCGTGTCTGCGCTCGCACGGGCTGCAAAGCAGCGCGGCGCCAGCATGTTGCTGTTACCCGAGGCCTTCGCTTTTCTAGGAAACCACTTCACAGAAACGGTGGCGCAAGCAGAACCGATTCCACCGATTTCTCGTACTTTCGCCACTGGCGTTTCGCAACATCCGCCATTCAGCGCAGAGCAGCAAAATTCTTCATGGATTTCGAAATATCTCCGTTTGGCTAGAGAACATGGTATGTGGCTGAGCCTAGGTGGCTATCATGAGAGGCCAGCCGCAGCCAGTGACATAAAAACCGGTGCTGGGAGCGTTGGTTTTGACAAATTGAAGAACAGCATGGATGAAGAACCTTCTGCAGCCGCACCTCCAGACCAGACCTCCGCTACAACGAAGCAGACGCGTGCAAGCGAGGAAGCAAAGACGACATCTGTAGAGCAGAACGCGTCTACTAGAGATCAAGTTGAAGAACGACCACAAGTGGAAAAAGTGTACAACACGCATTTGATTGTGGACGATAGTGGCGCTATACGTGCGCTTTATCGAAAAATCCATCTCTTCGACGTAGCGATTCCAAATGGTCCAGTGCTCCTTGAGTCCAGATATACCATACCTGGATGCTTTAGTTAAGATGTGGAAGTCGTTTTGGTTCAGTTGTGTTTGTGATGCTTTTACTTTCCTAGTCGTGTAGTTTGCTTGTTTCTTAATCTTACTCTCTTCAGACGCAACCAACCTAGAAGTCCTTTTTCTGCCTGCTGAGGGTTTTTAGTGCTGGTTTATTCTGTTTCTTCATGCATAACCTCGTAGAATGCCTGTCTTCATATCCTTTCCGACAACGTAATTGTGGTTCCTGACACGCCAATCGGTAATATTGGGTTGACGACCTGCTACGACTTGCGCTTTCCCGAGTTGTACACCACGTTGCGAGAGCGTGGCGCAGAGGTCCTGCTTGTGCCCAGCGCGTTTACGGTTCCAACTGGACGAGCGCACTGGCACTTGCTTCTGCAGGCGCGCGCGGTCGAGACGCAATGCTTTGTGCTGGCAGCGGCTCAGTGTGGCCGTCACAACGAGAAGCGAGAGTCGTTTGGCCATGCACTAGCAGTGGGACCCTGGGGTGACGTGCTCGCTGATGCGGGATCTGATGTAGATGTTAAACTTAAAAATACAGGAGCAGGTGAAGGCATCAGTTCATCTAAGGGTTTTGAACGTGAAGGCGACGTCAATTCATCTAGAGCACGTGTTGGCACTGTGATAGATGTCACTGAAGATAGCTGCTTCTGTCTCGCGGAACTAGATCGAGGTGAAATGACGAAAATACGCGAAAAAATGCCCATCATGCAACATCGAGAAGCAGCTGGTTTCTTCCCAAGGCTCTGAGGCTACAACATGGAACGCAGACTTCGAACTTTCACATCTTTAAAGACGTGGACAGACACGGCGTATGGAACCGAAAAGTCTTTTCACTTTCAGAATCAGTAAAATTTATTCTTTATAAGCTTTAAATATCTAGTTAATAGATTAAGTTAACTAGCTAGTTAAGTGGTGGCTGCGAAGGTGCAAGGCTTTGTGCGTGGCAAGGTCTGAGGCGATCCCGTGGAGAAGAGCTGGGTGGCTGAGCCCATGAGCCAGCTGGATGACGAATGATGATGCACTTCTCTGGGAAAGTCTTGAATTTGAAATGTCCACGTCTGTAGCACCACCTCGAAACCTCAAACCGTTGTAACCTTAAGAGCTCGGCTATTGAAAGACAGATGCAACATGATGTAGAAAGACCTTCGCCATTCTGCGCTAATGGCAAAGATGAGATGTACTGTTTTTTGGATACGGAGTCGGACTAGATGTTGAGACGTCGATCGGTTTTCCTCTTTTTTCGATCGCAATCCAATGAGAGTAAGCTTAGAGGGAGTTTCTTCGTTTTTTTCGGTGGTCGTTAACCTTCAAACCTGACGAGCGAGCCCGGATTGATCTTCGTGAGCGATGTCCTGAAACTACTGAATTTATAACGTCGTCTTCTCTGAAAATTGCGCCCTTCTGATCTTTTTGCCCTTCATCAGGAAAGGAAAGTCCCCCATTAGGTTTGCGCTCGTAAAGCAGCTACTTCAGAAGAGTTTTCTCAGTTCTCAACTTAGATCAAAGATGTTCGGTGGTCTTGGCGGGGAAGGAAAAAGCCTCACGCCAGCGCAAAAGCGCTCGCATGCGAGCGCCCATGCAAATGCGCTTGTCTCCCTGGCGCCGTATCTCGCACGCCATCAGCGTGACTCGCTTATTGTTACCTTGCAGCAGGCAAATATCCAGGAAGCAGAGACTCTTCCCATCGGAAAGGAGCGCTTTGGTGGTCAGCAATACCGTGGTACTGAGCTACAAGTTGGATGCTATTAATTCTTCAACATTTCCCATCCTCAGTCAGTTGTGAACAGGTTGAGACCTAAGACGCATTCTCCTATCGGGTTTTGCATGTGATGACGGTGTCCATACATGTCTCCAACTCAAGACCTTCTCGCTTTGACTAGTTCTTCATCTAACTGTAATCCATTCCCAACCTCCAGATGGCTGGGCCTCGTTGCCGGCTAAACACCATGCCCGTTGGATTGCAAGGGCTACGCACTTGCCGTACAGCGAGGTGCAGCGCATTGTTTCGTCTGGCGAGATTGCTTGGAACATCTACAAAGTCCTTGGGATGACGGCTCAGCACGTACATCTTACTCTTAAGTCTTGGATTGCTTGAAGAATTGGCTGTGAGAGTTTTAAAGACAAACACGACGCTCATAATTTAGCTGCATAAGCTCGTGGTCCATGAGTTGACGTTTCTTTTTACCAGACGAAAATACTACTTAACTTTCCTATCCCTTTTCATAAATACATCAGCCGCCGGCTGGCGAGTCTCGCAACGCACAACCGGACGAAAAAAGCTGCGACAGCGAAGTCGCAGCTTGGGCTGAGAAGCATGGGGGTTTGAGGGAGATTCTGTCTGCTGTGGAAGAATATACCACTTTCGGCACACCGATTCCAGTCGATCTCTATTATTGGAATCGTATGCGCGTTAAGCGTGGGCTGCCAGTCTTCAATCCCGGCATGCAGCAGAATAATCGTCCGGTATTTTCTTAGAGAAGTGCCTATCTCTTTGTAGTAAACGAAGAAGGAGCTCGAGTGTCTACTTGCCATCAATGGAATTTGAAGTAGGTCCTACAAGTAGCTCAATTTGTCATACTAAGTCCTACAATTAGACGTCACATATCTCTAGCTCCCGATGGACATCCTCACATCTTATCTCTTTCCCAGATGGCCCTTATGGACGCGCACACGCCTTTTCCCGCTCCAGCCGCGGCTGCGACGGACATGGCAGATCGCAGCCGTTCCAACCGCCGCCCAACCGTTGAAGCAGATGTAACTGAGGAGGTTCCGCCAACCAACCTGTTTTCGGCGCCGGCGCCGAAATCTGCAGCAGGACCCAGTACCAACACAGCCTCCAATGCTGCTCGCCGCGAGATCGTCGAGAAGAATCCCGTGTGCACCAAAACGGAGGTGGTCGACGTGGATGGAGGACAAATGCTGCTGATGCACTATGATGATGGTACCGTCCGCCACACCATGATCACTGGGTCGATCGGTGACAAATCGAAGAAAGTCGGATCTCCGCGTGCAGCTGCTGCCGAGCCAGTGCTGTCGAAGTCGAAGTCCGTCGGGTCGGAGAAGAACGGTCCCGGTGACCAACGTGCTGAAGATCACAAGAAGGATCCAAAGTCCTCCACTGATGAAGAGGTCCCGGCAAAGAAAGCCGTCACGACGGTCAAATCTGCTGATGTGGAAGTCGGAGCAGAAGAGAAGGGTGAAGAACCTGCTATCGGAGAGACTGCCGCTGATGAAGATACTCAGGCTGCAACGGAGTCTGCCGCTGATAACAAGGGAAAGAAGGGCAAATCCACGCTGGCGGACATGGCCAAAAAACCTAAGGCTCCGAAGAAGCAAGCGAAAGCCAAGAGTGGACCGCAAAAGAAGTCCACTGAAGAGGGTGGAGTGGATGATATCCCGGCAGGTGCTGCGACTGGCATGGATGTGAGCTTCGAGCAGGCTCTCGGATCCGCGGCCTCCAGTGAGAAGAAGTAAGTGATGAATGGAGAAAGAGATCTCCAAATGGTTCCTCTTGATTAGAATAGAAGTACTTCAAAATTTATCAACAAGAATAACGGTTATTATATTCGTCATCAAATAGAAACGGCACTACAAGTTGCGTCAATCTATTAAATTTAAGTATTAATTTGTTCAATGAATTGTTTAGATCAGAGCAGTTTCGTTAAGAATTTGATATCTACGGTATGAGAAAGTAAGGAAATTTATGGAAATCGCAGAACTAAAAGGCATCTACTAAATACCGAAAAGGAAGAGAGTGTTCAGTTAAAACAATAAGGGATTTAAGTGTATCAGGCTGTTCGAAGTATTCAGTTTCATGATTAAAGTTTCTTAATTTTCAAATCAACGAAAACAGTACTGGGAAAGAGTTACGATAAGGGAAAACAAAAGCGAAATTGTAATAAAAGACAAGAACGAGCGAACGAATTTCTAGTCGGGAAACAAGATGATGAATTATTCTTTCAAGTGATGTATGTCATTCGCTGAAGTACGACCGTAGCGCTCTTTGCACAAGCACGGAGTTACTCGATTCGACGCCAGTGTCGTTACTTCCGTTTCCATTTTCTCGAGCTAGATACTTGTCCTGTGAGGGAGATTCTGAGAGAATGGGTGACACTTCGATGAGTGGGAGAGTCCTGCAGTCGTTGTCTTTTGAAAGCGATTGAAAATGAAAAACGGACTGGCTGGCTGTTGATTAATGAAAACGAAAGTGACACCGTGAAAGAAGTAGGCTGTTTGATGGTAGTTACGCGCGAAATCTCTATAAAATTTTACGTATTCAAAACCTTTCCATAACGTAGACTCTAGTCCATAATGCCTCCACAAAATGATGGCGTCGCGAAAGCGATTCGCGACGCCGACCTCAAGCTGCTGGATAACGGTCGAATGAGTGTGAGGCGGCTCTTGCCTTTTCGAAATCGATGCAACTGGGGGCGAGACTTCCAGGAAGGCTATCGCTGTTTCCGCTTTCACCGAAATATCCGCACTGCCAGCTATAATGAAAAGAGTGGCGTTGCCGATGACGATTGGGGGATGGAGGCGGTAACTCGTTGATCATAATTCGTTACTACAGAGATGTGTACTTTTTCTTCGATAAGCTTCTGGATTTTTATGGACATGGGATGGACCTCTTCAGTATAATCGCTTCAGTGCATACAAACTTGCTTATAATATTGATAGCATCTTCTCGCATAAACTTCCAGGTGCACTTTACGCTATATATGCGGAATTGCAAATGCTTCGATGAACGGACTCAGCAGATCGCCGTGGCAGCGCGCTTCTCGATTGACGAGTTAGATTCCGACCCAAGCCGAGTGGCTTCGCAGATCGAGTCCTTATTGTGTGGGGATGGGGTCACGGACTACTTCCAGCTGGTATTGTTTTTAAATTGGCGCAAATAGATGCTGACTGTCGAGCTTGATTCAGTGCACGAAGTTAGTCTTGACCGTGAGCATTCATCACATAACCACTGAGCATACTAGAGTAGAAACGTTTCATCTCGTCGGGCCCTTAGCATCCTTTTAAGCAACCAAAGACCTTAACCATCTAGTGCTTGAAAATCCAAACCAATCACGCCCCACCATCCCAGAAACGGCTACTGGTTCAAATGTTCGACCTGTCCTTCTTCGTGCAAAAAGTGGCTGGATTAGTGAATGCCGGTTACGAGGATTGCCGACTGAATGCCCTGCAGTGGCAGCATTGTTTAAACATACAAGCGGATGGAAGTACAAAGGGCAAGGAAAAAAAAGAGGCATATCAGGTGCATGCTTTTACTTGGATAAGAGGTTCTTAGTAGATTTCAGATAAGGCAAAATCAGTCGTAACATCTTCTTTTATCAAGAGGGAAAGGCCTCGCGTTATATCTCCACTTTCATCATTCGGCTTTACTTTGTCTTTGTGCAGCAGTGGTTTCTCCTGCTCTCCAGGTTTATGTCACGGTCGTCGATCCAGATCCAAACGAGGACACCATTAAGACGTTTATGGCGCCTGTGCCGTTGCAGCGTCCATCAACACAAACAAGAGGCGGAGACCATACGGTGAAGAAAGCAACATATGACGCATCGAGACCGAAGGTGAGAGGGCTGCTGCGACTGGTGCATCATCTTGGGGGCAGTCGGCTGATGGAGGTTTTCATGGGAGACGCGGTCGCATCGGGTCCAGCGCCAACATTGGTGTTGGATTCCGATCAGGAGGAGTGTGAAGTGCGTGCGCACTTCGCTTTGGGAATGGTGATGCGTGCAGTCCCAAGACTGGGACTGCACCATCGCTTAGCAAACCACGTGAATAAGGAAAAGCAGCTGCTGAAGGTGAGGGAAGCTCTACGAGAGTTTACCGGAGGGGCTCTCGCGAAAGAGTCCCTCAGAGGAGCGTTCATTTCTGCGCGAGACGAATGCGCTGTTCTTGCTCGTGCTTTCAGCTTAGTGGTCGACGCTATAGAGAACGAGACCGGAAAAGCAACAGCCGACGCTTTGGAGGAAGGTACTACTAGATTCGGACGAGATGATAGATGTCAGCTTTTGGACTTTCATTTTGCTCAAAATGCTCCAAGTTCGCATCTCATCGAAAAAAACCACGTTTCTGACCCTTGTCCCGACTAGGATCCACATAATCCTACCTAGTTTTCCTGTCGCTTTCAACCATGGCCTTCACCCATGGCCGCGACCATGATTTTCAGAGTTGAAAAGATGCACTTTTTTAGCTTTTCTAGTGGGGAATAGGTTTCAGAAGTTGGTCCGAATGGTCCTGAAATTGTAAGGTTCTGCGAGGGTCTCGCTCACGGTCTCAGAGCGGGACCGAAGCTGCAACATCATGACGAGTTGCATGTCGACTACAGAAATTTTCTCCTTCACCTACATCTCCACTTCAGCTACCTCGCTCACCTCGATGGTTCGAACCCGATGGTTCAACTTGTGCTACGTTGCGGCTTGGCTCGAAAAGAATTGCAGTGTGACCATTCATATCCTCAGACACATGCTTGGCAAGCCGCAAATTCGGCAGCGAGTTGTTGCTGCTGAGGCGGCAATGTTGGTGGAAGCTGGTCATGATGCAAACGCAAACGAAGATATCGAGATCGACGATCTATTTCCACTAGCTCCAGTAGATGTCGACGACGGACCGCTGCCGGGACCTCGGCCTTTACTCGATGCGGAGCAGCAGGTGGATTTGCCGGAAGAACAGGTGGTGGCTGTCGACCCCCATGGAGATGGGCCCGCTATTCAACCCGTTGCTGCAAACCGAGAGGAAACTGGAGGTCGAAAGAAGACACAGGCGCTTTTGACTGCACTAGAAGAAGTGGATATGGATGTGGTCCGGCACTATCTTCGCATTTCTCGTAGGCCTTGGATGTTCCACCAACTTCATTTGAAAATAACCTACGGCTTGCAAGCAGATGACGCAACCACCGAACCCACTGAGAGGCTGATGGAGCAGTTCCCAGAATTAACATGCGATGCAGGACATCATAGCTTTTTATTCGATGTTGCCAAGGAGCTCCCGCACATCCTCGCATCATTCATCGCGGAAGCCTTCGAGTTCGTGTGGGGGCAGGAGCAGTTTACTCGTGTGCTGAAGTTCGCCTGTACAGTCAGCAGGCACTGGTTCTGGGAAAAATACGATCCGTCTTTCGGCCTCTGGGTCTCCATTTATCACAGAGGAAACGTTAGTGGATCATCCATCAAGAAAGCAGACTTTCTGAACCTACGACCATTGACGAAGTTCGGATCTCAGATGCTCGAGTACCTCAAGAACAACGCTGAAGACGATGGCCTGCAGGCGGTGCAGTCCGTCATCATCAGCGGTGCCACTAGTGACAGTGAAGGAGAGAGCCACTGGAAGTGGGTCTCTCTTGCTCGCGGAGTCGTCAGGCTTTTGGCCGGGAAGTTTCGTTTGAGCCACCAGAGACTCAGTTGGAGAGACCGGCTGCAGCTATTCCAGAGGATCCCGCGATTCTTTGGCAGTTCAATGGAGAAACCGATTCCGTCACCTATCGTTCGTGGCTACATGCAGACCGGCTCGACACGTCAGGAGCTACTCGAGATCATTCGATCCGAACATGTGAAGCAGCCAACCCGCCTGGAGCAGTTCAAAAACCTTGAAGACCTCCATAAGTCCGAGAAGATGAGCAGTCGTGCCCTCGAGATTGAGAAGCAGACTCTGAACCACGTAGCGGACGAAGCTATCTGTTCGCATGCAGAGACGTACGGTCTGCCAGGACTAGAAACTGCTATTTGGACCAAGTTGCGCAGCAAGCGAAATCGTCGCGACTTTCGAATCTTGCAGCGCGCGGCAGACTTGGTGTGCCGGCGATTGGGTTTGTATACCCGGCTGACAAGTGACGCAAAGCCGATTGTGTTGATGGACAACTACTTTGACGGCCGCGTAGTTCTGGTAATCGACCTGAAGAAGGGCATGTACTCTGGAATGAAGATGAAGATAGGACTCGAAGCCGACGTCTATATTCTGGACATGGATGGCACTTCTATCTGCTACGGATTCGCTTCGCACTGCTGGGTTTTAGAAGATTACCAGTGGGCTTTTCCGAATGGTCGCATCGAAATATCGACAGATGCAAACTGGTTGACTTTTCACTCGTGTCTCCTAGAGTGCGTGAACAGTATTGCGTACGCGGACCTGCTTCCCATCATCAAGCTCTACTTGGACTTCTCCCTGAACTTCGACGAAGGGCTTCCTGAGAAGGTGCTCCGAGATCTTCTAGCGCGTATTCTCGAACACGATGATCGAAACCGTGCAGCAGCTGAGGTCGAGAAGGTTCTGCGAAGCAATGTCTCATCGGTTGCGAGCATTGGGCCGGCACTGAAGAAGCTGAAGGCGAATTCAGGTCGCGCCGTAGGCGTTGCGAATGCTCCTGCAGGAGATGACTCGGACAACGAGCAGCGCGTCTTTTTAGGACGTGTCTCCAACGTATGTGAGTGGCACATGACCTGCAGCAGCTGCAGAAAGCTCATCGCGCGCGTGATGAAGACGGAGAGGCGCCAAAACCTCTGCGGAGCCGCTCTCTACGTAAAATATGAGAAGCATGTTCCCTTGGAGCCAGGGGATAAAAAGGCTCCATGCAGGTGCTGGATTAGAGACAAACAGGCGACGCACCTGATCGAAGAATACGGATGGCGGACTACTGCGGAGGATATCCACAAGCGAACGTGCCCCGCGGCGTCGCTGACTGTAAAGGAAGTCAAGAAACGCTCCTAGCTCAATCGCGAGCGTTGTTTCGCTCAATCATCGTGATTCTTTTACAACTAATATCCACAGCAATGCTGATGGCAGTGTGCATATATTCTATACAAAAAGAAATATATTTTATGTATGAATCAAGGACTTACTCTAGCACTTCACCCGGAAGCGAGTAGTCGCTAAAGTCTCTCGCTGTATTGTTAAATCTGTCCACTGAGTACCTCAATCCACACTATCGTTAATCAGATTCCTAGTCTATTCTTCTCTTATTCATCTGCTTGCACCTCTACAATTATGTAAGACCTTCTATTTGATTCTCGTGGAAGCGAGTACGTAAGACCGACCAAGTTTGTGTCTTGTTTAAGTGAGTGGAATTCCTTCGAGAGAGCTTATTTTTTCTATCTTGACCATAAGCAGAGGGGTCGCGACCTCTCTGTCTCCTACAGGCAAACAGAATTCAATATCTTGAAATTATTCAAACAGCCGCATCAGTTAAGTTCTTCAGTATTAGGCTCCATTTCAATGCAACTCAAGCAAGTACATTCCAGGTCAAGCTGCAGAGCTCAAATCCTAGTAACAAGTAATTCTGCAAGTGGGATCCACCTTATCGCGATCAGAGTTACGTCTAAGCCCTGAATAAAGTTCCAAGAATGAAAAAAAGTTGCTGCATTAAGTTCCTACATTTATCAACAGTAATCCATGTCTACGAGAGAAAACGCAGGTGGCAGTTCAGTGAAAAAATCAAAAGTAAAACGACCTAATAGTTACAATGTCGATGCTACCGATCTGAAAGAGAATAAGACTCTGCAGAGCTCAGATAATCATAAAGAATCTCCGAGGCAGTTCTGCTCGCCTCTATTGCCATTTCTGTGAGCGTAGCCAAGCGTGTGTTCCTTCTGTAGCATGTGGGACGAGAGATGTGCGCGAGGGTTCACTCGAGGGCGCGACGTTTGGGCCAGATCGTTCTGACTTTTTTCGCAAGATCTTCATCCTTTTGCCAAAAGTAGTGGTCCAGCCAAGATGTCTTATCATGTTCCAGGAAGGGCCAACCAGGCGGGTAAATGCATAAGGTAGGCACCCAGTCTGATCCTTCTTTCTCCTTCCTGTTCACGTATATTACGATACCCTTCTAATAATCCACGAAGCTCTTTCTACTTGAGTATCTTACTTGCCAGGGAAGACCATGCTTAGTAGAGGTAAACATTGTGGGAGGAATGCTTTTGAGCATCATACATCTATGCTACGCCTTTCTGATCGATCTTTTGTAGTATTTTTTTCCTTACAAAACGGCAAAAGGAGACATGTCGGTACCCGCCCTGGCCCTCCATTGAAGGCGCATGGCCGTGGGCAGCAAGCTCGCACACCGGGATGAGATAGCTACCCCACAGTGCTTGCCGATCGGACATATCCTCCCGAATGTGAATTATCACAGCGTCGACCTCTGTACACCGCAGGCCGCATCCGTTTTTGCTGGTGATGATTGTACAAGGTACAGCTTTATCTTAGTCGTCTCATGGCTTTAATTCAAGGGTAGGAGATAAATCTTTGAGGTAGATTGAGATGGTGGATTCTGCGATAGCTATCTACTTTATTACTGATCGGCGAGTAGTTGAATATCTACAAGGTGAATGTGGTGTGGTATAGACTAGATCCTTACCGCTTTAGTGACACCCACAGGCCACAAACAGTTCCATGGCGGTCCCGTTTCCACTTCGCGACCTTTTCTTGGCACCTTAGCTCTACGCCACGTGGTAGGCTCAAGATGGTGTCTACTACTTGAAAGCCCTTAGTGTGTGTGACGTATTTGAGCTTCGCATCGTCGGCTGCTGCTCTGAACTGCCTCCTTAGGCGGCACTCAGTCAGCTGCGCTGGAGTCGTTGCAGCTAGTTCTTCGACTGCTTCTAGAGCACACGTCGCGTTCTCTTGCCACAGTTGTTCGAGTTTCGTGTGTAGATCAGCTGCCGAGGCCCACCACTTGCGATCGCTTAGTCTACAGCTGGACCAATTGTGGTGCCTGTGTACTGGAACTGTCAGCGTTTTCTTGCTGTGTTTGTTCACCCCCAGCAGCACTGTGTTGTGATATGCTTCGCGTCGCGTTTTTAGCGTGTGTTTCACGCCTTTAAGCCACTGGCTTATGCCGCTGTGTGACCCTTTTGCCTGCACAAGAAGGTAGCGACGGCCCTTCTTGGCGATGCCCTTCGGACATATAGCCAGGTCCCCAATGTGCTCTGGGGTGTCAGTTACTTCGAAGGCTGGCGCCAGCAGTTTTTTCAGGCGTCTGATAGACCACTCCTCGATGGCTCGTGGAGTCGACCCCATCGCTTATAGTATTAGAAACTGAGACTACAGCTGGGCACTTTATATCCTTATCTTAATCGTAAAGAGTCTTGGGTGAACCATCCAAAAAGCCCTATGAGTCCTGCTTTCCCGAGTGCTTTAGTACTTGTTTCAAGGGGTCTTCCTTATGAGATCACGGACTTTTGTCAGATACTCTATTAGGTTATAATTTCACAAAAACCTTCCATCATAATTTGCATTTCTCACCTCACCTCACAGATCCTTGCGCTGGTATTGTCGTGGTGTATCGCGGTCGCCGATTGAGCTGATCGCCTCGCTTTTTGAGCCTTTGGGGAACTATCTTGTGAGAGGTTTCGAGGTGGTGCTACAGACGTGGACATTTCAAATTCAAGACTTTCCCAGAGAAGTGCATCATCATTCGTCATCCAGCTGGCTCATGGGCTCAGCCACCCAGCTCTTCTCCACGGGATCGCCTCAGACCTTGCCACGCACAAAGCCTTGCACCTTCGCAGCCACCACTTAACTAGCTAGTTAACTTAATCTATTAACTAGATATTTAAAGCTTATAAAGAATAAATTTTACTGATTCTGAAAGTGAAAAGACTTTTCGGTTCCATACGGCGAGCAACATGTTCACACCGAAACTCATCTATGTTGACGACAACGAGGAGGTCCTTGCTCTGATCCAGATCACAAGTTTGAACCTACCTCAAAACCTTCTACTTATAAAACCCGTTAAGACTAAAAGTCTCCAATAAGCTGGGCTACCGAACAATCCCTTACATGCAGTTAGATCGCCTTCTAGTCCTATAAATATAAGCAAACAAGCACTTTCAGTGTCTTCTCGCTCCCTCAACATTGTTTTTCAAATACCTTTATAACTACTAACTACAATACATACATTTATAACTACACTAGTGAAATAAAAATACAAAACAGAGTAGACATGGCCGGGAGGTCCTCCGCATGTGATGCTATATCTCAGGCAGAATTGGGTGCTGTGTCGAACTACCGCAATGTATTCGGGGATTCTGAGTCCACTGTTTATCTCGGGCAGGCACCTGGGCGCATCGAGATCCTCGGAAACCACACGGACTACAATGACGGGTTCGTCCTCTCAGCTGGGGTCCAGATGCAGTGTCGCGTAGTAGGTGAGTTCCTGGCAGATCCTGGCCAGGTGTCGAAGAGAGGACTGAAGCCGGATAGACTGCGAATCTACTCCGCGTCCTTTCCCGAAACTGGCATTGCTGAGTGCTCACTGTCAAGTGCGCTGGAGAGCACCGCTATTAAGGGTTTCCGGATTACTTACATCCCGCACTACCATACCTGGCACTTTTCCTAGTAGAAAAGGGGCCAGGTGGGATGTGCTGAGGAATGTAATTCCGTAACCTCTAACGATGGCAGTTTTTCCAGCCTAAACCTGCCGTCATACTGCGTGTACATCTGCGGCGTCTTAGTCAATTTCATGCCACAAGGATCCGAAATATGGAAAAACAATATGGCTGTCCTCGTGTGTAACTCCGCAGCTTTGCGTGACCTTAGGAAACACGTAGTGTTGCTATCCTAATCATAGCAGTGACATTTGCAATTTCATTACATTCATTTTCATTACGAGTTTTCTCTTCTCGTATGATGGTAATTGGAAACAAGAGGCATCACGCCTACAACCGCAAGACCCGCTTTCATTTCCGTAAAGGACAGTGTCTTGCAGCTTTATATCGAATCCGAAGTTCCGCTTGGTGCCGCAGTGAGCAGTTCAGCAGCACTAGAAGTAGCAACAGCAACCTTCTTGCAGCAGATATTTCCGAGTGTAAAAGGTATATGAATTACATGACAACTCTAGATCTTTCTAGTTCCAGTCAACACGTCTAGACTAAGTACTAGGCTCAACTCTTCGAGTTCGACTTAGACTTATGTTCTTAATCTTATCAATTAGATACTCTACCTAGATCCATCTAGCGGTCGCTTCTAGATGAGAATTGTCCTCACTCACAGCCATGGCGCCATTGGATGTTATTTTGTCCTGCAAGCGGGCAGAGAACGAATACGTAGGCATGGGGTGCGGCATATTAGACCAGTTCTCTTCGCACCAGGCCGTCAAAGACTCGCTCTTACTTCTCGATTGCAGATATCCTATGGAGAAACTGAAGAAGGTACTATTGATGTTAAAAAGTACTTACTATTTTTTTGGTAGAAGGTCATGGTCAGATCCATCCTGTGCGAACTTCCGCATGGACAGAAATAACGAGTACAAGTAGTCGAACACAGAAAATAGTGGACGAGTCAACAAGGATGGATTACTACTGATGCCTGAAAAGAAGAGCTGGAACATCATGTTCATGTTGGAGTCTTGTTTTACTATAAAGAAAGCTTGTGATTGTGATATAAATGATTCGACGATAACAAAAAAAATATCGACAGGTGGCTGCCGCAGGGCGCTTGTCTTTCGTGTTGGGGAACACCGGCGTTAAGCATGCGCTGGTCGACGGTCAGTATGACACATTAAAACGCCTCTGCTACGAGGCCAGAGACGACATGATTGCAGCGAGAAATATGGAGTCAGGAATTCATGATTAAGGCTGTAAGGCTCCCCAGACTTCTAATGAGAAACCATCACATGACCACGATATGTATTGTCCTCATCCTCGACTTCATCCATAGCCAGTAAATCTTCATGGTTAAGGTGGCAGGTACTTGCTCTTCATCATCAACCTCAAGGTCAAATATCACATTTATACTACGGACATCCAGGACATCTTCAAAGAACACATTCTCACTAAGGGCCGTAAGGCTTTGTCTAGATGGATCTTCCTGTCACTCTGTATTCGAATATTATCAGAAGTTGGTAGTGGGTGTGGGACTCGAGAACAAGAACTAGTTTAAGTTTTCATAGTCCTTTCTATGACATACTCGTCGGTCACAGAGAGGAGTGGCAAGATCCAGGGCGGACATCGGTCTCTACTTAATGGCACGACTTTACTCAAGTCACCGCCTCGGTTATATTCGCTGACCCTACCTAGGTCACCCATCATCCTCGGAGGCGAGCATGTGCCCGTGAGGCTCGCTGAGAAGGATTCACAACCTAACCTAACCTACTATTAGAGTAGTTTATAGAACGGATGTAGGATGGACTCGGATGGATCGGATGGACCCCCCTGATTCTTCCGATCCTACTTGAAATGGTGGAAAGTCCATCCGATCCATCCCATCGCGGATCTGGCACCCCTATAAACTGCTCTATACTATAAATATGAGTCGATCCTTCTAGTATGTAACTTGAACTTCTGTAACTTTGACATACTATAAGTATGAATCCTTCTACTTGCTTCTAGTATGTAACTTTGACATACTATAAATATGAATCCTTCTACTTCTAGTATGTAACTTGAACTTCTCTAACGATGCTACAACGTAAACGCGATTCCTGTACACTTGCGAGACTTTTCGTCCAAGGATTTTGAGGAGTTGAAAGGGTCAATACGGAGCGACGACGCGCGTCGTCGAGGGCAGCATGTAATAGAGGAAAACGAGCGAGTTCTGGTAGCAACAAAGTTGCTTCTAGACGCCAGCAAGGGCGATGATATAGGCTTTTTATTAAGGGTTTCCGAGGAATTACATCCCTCACTTCTACAGTCCTTGGCTCCTGCTCATCAAGGGAAAATGTTGGGCCAAGGATGTTCTGAAGAATGCAACTCGGCAACCTCTAACTCTACAGGAGTTCGGAGCGTTGATGTGTGCGAGTCATGCCTCATCGAATTAAGGGCTGGATGTTGACCTGTCCAGGAGCATCTTTATGGCTTCTTCAAGTAGGAAAGCCATATTAGATATGCGAGCTAGTGAGTGGCCAACTTTCAACTCCTAACTGATGAATCTTTTCGGTAACAGCTGTCCGGAGCTAGACCAGATGGTGGATTTCGCGAAAGAATGTCCTGGACATCTAGGAGCGCGCCTGATGGGAGGTGGATTCGGCGGATGTACGATCACTCTAGTCAAGCCAGGGTCCGAAGCAGAGTTTTTTATGGCCTGTCGCGAACAGAGAGTTTTCAACATGATGTGTGGCAGTAAATCCGTACCAAACTAGAAGTAACGATATTAGCATTCGTAGTCGTATCTATTGTAGTTACTGGCTCTGGCTTCATTACATCGCAAGCGTTAGCGGACAAGTGGAAGGAGAAGTATGGACGTGAACCCGCGATCTGTTGCGTAAAACCGGGAAGTGGTGCCAAGGGGATGACGTTTTAGCAGAAAATGAGCAGAAAAGACGTTTGTCAATTGCGAATGATCAATCTAAGAGATAATAACAGAAGAAGAAGATCTCAAAAAACTTTTCATACGTGTACAGGGCAAGAAGAAAGCCTCAGCTTAAGCAACCAAGCCAACTGAACGGTTGTCGCTTATAATTTTCCAAATCATGGTTCTCGAAAATATGTTGTCGAGGAGAGCTGTTCGCAAATCTTTTGTGTGTAAGAGGTGGCTTAGAATCATTTCTCTCGTCACGCCCATCACTCCGGAAGAACAATGAACCAACAATACTCCAATGCGCTTCATCCGGCTGCCACAACGACTCAAAGGTTTCGCTGGGTCACCGTTGTTCTCGTAGTTCTTGGCATGATTAAAACCTCTGAACTTCTGGTCGTAGGCTGTGATGCGAAATCGGGACACAGCTGCAACTAAGGAGCGTGAGAAAGAATCAAGACGCTGATCTAATGTTGGCAGGCGAGGATAGATTCACATCATCAAGATCTTCGTTATTGTTGCGCGATCATCATCTGACGAGTGTACTACGCCTATTAGAGAGAACTCACTGCCGGAAATGAAAAGTGAAGCTGTCTAAGTGTAGCGTTCCGTGATGTTATCACTTCCCCTCTCAGTTCTGTGCCGATCCAAAATTAGTAGCTTAATCTCTTGTGTGAGTTTGAGTTAACATCGTGACGAAACACTACGACGCCCTTAAGGCAGACTGAACTGAACTTCCTGCGAGATTTATTGTATTGCGTAATTGTATTGTATTAAAAAAGTGGTGCGCTACAAGAGTTAACCTCCATGATCATGTGGTGTTAATTTCATCACTAAGTTTGTAAAATACGGCAATGAATCCCTGGGTTGCAGTTTCTTTTGGAAGATGTGCCACGGCATGAAGTTCTGAACTCGCGGTTAAGGGGTTCATGTATTCAACACCTCCAGAAGAGTAACAGAGTTGCTCGTTTTTTCAATATCTACTGGTAGCACAGTAGCTGTAGCACTGCAGACCCTCTCCCTCTGTTAGAACAACTACGAACTACAACCACGACGATATACGTCACCAACGACCATAGAAATAGAAAAGATGAGTCCTGTGCAATTGAAGCGTGGTCGGTCTGATTCGGGCCAGAGCTCTCGGAGCGGGTCTAAAGAGCCACCATCACCCAAGCATCCGAAGGTGGAGGCAAGATCCCTGCCAGACTCGATTCTCACGGACAACATGCGGCAAATCGTCGACCCAGCTCTCCCGGAGGAGATGGCCGCGAAGACTCCACAAGTGTCGGATCTGGAATTATGGAAAAAAAATCTCTTTGTTTGCTATTGCTTTTTGCCCTTCGCCCATTTGATCATCGCGGCTAGAAAGGAATAGTTATCTACCAGTACCAGGAGGATGCTTCTTTATTTTGTTCAATCGCATACATTTGATATGTATCATTTGGATACTAACTTACTACCTTTAATAGTTGTCTGATTAAGATAATTGTCCACCAACGTTGTATCTAATAAAGCGTCGAGTCGGCGACGATCTGTTGCAATGGAAACGACGTCGCGAGGGCTTGCTCGCAGAACTGGCACAAGGGGACCGCCAAGCGAAAGATTTGAAACTGAAAATCGCGCACATGGAACAAGACCGACTGCAGTCGTGGATTCTGGAATGCAAGCGCGTCGCGACATTGTTTCTTTATGACGGGATCGAAAAAAAGCTAACAACATCTTCATGAAGGCTTCTAACATTTGTAGTTCCAATTCGAATTCTTGCATAGTGCGGGAGTAGAGTCGTTATTTTTGTTCTAAGTAATTTTTATCATCCACCACTTGCTTTACGACCTAAAGGAAACTTTCGTGCTGCTTACTCACTTTTGCCCACAATTCTTGTCAATAATTGATTATCAATGTTTATCACCTCTTCATTCCCAAGGATGGCGCAACCAGATGATCACTGCTGAGAGGCAGACAGAGCGGAAGGGACGAGGGAGACTTGGCAACTTTCATCCAGAGATCAACGACTACTTTGATGTAACTACCAAGTTCTTCCGGCAGGACTGCAGCTGTGTGGCAATGCAGAATCGCGGTCTCGTCTTCCTTTACGATGCGCCCTTGGCCACGCAAACCCCGATCGTTGGACCAGGAATGCAGATTGTCAGTTCGTCTCTGAAATTGACGGATCAAGCTACTCGAAAAGCAAATGGAGGTGGTGCTGCTGTAAACCACGCAGCTGGTTGTACAAGTCTTGGTGGAGCTACGACAACGACATTGGTTCCTAATAAGAGCATGACATCAACAGGCAAAGTAGATGCTGAAAAAGCTCAACTTCTGATGCTGAGTGAAGAAAGTTTGGATCTGTTACAACGAGCTGGTGCCCCAGCACCGCCACCGGGACGAGCGCCGGCTCTGAATTTCACTTCTTTAAGGGTTTTCGAATTGCATCCCGCACTAACATGATCTTGATCCCGGACTCTTGTTTCCCCACTAAGAAAGAAAATCAAGGATGTTCTGAAGAATGCAATGATAGCGCACCCTCTAACTTCTGGCTTATCGGAACGGCTGGCGCGTCGGCTTACGGTCGAGAGATCAAATCCGACGAGAACCGTAACTTACGTGGGCGCAGGCACGCAGGAACGCTTTTACGTTGAAGTCGCATCGAATCATGTAGTGAAACCTGCTTCTACTTCTACAAAAAGTATTAAGGCTTCCCCTCATCCATCTCCTTCTCCAGAAGCATCTCGCGGCTGTCACCTAAGGGGAAAATAGGTCCGAGATGGATATCAGGATGGATTAGGTTGAGCGCTACTAATCATGCTAGTTGTACTAGTGGAGCAGGAACCGGAGGTGGAGGAAAGAACGGAGACAACAATGCGAACGCCAAAAATTACAATCCGACTTCGTCCAAGGTGGTCAATTTATCAGCGAACAACAAGGCCTCTTCTAGCACAGTTGTGACGAGCAACGGCAATGCGAACAACATTAAGGCTACAACTACTTCAAGTCTTGTTCATTACTTCTATTGGTATTTCTTTTTCTTACTTAGCTGATGAATGTGAATTATCATAGAAAGTGAGATCCTCAACTAGTGCATCATCCTTCTTCTTGGCTCCTTTTCTATTTGGAAAAGAAGCCAAGGATCACGCGCTCCTCATGGATGCGACCGCGGTAGCTCTAACAACAAGAATGGTGGAAAAAGTAGTGGAGGTGGTGTGCGGATTCAGCCAGCTGGGGCTAACAATAGGATGTCCAATAACTACCCTGTGCGCATCCAGCCGAAAGCAGAACAGCCAGGCGTTCACTTGGCCGCACCCAAGAAATCCAAATCTTCCGACTCACCTAATGACGACGATGATAATCAACAACATAAACAGAACGAGGAAGTATCCTTCTTCTTTCACGGGCCTGACGCGCTGCGCAAAGTCCTGGAAAAGCGACGTGCAGAACATAATCTGCAACGCGCAAAGATGATGGCGGGAGCACATCACAGTATGATGAAAAGCTCTGCCTCCGTCCAACTTGTAGCCGCACCACATTCGACCTCCGCTACACTCACTTATGATTATATCAGAGTAGTTTATAGCACGCATGGTGCATGGAGTAGCATGGAGTGCATGGAGCGCAGAGCTTTAAGGGGCGCAAGAAGCTCCCCCTTTAGCTCCATACTACTCCATGTGATCCATGCGCTCCATGCCATGCGAGCTGTGAAACCTTATAAACTGCTCTATTATAATGCTTCTTGTTGTGTTTGTACCTGGGAGGTTCTAGTGCCTCGGATGAAAACATGCTCTTTGCTCGTGTAGTGAAACTTTTATTTTCGTCTTAAATTGTCATCTCCTTTGTCTCGTCCACCCATGATGAGACTCCCATCTCAATCTCTCTAATTCTCTTCCCGAGCAACGGCAGCTGGTCAACAGCACGCACGTAGTAAAGATCGAGAAGAAGGACAACTACCCTCGTCGGAACGACTCGCTGCCACTGCTGCAGAGTGCGCCGCTTGCTTACAAAGCTGCCAGAAACAGTTTTTGAAGGAAAGAAAAGCTGGCGCCGGCGACCCCCCTCACAAGCTGCAACAGGGTAAGAAAAAGTCTAATCCGTCATGGTCCTCGGCAAACCGCAGATTAGTCAACTCTATAGCTTTCGGAAGTGATTGGGAAACGTTTCTAGTGGTGTTTCCTGACGGAAGTTGGGAGCTGGGAGGAAGCGGAATTCCGAAGACTCTGACTGAAAATTATGGTAGAACATTTATTCTAAATGATGACTCTTGATGCATTTTCTGCACCCAGGAGCAACATGATTAAGGACGACGGCGATGACGAAGTCGAAGGGAATTCTTGAATTTGAAATACAAATACATATTAGAATGATTCATTCTCTAAATTTCACTCTGGGACACCAGTCCGCAAGACAGCCGTCGTCCTCGCAGCGATTTGGTTTGCGTGCACTTGGGACCTCGTGGAGAGTGGTATCTAGAAATGCAAGATGGAGAACGGTGGTGGGGAGGAATCCCTGACGATTTCGCGCAACAACTTCAGCCGGATCGTGTTCGACGAATCTACTTCGGCTCTCAAGGAACCTACGCCGTGCGCTCCTGCGATGCTAAAGATCTGGCAAGTGATATGAATGGAGCAATAGCTGGTGACCACACGACAAGGGATGTAGACATGATGTAGTGCTGATGTTCGAGGTGAAAATACATACCTAGTTGTAGTAGCAGTCGTACCCCTACCCACTGTTTCAAGGTAATACATGACAACTACGACTAGAAGTAGCGCCTCCCGCTCATGTTACAACCGTTAGACATGAACATTGAGGCGTCGCGTGCTGGTAAATTTAGTGAAAAATGATCGTGCCTTTGACTTATTGAAGTCCGTCTTTCTTCAGATATTCGTGCTCTTCCCCAAGGATGTTGTAGCTGTTCATATGGATACAACTCTTCTTCATAATTCATACTTACAATATGTGAAAGGGCGGCGGGGACCCGTTTTAGTTGTAGATGTGGCCGAAAACGAAATAATGATCTAGAGACATGGAATTTACACAGGAAATCAACCACCTTATGTTTGGCCACCTTGTTGAACATGATTTGAACTAAGACTCTCGTCTCAAGAACATCTGGAGGCTCATCTCCGGAGATAAACCCTAACCCTAAAACCCAAACCATTCTATTCGCGCATCCCAATATCACTGTCCCCAAAAAATATGGCCTTTGCGCTCTCGTATGCATGCTACGAAAGTTCACCAGTGGAAATGGATATCTATTTCGAGGCCTTGTCAAACTTCTTGGTCAAGATCAACAGGAGAACAAGTGCTTACAGCCTATTGTTGAAGTTGTAGGAGATCTTCCATGCTTATGCTTTACTAGAGGCTGCTCGAAAATGAGAGAATCGGTCTCCTGAGAGCGTCGAACGCAACAGAGTGATCTGCGCGAGAGGATAGGACAGACAAAGAGATACGACCGTGAGCTGGACGAGAGTACTTGTACGACTTGTTGTTGTGACGATAATGTTTTTATCACGATTACATACATGGACACGACTCATACGACTACGACTTTTTTATGACGAAGATCGGTTTGAAGTGCATGACCAGTGCTTCAACGTGAACGTGTTGATCGTTACTATCTACTACTTTGGTAAATTTGAAGATTATACAGATAGCAGCTGTACTTCCTTTGTAGAGATTCAGAAGAACATCAAAAATCGACTACCACACCATGGCACCTCCAAAGCGCGTCCTCTCGTCTCTGCTGCTTGCAACGGTTCTCCCTGCACCTGCAGCTGGGTTCATTTTTGAATTCCGAAAGGATCCTGTGCCGCTCAGTGGCAGCTACTGGATCCTCTCACAGGTAGCCCTACAAGATGACGCAACGTCAAAGCAAAAGCCAGAAGTTACCTTGGATCTGCAGACTGTGGTAAATCAAAGGCGTTTTTTTATGAACAAGTATGCATATTGGGCAAAGCAGTAGTTAAGATCAAAAAGGACGAAGAGGAGGTTTTCTTTTTTGTATTGGTTCTACCCAAGAGCATGCTGGAAGATCATTTTTTTTCACATTCTTTGTGTACTAACCAGGTAGAGAACGCTGCAGCTGCTCCGTCTATCACTGAGAAAATGGGAAATGTGCAAGTCGGCTTCGTTCACAGCGCCGTTTTTGATAGTCTGGCTGAGAGTGAAAGCTTTTGTTGCCGGAAAGCAGACAACTGCGATCACGGAGCAAATTCATTCTCAATAACCAGCAAGAACAGTACTTTTTTTGACTTGTCATTCGTTGGTTCCCAATAAATATCAATGTTTTCGTTTTGTATTTTTTGACCATCTTATTTGTTTACATTACAGGAAACCAAACTTCTATCATCACCTCCAATCCACCTATCAGAGCCTGGAGGCCACAGCGCGTATTCGACGACGTTGAAGGAGACAAATAAGAAGACCTTCCAAGTAAAAGGCGGCACGTACTATCTTTTCATCTCAAACTGCGGCGACTCTCCTCTAGCGGGCCTCAAGGTCACCGGCAAAGTGACGGGGATGATTACGATTTATTTATCTAGATGAAAAGGCACATATGAATTTGATACAGCACTACATACAAGATCCTGCTGAAGGCTTGTTTAGCTGTAAACGACGTTCTTAAGTAGGGCGAGCGCCGGGTAGAAGTCGCCAGGGAAATCAAACAAGCAGCCTTCTCTAATGTCTGTAGTTTCGGATACCTGGCAGTGCAAGAACTAATGCGACGCGATGTCGTGAAGTACTTCGGCATTGCCACGCTTGCATTTGCCCTTCTCTTTATGAACTGATTTTTTGTAGAAGATACGACGAGCATACAGCACTAGACTCTCGTCAATAATGAGATACAAATAGGTACGTATGGAGCCGGGTCGAATTCGTCAGGGAAATCTTAGGCAGATTGCCGAGTAGATTTACATCATCAGGCACGTATGGAGCCAGAATCTCTTACCATTCTGAAGTTTCGCCAGTAAAAAAGAATGAGAATGATAATGGACTTTGTTTTCATGAGTAATAATTCCGCCACAAGTCACACAAACCACAAGCCGTCTATCTAGATGCAGAATATGACAGGAGTTTCCTTCATTTTCGATGCGCTCTACATTGGAGCGTTTTCGGTCTCAGACGGCAGAGCAGTCAAGTACACCTTATTCCTGACCATGGCAGTGAGCGCAGCGAGACAACTGGGCGCAGAGGGGTACTACTATTCCGTATGGAACATGTCCAACGTAGAAGGCGCCGCACATTGGACCAGTATCGTCTTAGCAGCGACGCAGTTCTGTCTCACGTTATGGGCAAAAGATGTCAGCTGTTGTTCTTCTAGAGGAGTCAACTCTTCTTTATTTGTCTAAGGTTCTTGGATGAACAATGATCGATCATGAATGAACAGGGAGACGATTGGTTCTACGAAACTATACTATCAACCATGAACAAGGAAGATTGCCTATGCTTCTATGTATTTGGTAGCCCTATCTATACTACTAGATTCAGCAGGGAATATTCTAGCAGACAAGGATCGATCGCTAATCTCCGTTACACTTTACGACTTCTTGTGCAGTCAGTATTACCACATGAGGTACACGACAGTAGCGGACGGGAGCGCGGAGAGTGTATTTGTTATGTTTCTTCTGCCATGTCTTTGTCTATTAACACCTCTAGACTAGGCACAGTTATCACTTATCAATCACCACCGTCGGATTCAAATATGAAGTTGTTTACACTGCTGGGGCCTTGGCTCGATTTGAAGTGTAAAAATATGATGGAAAAGGTTTTTGGATTGGGGTATTGTCAGTTGCGCGTGTGCATGATCCCCACCTGTATGGATCTGTGTATGATGATACCTGTACATTTGCAGACTATAATCCTTTCTTCAACACTAACTCACCACAGGGCGTAGTCCTTGAAAGTGGAGCCAAAGGTGGGCCAACTTTGCAGGAAACGTTGCTGCTTGGTCTCACGAACGTCGCTGTTTTTGGCGCGACGTGCTTCACTCTGAACTCAACGCCAGGACTGGTGGACGCTATTCGACCGCCAGCCGAATTTTTCAAGTTATGTCCTCAAATTAAAAAAAAAATGTCTGACAATAGGAGCGGGCCTAGTTGCATCAATACAGCGGGCCTAGTTGCATCAATACAGCGGGCCTAGTTGCATCAATACAGCGGGCCTAGAAAGTAGAGGGTAAGTCTATTACTTCTTGTCTCTGCAGTATTTCCCTCCTCCCTCTTCTTCCCCTTTTTCCTTAAAGTCATGCACTTTGCCAGTATATCAGAGCCTAGCGGTCTTGTTTTCTAAGTCTAGACCTTATAATTACACGAGACAGCCCGAAATGTCTGACAATAGGAGCGGGCCTAGTTGAATCAATACATATCTAAAGATGAGGACTTATCCTTACAGTCACACCGAATCTTGCGCGTCTCGCATGTTTGGCTGATTAAGCAAACTACGCTATTGACTAAGAAATCAATACTTATACATCAAGTAGTATTTCTTCAAGGGGTTCCTCACGATGGCTTTCTACAAGAAGTAGTGTTTCTTCTATCCCTTCTTATCCAATCCTAGCCGGTCCCCATACTATTTAAGTACAACAAGTAGGCTTTCTTCAGATGGTGCGTTAACGTTATATATGAAGATACTGTTTAACCCATTTCTTCCTAGCCCTCTCTTCATACACTGCAGCCACAGCGCCTGACTCAAAGGCCACGTCGGCAGGTTCAGTTGGGACCCCGGTCAGTGGGGGTTTGCTAGGACTCACCACTGAGGATTTTATCTGCATGGGGCTCATCCTGGCCGTTGCGTGGCCGGTAATATTTCCCTTTGCTCATTCAATTGATTCTGTCTCTTTTGTATTTGTTTCGCCCAGAATGTTGACTAAAAATATGAACGCAGCTTTACTTTTAGTTTTATTTACAGCGGATAATATCATTTACAGCGTATCTCGATGACACCAGAAGTTAAACCTACCACATAAACATCAACACAGGTGGTGACCTTTATCGAGCGAAAGGACTACCAAGTTTCGAATGATTTCACCACTCGCGTCTTCCGACCTCTGCGCACTGTCTTGTGCATCATCGCGATTTCGCAGGTCGCTCTCATTTTATGGCCACGGCTGACAAGGATCTAGCATATTATTAAGCAGATATTTATATGATATACCGAGTAGAGTTTGTTCTAGACGTTTTTTACGCCTGTTAGTTTAAGGAAATATACTTACATCTCAAAAGGATGAAATGGCTCTAATTCACATGATATTTGAGTTTGCAACTTCGACAAAAAAATTTGATAACGCAGAAGCCGCGGACATCCAGACGGGCGTTACTGCGGCATCCTACGAGGGCGGTACTAGTTTACTGGATTTATTGTTCTTGTAGAGCAGAGAGTTTCTTGAATTCTAAGGCCAATGAAATTGTAGAGCAAAGACTATATTTTAGTTTGTTTTGATTGAAGTAGGAGGTCATAATATGCATGGTCTAGTGCTTCTGCGGACGTCCTCAAAAAATTTGCACGGTTTTGGATCGACATGGATCACAACATACTAGAGGAATCCCACGACAACCACAATTGAATTAGGTATTTTGTGTTGGTACGTTGTGGTAGCGTTTTACTTGTATCGTTGGGATTCGCGAACGGGAGAAGCTAATTACTCCGTTGTTTCCGAGAAGGACCTAGAACTGGCAACCAGGGTGGATTTGAGCGATGAAGATGCAGCAGTCGAGGCTTACGATCCGGACAAGCTCGCTTCCCAATACGAGAAGCAGGGAGAAGCACGACAACTGGAGTGAAGTTCTTCGTACAACAAGCGAACTACTCACACATTTCTTCAACAATGAGGATATGACGAACAACAAGAAGAACGGGCACTTGTTAAATAGATGTTTTTCTAAAAGCAGGACGTGCTGTTCATGTACTATTGTACTTCATAATACTTATCATATCATATAGTTGATGCTTGGTAGTTGTGTAGACTTTTGCCCAATCAGGTTTTGTTACGAATCAAATTTTTCCCCGAATCAAAAAAGATGGGAACGTTCCATTATACAGACTACCTTTACGTTTACTACTGCTCGTACTGTACCGCCTCCACATTGCTTGTAAAATCTCTGCACTTGTGACGAGAATCGATGATAGTCGCAATAAGAGATTCGCAACAATTTATCCCAACGTCAATCACGAGCAAGAACTGATTTCTTCATTCTGCCCCGCAACGCCTCCAGAGGCACTAGGTAAGTAAGATTATATTTGGTACACGAACAGACCTCCAAGTCAGATAATATTCCACAGGTTGTTGCTGGGTTGAAAAATCTGTATAATCACACTATGACTTACACGGTTCTATTCGAACCCACTTCGTCCTAGCAGGTGCGGCTTGGCCGCGAAGCAGTGGACCCTCAACCTTGACCGTAACCTTAAAAGAGAGGATGTAGAACAACACACGCTTAAAAGAGAGGCGGAAGTACACAACCCTGCTACCCAATCAAGTGAGTAAACTCTCTCATCTTACTAGAAGGAGATGGTAGAGCGACTCCAGTAGTGCAGGAAGCTGGAGCTGCTGACGACGCATAGTTGAGTATGCAGATCAATGCTTACTCCTAGTTGAAGCATGAGTCTCTAAATTTTCTGTTGAAACTGTGCTTTTACCCAATACTTTGGGAGCATCTCTATGTATCAGAGTGGAGACGAATGTCTGTAGCCAGATCCGTTGCCCTCTTCTGTTCTCTGCGAAGATCGGTTTCCGATCATCCCGTCAGTGCCCCAGGCCCATTTTTCACTTTGTCGTGATTGTAGGTATTGAATCGATCAAAGTAGCTTTTCTTTGCGTCACCGCCCTCTATTATGATTTTTCGCTTTATATTTCTTCCATGTGAAAGAATATTGTTGGAATAAAGAGAAAACCAGGACTAGTGTTACCAACTACAATCACTTGTTGTGAATTCACAATTGAAAGGACAGGAAAACTAAAGCCCAGTACCCGCTTTAAGCTAAACAACAGTTACCTGCCTATCATCGCGCAACTTGGCGCCAGGCCGCTAAAGAAACTGCGGATTTCGTTCCGGCACTCCTGTGGATATTTGGTCGGCTCGTGGCGTTGCCGTTGGTGAAGTTTGAGCACTGCCTGTGATCAATGAACGACGTGAATTTGGTGCTCTACTACTGCATGTTCAATAAACAACGTTTACCGTGTCCGCGGTAAGCAGGAATGCATTTGTTCTATGTGGACAGGTACGACCGCGGAGAGTAGGTTCTCACCATTGAGAGCGAATTGCGTAAGACATTTTTTTTACGGACATCGGTCGCCACGGAGACCAAGGCTTTAGCCAGCCAGTAAGTGGCAGGAAAGAGTTTGATTTATACTTGTAATCTAGTACCATGAAAAAGCACTCTACCCGTACCACTAGTAGAGAATAAAGAACTCAAACATCTTCTTATAGGTTTTCTTCTACGGGTTTTCTGTTCTTGTTTTGGTCATTAGTTACTCATTCCTTGTTGCTGGAGCTCCTACAAGCAGGTTAAGTAATTTATTCTCTTTCATCATCATTGGCAGTATGGTCTCTCATCTCAGCCGTGTCACAATTATTTCAAATCACACCTGGACTAAGAACACCTCTACAATCTTCTCGAAGAAAACTTCATCATCTTCCTCTCAAATTTCAAACCACAATTCTATAGGTTGGTTAAACTTGTTTTAACCATTGTCCTCTCTCGGATTCGCCAGAACACGTCAAAATGAGAGAAGCTATCTGCATTCACATCGGACAGGCCGGTGTCCAGATCGGAAACGCATGCTGGGAGCTCTTCTGTCTGGAACACGGTACTTGACTAACAAGTCCTTCTTGTTTTTGCTGGATAATTTTCCGATTGAAATTTTTCGACACCTGGCGGCACTTGCTCGTTCTGATGATGTGAATCTATTCGGCAATCTGCCTAAGATATCCCTGACTTGCTCGCTCTAAGTCTCTCCATTTCGCTCCTGCATCAGATAAGTGGTTTTCTATCCTGGCTTATGATATCTGTTTCCGTACTCGCAGGTATCCAGCCGGATGGCCAGATGCCGTCGGACAAGACCATCGGTGGTGGCGATGATGCTTTCAACACCTTCTTTTCCGAGACCGGTGCCGGAAAGCACGTCCCGCGTGCCGTGTTCGTCGACTTGGAGCCGACTGTGATCGACGAGGTCCGTACCGGAACCTACCGTCAGTTGTTCCACCCGGAACAGCTGATCTCCGGTAAAGAGGATGCCGCGAACAACTTCGCGCGTGGTCACTACACCATCGGTAAGGAGATCGTCGACTTGTGCTTGGACCGCATCCGTAAGCTCGCCGATAACTGCACTGGTCTGCAGGGCTTCCTGATCTACCACGCAGTCGGTGGCGGTACCGGATCCGGTTTGGGCTGCCTCATGATGGAGCGTCTGTCCGTCGACTACGGTAAGAAGTCCAAGATTTCCTTCACGGTCTGGTGCTGTCCGCAGGTCTCCACTGCCGTCGTGGAGCCGTACAACACCGTCCTGTGCGTTCACTCTCTGTTGGAGCACACCGATGTCACCAACCAGGTCGACAACGAGGCGCTGTACGATATCTGCCGTCGTAACTTGGACATCGAGCGTCCTACCTACACCAACTTGAACCGTCTGATCGCACAGATCATCTCGTCTCTTACGGCGTCTCTCCGCTTCGACGGTACTTATAATCGATAATCATATTCACCTCATCTAGCGAGGACGGGACTGGAACCTTGTACTAGAGGATCTTCCTCTTCGTGCTTCTGCTTCTATCTTGATTATTATATGTTCCGGATTTAGAAGATTTGTTCGCACAACATTACACCATTCGAATCTTGCACATCCTGTCAATCTAAACTCTCACTTTAGGTGCTTTGAACGTGGATGTGACCGAGTTCCAGACCAACTTGGTGCCCTATCCGCGTATCCATTTTATGTTGACGTCCTACGCGCCGATCATCTCTGCCGAGAAGGCTTACCACGAACAGCTCTCAGTGTCCGAACTATGTAACAGCGTCTTCGAGCCGTCCTCCATGATGGTCAAGTGCGACCCCCGGCACGGAAAGTACATGGCCTGCTGCCTCATGTTCCGTGGTGATGTTGTGCCGAAGGATGTGAATTTATGAAAACATTCTAAAACTTCTTCTAAATTCTAATTTTTCATCACGTTGTAGTAGCACATATCAGTCGTTATTGTGGATGTGGTCTCCGAAGGCCACAACATTAGCTTGTGCACTAGTTTGATTAATGTTGAGGCAGCAGAAGATATTTGAACTTGAAGAATTTAGTAGACGATGAAACTGTTTAAAAGTACTAGTTGCTGACCTGCTCCAGTTTCGTCTCTCTAATCCGTGCTTCCGTCGCCACCATCAAGACCAAGCGCACCATTCAGTTCGTCGACTGGTCTCCGACGGGCTTCAAGTGCGGAATCAACTACCAGCCGCCGACGGTCGTTCCGGGTGGTGACTTGGCCAAGGTGATGCGCGCAGTGTGTATGATCTCCAACTCCACCGCCATCGCTGAGGTGTTCTCCCGCATCGATCACAAGTTCGATCTGATGTACTCGAAGCGTGCCTTCGTCCACTGGTACGTCGGTGAGGGTATGGAGGAAGGCGAATTCTCTGAGGCGCGTGAGGATCTCGCTGCGTTGGAAAAAGACTACGAGGAGGTCGGTATCGAGACCGCCGAAGGAGAAGGCGAAGAGGAGGGATACGGTGACGAGTTCTAAATCACGAGAAGATGAGGATGCCTTAGACTTCTTTGTTGCTACAAGTTAGACTTCGTTGTAGAGGAGAGGATGAAGGTGTTTTTAGATCAGATGATGACTTTCTCTTCGACTTTTTTGTGGAGGAGAAAAGTCAAAGTTCATCTTCTTGAAGTTGGATTATTCTAGTGTCTTTACATGTCTGGAGATGGAACTGTCTGCACCTACAACACCGGGATTGAAATTGGAATGATCTAGAATCAATCTTAGCGATCATGATTCGACTGTTTCAGTACTTGTGCTCGACTCCTCGACGAAGAATGAATTTTTGCAGAGTTGCTTTAGGAATATGAAGATGAGGTAAGTAGGGTAGCGATATGCATTTTTGCCAATGAGATGTTGTCTTCAAAAAATATTGAGATGAAATGCCTATGACAACATAGTAGAGTTTGAAGTGAAGTCGAAGTCAGACAACTCAAATGAAACTAACAACACCTAGATCATGCCTTAAGACACATGCAACTGATTTGTAGAAATAGAAGGATGTTTGCTCACATTCTGATGGATAGAAATGTAACTAGAGTCTCCAACTTCTTTGGTATTTCGCTCAGTCACTGTCGTCGTGATTATTTTTACCTTTCTTAATATCAATGTGGTTGATCATCATCCATTCTGTCCATGACCACTTCGGTCCATTCGTCTACTCAAAAATATCTACTTGTCGTCAATAGTCCTACTGAAAACACTGTTCTTGGAGACTTGTAAGATCTGTAGAGAAGTACTAAGTTTGGTTTCAAACTGAGGATGGACTTGTACCTCGTTTCTGACTCGTTTCCTCTCTAGATTATGATTGAACAGAAACAGTGCTTGAAAACGAAGATTCCTCTCCCCCGCGAACGCTGTTGTTTCCAGGACACTGTAGCCATACGAGATCATATGCATCCGATGGTCAGACCTTATAGATGTTTCGCTTCAACTAAAACTTTCCGTGGCTAGCTCACGGGTGTAGATGTAGCAACATCTTTGCACGGCTGACGACCTAAACAGTGTTCCTTTCTGGCTACACTCGCCAGCGCGCCTTCCCTATCGAGTTTTTTTTTTGCGAGTTGTACGCACGCTGCGGCTTTTTTCTGGATAATGCTGTAGATTACAGCCCACTCAATAGACTCACGCCAGTCCAAGCTGTAGTTGTCGGTCTCTCTCTAACTGGCAGTTGTCCTTATGATCATGTTTGAAGGGAATAAATAAAATAATAGCGACTGCTCTCAGAATAAGGAATCGGTCAAGCTTATTCCTTAAATAGCATCACCTGAAAAGGAACGACTGCGCAAAGATTGAAATCGCGTGATCCGAAGCACTTGGAACTGTGACCGGTGCCCTGCAAAAGAACAACAACAAAAGTGTGAGTGTATTTGATTTTCGAAAATACCCCCAACAGTAGCATGGACTCCGAAAACAGAACACCAGCGACGTGCCTATGAGGACGGTGCTCGCGGCGGTGTTGTAGACGTACTGTCATATCAGTATCACCCATCCTGTACTAGTCATGTATGGATTAGAGTAGGAGGTGTAGGTACCTCTTCACTGAATGGATGCGTCATGCTATAATATAGGCGACATGACATGGCATACTATCATTATCAACCATGTATGGAGCTCCGAAGCGCACTAACCCGTTCGTGTACCAACCATGTATGGAGCTCCGAAGCGCACTAACCCCTTCGTGCCTGTAGTACCACTCGCCTCTTCACCAGGATTGCAGCCTGGTCCGCCCTTGCGCGTTCCGAATCTGTTCACTGGAACTTCTTCCGGCAGTCGCGCCGTTTTTGATCGGGGGGAAAGCGGATTTTCACCATCTGCTTACCATCCTAGCATCGGGTCTCCATCACACGCCGGGATCAAGTTCCTTGGTGTCGGAGGCACTCGTCAGGGCCTGCGATCTCCCATACAAGAACGAGGGGCCGGTGTTGATCGTTTAAGCTCTGTCCTCCCGGATAGTTTCTACGAACGAGACTCGAATCAGAACTGCTTCGTCGACGCGCCAGGTGGTAGGAACAAAAACGTAGAGGATCAACCCAAATCCTTTGGGGAGATCATAGATGAAGATGAACCGCATCGGGCTCTGGAAAAGAGCCTATGCCTAGAGGGCGTCAATACATCGCCAGCGCCTTCGCAATTAAAAGCTGCAAGACACCAGCAGAACACGAGGAAGCCTCATCGTATTCAGGGACGAACTGCAGGGACACCCTCAGGGCGAACTTCAGGAACGCCTCATCGTATTCAGCAGAATCATGCGCACGCTCCTTCGCGACAATCACAATTATACGGCGGTCACGTACAACAATCACAATTATACGACAATCACAATTATACTGCGGTCACCAGCTACTTAGTACAAGAACCACGTAATCTTCGACTCTAATAACATGCTAAAAGAAGTTCAGCTAACGAGAAGATAGGGCGTTAAACCGAGCTATACAACATACGTGCAGTCTCGGAATTTGTAATCGGGTGTTATAAAAACTAATATTAGAATCTGAGACAACTTCTCCTGTTAAACTACTGGTCGAGATGTGGGGACGAGATGGAACCAAGTCGACTCTAACAACACGATCTTCGAGGACACCGAATAAGCTTTGACTCCGTGCCTGACGAGTACTCTCCAGTGAAGCTACACGGTGGAGGACGTGCTAGTATCCGCACAAAAATGCCGCGGTGTGAAGAGCTAACTGACGACGAGCACCTCACCTATGGAAATCTTATGACGAGGCGTGATTATGACAAAGACGATGTGCGTCCTAGTTATGATGTGGTTCAGCTTTAGGTGGTTACATCTTCCACTCTTGCTATCTCACATGTTATAGTGTTAGTTTCACATGTTAGTGTTAAGTAGTTTTTTCAAGAGTCTTACCTTCTCCAGTTAGAGTCCTAGCTGTCATCTTCTACAGGGTAGCGATAGCATAAACGACAATGTATGACTCCAAGACTTTACTGTGAGACGTATTCATAATTATATAAATATATTGACTTAAACTAACACTACAATCTAGAATACTTCATCTCTTTCTTTAAATTGACTTTCATACTACGATGGCCGCATGAGCAGCTGACTCTTGGGAAAGGGAAACTGCTGGGCAGAGGCGGCTGTGCGCTAGTATGGCAAGGCCTTCGAGGACCAGGCGACGACGAATGTCGGTTTGCTGTCAAACAGGTTCGACCATGCGAGTCGTGCTAGTCTCATTTGCATTTGGTATAAAGAATAGAAGACGTTGCACTACAACAGTGGGAAGATGCTGTAGATCTTTTTGTTGTCGAACTCGAATAGATTGATCCACTGTACATCAACATATCACACGATAACCACGACGACGCCCTCTTCACCCATCAGGTTGCGAAGCAGCAACTGCAGCGCGGAGAGCTAGTTCCGGTGAAAGCCGGCCAGCTACAAGGCCTACTCCAAGAACTGGAGATACTGCAACGCCTGACAGGTGTAGGAGATCATGACCACAACAGTCGTGGAGGATCATCTCCTTCTTCCGTTACGCAGGGTTGCTTCACCTTTCTAAATACGAGCATGTCTAGCTCTAGGCCTCTGATCCCAAGAAGAAAAGGGATATTCTTGGATATGCGAGAGTTGTTCTCCATTTGCCTTGCTCTTGCTCTTATAATTATACATAGTAATATGCGTCGTGCTCGTCCCAATAGATATAAGTATAGTATAATGCGTGCTGCTCCCAATGAATAGATATAAGTACTTATGCGGGACGATCAACGTCAATTCCATTTTGGCAGCAGGTCAACTTTCTTCAAATTCTAAAAATTCTGGCAGTCGCCACGTCGTTCGCCTAGAGGCGTTTGTGGAAGGCAAAACAGACCTGTGGATCGTCATGGAAGACGGAGGCGCGCCAATTTCCAAGAGCCTGTTTTTAAGGCTCAAAAGAACCTGACTCCACGTTAATCTTTTTGAGGTCAAAGTGAATGTTCTAATTTTTGAGGTCAAAGGAGAGTTTGTGAACTCTGCTAGAGTCTATCGCGTTAACCACGGTCCGCTGATGCAGCGCATGCGACTTCCAAAAGTTAAGGCTGAAGACAAGAACATCGTCTACAACTATCATATTAAATGATCATCCGGGGAACTACTTTATGATAATACTTAAGTAGCATCCTTGACAGCACCAAGGGGAAATATGGTCAAAGCTGCTCTTGCTCGTCTTTTTGCAAGATGTAGAAGGAAGTAGTCTATTCTTAACCCGTGGAGTGGGTACATTCATTCATTCATACATATACATGCCTGCATAGGGCGGAGTGTCAAGGTCTAAAAAGGACGACAACTTCTTCCTCCGAGACTACTTTCGCCAGATGCTTTCTGCTTTCGCCTTTTTAGCAAGTGAAGGAATCATTCACGCAGACGTGAAACCGGAAAACATCCTTCTGTCTTCAACCGACGGGCGTTTACGGCTGTGCGACTTCGGCAGTGCTTGGGTGGTACCTATGATTGTTACTGGTGAAGGAATAGAAGATGAAGATTATTATATCCACTATCGTCTAAAACTCACTCCATCAGTATCAATACTCATGATTTCAGTCCTCCACCTTTGCAGAGTTGAACTGAGAAAACTTGAATTTCTATTGCTTTTATATTTTTTTCTTTATTAACCTCAAGGAATTTCAACTTATCATGATGATCATTAATGTGCACCACCACGACCATGACATCCATCCACCAGCACTACTTCATGATGATCAAACTCCTTCTCCATCTCCTCATCTTCGAGGAAATGAAAATTTCCATACAACTTATTCTCTTTCTCTCTAGGCTATGAAAATTTCCATACAAGTTGTTCTCGCTCAGGTTGGTGAGACAGCGGCTTGTTTTCCTCTTTAGGCTATCCCTTCATGCAACTTATTCCCTCTCAGGTTGGTGAGACAGCGGCTTCCTCGGCTGTGGGAACTCCAGAGTACATGGCGCCTGAGATCTTAGACAAGCAAATCAACTGGAGCACTGGCGGTAGTGGGAATGGTGCTCCCATGAGCACTGCGCAACGACTCCGAAATCGGCGTGGTAGCTTAGATGAAGTCTTAGGAAATTTGATCGCTTCTGGACGCGCAAGCCCTAGTGCCAGTACTGCAGCCTCCAGTTCGCGCTCTTCGCGAGCCGGGAGCAAAGCGAAGGCTGGCGGTATAGCTGCGGGGACGACCTATAGTTAAGGCGTGATGTAGGTCCCGCGACGCTCAACAAAGCACATAGAGTAAGTAAACAAGGCGGGTAGTTTTCCTATCCCTCGTTGGTTCGGATGTATTTCTTAGTCCCTAAATAGGCTATTAGCAAAATACTAGATGATATTTGAATGCATCCCTGAAAAATGTGGGTGAGCCTTTTTCAAGGCTACAACTGTATTATGCAGAGGTCTAATGTAGCGGAGGTACAGCTCCGCGAGAAACCTACGGGACGCTTAGGGAAAAGATAAATCGCATGGGCACAGGGACAGATCAAACTTATGGTCTTGATGTTGGAGTGAACAAAAATGCTGGTGAAGTTAATTTTTCTCTATCTCATCAAGCGAAACTACTATTTAATTTCTTATACAACATATTTCAGGTTCAAACAGGAGTTCCGGTTCCTCCTATCCTCTTCCTTCATTCAATCCGCAAGGCACATGCATCCGTGCCGCGTGGTGGGAGTGCCGAGTTCCCGCCGCAACAACTAGCAATGCTTCTTGCCGACTCGGAGCATATGAGGAATCGGTCTGCGGACCCTGGTGCAGAAGTAGGAGAGGGAGACCACGTGCCAAATGATGCAAGAAACCCACAGCAGTTAAGGGTTGAAACATTTCATTTCTACACATCATTTCTTTTCTGTTTTCCTATTAATTTGAATACTGAGAAAATGAAGATGCACCTAACAAGAAGTGAAATGCTTGAAACCTTTAAATCAGGAGCCTGCTCCTGTAGGAGGTGCGGCATCTAGTAGAACTGCTACGTCAACAAGTGACGACTCGTCCTGTTTTGCGCAGGACTTGTGGGCCTTGGGCATGATACTGCTGGAAGTGTGCCATGGCGTGCCTCTGTGGCTGGGCTACGAATGCTGCGTCGGAACCTCACGGACGCAGGGACTCCTAGGCGCAGGCGGTCGAGATTACAAGAAGATACGAGCGAAACAGACAAAGGTGTTGAAAAATCTACAGCCTTTACTCAAAAACCAGTCTTTTGGAGTGCAACTTGCGACTGTGCGCGACGGCGTAGAATTTCTGCAATCGTTGCTTCGTGTCGACCCGCGAGCCCGCATTTCGGCCAGAGAAGCGCTCAGACATCCCTTCATCACAGGGGGATGTTGAGGGAGTGGCGACTGTTGTATACCAAAAGAACAAAGTCTCTACTAAAAGTAAGTAGAAGTAGCGTTGAAGCACATGCGGATCTTCTTGGTTCTAAACGATGCTAGGAACGCCATTTACCTTCGAAAGTATCCCCAACTTATGTCTCGCGGCATCATCTTAACCATGGTTTATTATTCTATTCCAGTCGATTCTGATTTTCTTTTCAACTATAATTCTGGCAAAAAATGGCTTCGTTTTCTCGTATAATCCAATTATGTGACAACACCAAGGTACAATGAAATGGAAAAATAATCCACCCGCAACAGGACTGAAACTGAATAAAAGTGCAAAATGCACTGGACGTATTTTTATTTTTAGTGCGGAAGGTATTATGATGTTGAAATTAAAAACAGTCCTCTTGTTGCCAGTCGCTCGCGACGGCTTAATCTTACAAAACACAGTTACTGCTACAGCGGATGCAACGTCTGCGTAACAAAAACAAAAACAAAACGCGAAAAAAACTTCGCCTGTGGCACAAGAAAAAAGAAGGGTGTACTACTAAACGTATTGCTAATATAAGGAATCAACAAGGTTTTTTAGAAAATGCACTTCTTACACTGACTCGTGTCCTCATAAAAAATGAACTCAAGGCATAGCACGCCATTCGTATGTGACATCCCCGTTCTACTTTCAAGCTCAAGAATATCAGCAACAAGAATGTCCTCCTTCCTGCGCCTTCTCCCCTGCTTTTGTAGCAGTCTTCTGGCAAAGGCCGCAGACCAGGATGGTTCTGGCGTAAGCAATCCTCTTCTCGTGGATCCTTTACAGCGTGTCAGCGACAAGACTCCCTACTACAGCACCACAGAGCAGGAAAACAGACCGCTGCATTCGGGCTACACCGTAGACGCTCAGGGGAACGCTGTTTATACAGATGCAGATGGAAACCCGATTAATTCCAACAAATTGAGCGTGAACCAGATGACGGCGAGCCCGGACTTGACAAGGGATACGTTGCGACTCCCTTACGGTCCGTTGTCAGGGACAGAGAGTGAAGGAATCTTTGTCGAACCAGCCAGAGTTATGGTCACCAGCTCTTAATATTCAACTTTTTCGGGAGCATCTTGTTACAAGTACAACCCACCTACAACAACCTCCCACCTACTTACATCAACTTTTCCCATTCAAAAATACTCAAGGGACATCAAGAAGCAGAAGGTGGACACCGACACCGCCAAGTAGATGATGAGGGGACCACCGACTACTCTAACAGAGCTGACTCTAACAGCGCTTGACTCTAACAGAGCTGATGCCTTACGCTTGAGGAATTTTGCTGCGAGGCAAGCCCGCGAACGCCTGGATGAGGTAGTTAAAGCGAGTGGCGGAGAGCGCGTTGCTCTCGCTCTTGCAGCAGCCATACATAGGGCACAGTTGCTGGGAAAATCGAGTTACGTACTTGGAAAGTTTTTACTTCTTGAGAAGATGAAGAGGACATTAATATGTTGAGACGACTACGTTGTACACCGACATGATGATACTACGAAGACATTATGAAAGGAATACATACACCGTAGGTTGAAATCGTAGGTTGTGATTGAGATGACGACGTACACCTACCTAGGAAACAGGAACTGTTGACAGTACAACGACAAGGAACTGCAACTCGCTCTAGTACGTCTACACAAAGGAAGAGATTTAGAAAAATTCATTTCCTGACTTTTCTACTAAGTCTAGAACAGGATGAAGTAATAAATTTTGTCCACCAGCATGATACACTCCAAATAGCCAAGTTACTGACTGAAATATGGGAGGTAGCTTAACGTCAAGGCTACTCTTCCTCCTCGTCAGTATCTCGGTTATTCTGATCAGTTACTTGCTTATTTCAGTTTTTCGAATATATAACTTCTAAGATTTTGATGGAAAGAATCTTGAAAGCCTCATCGTAATTTACAAGTCTTCGATGGAAAGAATCCTGAAATCCTCATCGTAATTTCTAAGTCTTCGATGGAAAGAACCCTGAAATCCTCATTGTGGGCTTCGATTCCACCCGCCAGATCGTCTTGCTAGTAAATGGAGTCATGTACGCCTTTCCGACGACGGGAATTCACTCAGCATTGGGCCTAGGAGGTGAGTCAAATTCTACGGACAACTCAACTTCTTTGTTGGAAAGGTTGCCTTCAGAAATAATGGAGGATGATGTTGCGGTTGACGACGCGGAGGCATTGGATTTAGAAGATGACATTTTTGGAGACGAGAACGACGAGGAAATAATATCAGATTCAGAAGATGATCATGACGATGACAGCAGGAGTATGTTGATTTCACGAAGGCAAATGGTTCGGAGACAGAACAACAAGCGGATTAAACAGCATCGTTCTCAACTACTGCATCAGAGAAAAGAAGCGAGAGGGAGGAGGCACCATCGCGATCGCCACGAACACACTCAAGAACATCTTCAAGGTACTACTAGGTCTACAAGAAGTGGTAGTGCGACGGCGAACAAGACGCTCCTGACAAAAGAAGAACAGTTCGCTGCCTTGATCCAACCGCTAAACGAGGACTTGAGCCTCATTTTCCCGGAGGAAGTTAGGGGCACCGTCAACCCATCTCTCACAGCATCTTTTAGCCAATTTCTACTTGGAAAGTGCTGAAAGATGTTGATGTTCTGAACTATGGGCGGTTGCCGGTACCTCTAAGGAAGGAAGTTTCATACGTTTTGCAACAACGAGCAACTTGGTGGCTGCCGTGCAACAAACTGCACAGAGAGCAGGATTCCAGATATGAGAACAGGGAACTACTACTTGACTAAGACTATGACTACTAATTAGAATCAGCATGATTGATAAGTACAGATGTTGCTTGTAATTGCTAATGATGAAAATCTAAATCATTGTTCTTGCAGTAGAGGAGAATAAAAGAACAAAAGTCAGTACTTTTCATATTAAGGCTTGAGGAAATACATCTTCCCAGTCAGCTTTGTCCCGTTTCCAAAGGGAAACGGGTACCGAGATGCTCTACAGGGTGGATTTCTGCAAGTTCTAATCATAGTTAGCACTTCTGAGAAAAATGACCCGCCCTCTCCCTCGACCACAACACTTTTTCTAACCGCGATGTTAGCCCTGGTTGGCGTTCTGGGAGTTCTTTTGGCCATTTTACTTCCTCGCGATGAGTTACGAAAGCATGCAGGCCAACTGGAGCTCAAGTTGCAGAAAAGCATTAAATATGGCGATATTTTTTTGCTACACTAGATTGAAATTCTTCACATTCATTCTGACTCTACTTAAGGTAGTAATCAGAACGACTAAGACAATCAAAGTCAATTTCTATCCCCATGTTTTTTCGTAAAATGGTTACACATCGACATGATCTCCAACTACTATACTATAGTCGTGAGTCTTCCTCTTCCCTAAAAGAACCTAAACCCTAAACCCTAAACCCAACCCCTCTTTTCTACTTCATATCTTGGAAATGGAGCATGGAGGCCAAGTGTACTCCTTCATGGACACGGAGTCGCCACAGAACAACCCACTGGTCTATACTTATCACCAGATCATCCTGGAAACATTAGTGGAGCATGCCTCAGAAGTGAAGGCCACGTTGGATTTATGAAGAACATCACGGATATGTAACGTGCTCAACAAGACAAGATCAGGGGTTTTTGGCACAATTTTCTCTAAATACATTTATGTTACATAATATGGACGACACGGTCAAACAAACTGGCATCAAACTTGGATTACCAACTACAAGCACCTGAGATCGGATAATCCAAAAGAGTAGTTCTTTGTAGTTACCAATTTATTACAGCAGTCTCAAAGTCAAAATACTATTTGTTACATTGAGGAGATCCTAATGATTTAAGCTCGAGAAAATCCTAAAAATTAACTTAGTACTAACTAACGCGCACGCCTACAATCTCTCTCTTTCCATCATTCTCCACACTACTTACATTGCAAACCAGCTGTACCCAACCCCACGACCACCACCCTTTTCATATCTGCATAAAGACAAAATCGAAAGAATTCAGAAGTCGAAAGCGAAGTAGGCTTCGAGAACAAATGCACAGCCAAACCATGGAAGGTCTAACAAGGAATAGTAGGTGATAGAAGTCGTTATGCACACTGCGGAATAGATTCAAACCACCAATGAAAGACTGAACTAATAAAAGAACGCTATCACGATATAAGTACGCACAGACGTTCACGCTATAATTGTTGTAGTTCGAAGAACAAGAGCCGCTTCTTAGTCGTGATCTCATTAATGTTAATCTGACGATGTACTTCTCACGCAAGTGTCCTATCTAGCACTTTCACAGTGTTCATCTGAGCGACGAGAGGACGAGGACAAAATGAGACGAGACTACCGTGATTATTCCATTGAAGAAATAGTTAACAGGTACTGCAAACAAAGAAACTTCTGTCGATATATTTGTCGCGGGAATGCACTAAAAAAATGTTTTGAGAGACGAGAGACAAAGAGGGCGTTTGTTTTGCAGAATGGTATTCTTATTATGTACTTGCATACTTATCTAAGGTTCTTAATATCGCAACATGAAATTGAAAATGATTCCTCCTCTCCGTCTCCGTACGCTCTACGCCAGGGAAAAGAAAACTGTGGATTGTCCCCACAAGCTGCTTTGCAAAAAGAAAAAGTTTAAAGTCCTCTCAGGCAAAGCTGTGCTAAGGTTTAGATTCTCTCTCATAGACGAATTTCGTTGTCGCACATATCATCACCAAAACACTATTAGTAGATTCAACGAATACTTTTTTCGAACATTCACTACACATTTGTGTTCTACGACTTTACCTAGTCCTTCGCGGTCTAGATCGAAACAAACAAAATGGTCGACATTGTCTGCCCTCCGGTTGACGAGGCCCCGACCAAGATCATGGGTGCCGAAGGCGAACCGCAGGTACATTGCTCGAGATGCACCCTCCACCAACTTCTGTGAGGAACATTACACATCCTCCTATGCCCAATGGTTTTCACCTTCGAGATTCTGACGTTGAAACCTAACTATAAAATATCCATGTCTTAATGCGATAGAGTACAACAAAATTGTTGTCCTGTATCATGATGGTTTTAGTATTTTTCATAATGATACTAAGCTGCATCATTGTGTAGTCGTTTTCTTCGTTGTTAGTGCGGGTCTTTTCTTACAGGAGGTGGTCCAAAGACGGAAGATCGCTTTTTTTGGCGGTGGAAGATGTTGGAAGTAGAAGCTGGATGACAGCCGCAAAGAAGCCCTAGGAGGAGGTGGCTACTGGCGCCCTTCGAACAACTTAGGAGGTGGATGAATGAAATTGTAAGTTGTACATAGGAAACGGGGTTCTTAAGCTGCTAGATAATATTAATATACTGGCAATCAGACAAACATACATGGAGGTGGTCGCAATGAAAGCAGGACGATGGAGGTGGAATCACGTTTTTTGCTGAAGACGAAGATCAAGATCAAGAACTACATCAACGAACAACAACATCACTCAAGAAGATGATAGAAATACCTTAGTTCTTACACCATGACTTGATTGTTTTATGTTTATCCTCCTCGCTATCTTCAGGCCAAGGTCTGGATCACCAAGCACGCTGAAGGACGTCAATCCATGCGTCTCTTTATTGCTGCCGGCTTTGACTGGAAGAAGAGCGTTTCTCCGCTCCTCCCCGGCTGCCCGGAATGGTGCCCTGCGACTCATTTCGGATACCTCGAATCGGTATATTTACGAAACATCAATAAGGGAAAATCTTTATCTTAGGCAACTTGCCGAATAGATTCACATCATCATCTTCATGCACTGGTAAATATGATAGGCGTCTTCTAGAAAAAGGTTATTTCCGTTGAAAACGTACTCGATAAATGAACTTATTGCAACCACTTTTAGTTTTAATGGATGTCTCTCTTGCTTCTATGTCTAGAACTACGTGAATGATTGAATGCTGAAAAGGTCTACGACGTCGATAGAGAAGAAGAATCTACTTCTACTCTGCTTCTAGAACTATAAATATGTCTATTTCACATTCAGGGCAAGATGGGAATCAAAATGCAGGATGGTACTGAGAAGACCATCAACGCTGGCGAAACCTACATGGTCCCTCCCGGCCACTTGCCAGTCATTGAACAGGTACTCATACTGTTTTATTGTGGGTCTGTGTTTTTTTCTCTCTCAAGTTGAAGTTTTAGGCTCTGCGGGTTCCTTTTGTTTAGAAAAATATCGAATCTTTGCTGGTCTTCCTCGGTTCATCAACGTTATGGAACCTCCCTTACCTACAAGTGCAAGGTACTGTATCCACAACATTTCAGTGGCATCATCAACTCAGTACTAGTTGTACATGAGAAATCATGTGTCTTCTTTTTACTTGAATGAAGATGACTTGCTTCCAGGTAGTTGTTGTCGTTTGATGTTCATGTTTCCTATCGTCCATCATGCTTCACAGTCGTGAATGCTCATCTCCTCATTGCTCATCATCTCGCAAATTCCCATCCCATGCGACATAAAACACCGAACTTGCGCCACCTCTTGCTAGGCACATTCATTCATTCCTTTCAATCTTTTTAGGACACCGTGATGGTCGAGTTCTCGCAGGACACGACTTACACCAACAAGGATTTTGTCGAGAAGAAGGGCTAAGGGCAGACGTGGATCAACGCACTGGACGTAAGTGATGGGCAACGGATAGGTGGAACAACGCACGTCACTGGAGGTGATGGGCAACGGAAAGGGAAAGCTAGTAGTACACAGATGAATTATCTACGATATGGAATTGGAAATGGATTTGGTTTTTAGCTTTACTCACGATTGTTCGTGAAGATTTATCTAGAAGTGTTATTAGATTTATTGTACTACTAGTATTTGTCATTCTTGTGCCAGCGCCTACCTAGTACATCGTAGGTAGACTACTATCTAATTTAGCATTCTCCATGAAGGACTCTCATTTTGTTGATATTTTTTTCGATTTATTTTTATGATCTAATCTTCTGAATTGTGACCGTTAATGAATTGATGGGAATACCCCATCTATTAAAAAAACAGACTCCAAGTAGCAAAAAAACAGGATTGCACAAGAATCATTACAGGAAATACAAATACAAGTGCAGACATTAAAACATGAGTAACAGAAAAAGGCAGTATCGACGAACCAGGGGTATCGTTATTGTAATGCTCCACAACGAACGCCGTGATTTTGGTCATAACACAACATGTGAATGTAACAAAGAACTTCTCTGAAGGAGACTTCATTTTTGCGCAGGGGTTGCATGGACATCCACTAGTGATTACAGAAGTTGTAAGTAATCAGATACATCTTCAACGTCTCTAGTAGCATAGCCATAAGAACAAAAGATGTCATAGAAGCTATGTATAGTTAGAACTTCATAGCTATAGTTAGAGATAATTCTTACCAAAGCGGGGGGTGGGCGCTTTACGAAATTTCCAAGCGATGTTCCGAGAAAGTCTTCCTAATAAAATTCTTGTAAGATGTCCAAAGTACAACAAAGATTACAAACTCGAGTTTCAGAGCAACAATCTAATATTTACTGTTAGTATTGAATGTAAAAATACTGGGCAGAAGCAGCGATCATGGGGAATTTCTCTTTCCCTATCTCTTTCCCTATCTAGTTTCCTTTTTACAGGTAGCGGTTGGACGTGTTCTTCATCCAACAAAACTCAAAATGCACAAAATCAAGTGGGGGTAGTCAAACACTAAGTGCACAAAATCAAGTTGGAGTGAAGCGCGTAAGTAATAAAAGGAGCTAGATGTGAATAGTGCGAAGAGCGCAATGAGTAGCAATACACGGTGAATGGGTATGAGTGAAGATACCTTTAAGCTTTATACTACTTACTTTGAACATCAGCAAGTTCATCCGTGTTGATCTAACGACTTAATAGAAAAATGCAGAGTTTTGGGCGTTGTTCATCTGGTGCAATCCTGCCGGCGCGCAGTGCGCTTGCGCGGCATGTGATTGCTGGCACAGGAGCAACACTGGAGGCCGTACAAATGAGAGCAGTTTACTCTTCTAGTGGACAACACGATGACCCGAGTAGAACCAGTGCAAGAACCTGTCCTTCTAGCTCTTCTTCATCAACGTCCCTGCCTCAAGTTATGCTGCAAAGCAAACCATTGCCAGCTACTAAGAAAAGGCTCGTGTCCCTAGCACAAAGTTTGTTGCCGACCGTGGGCTCATCTGCTTCCTCATCTTCTTCCAGAAGACGTAGTCCTAGAACGGAGGTAAGAACGTTTTCGATGCTACGGCAGCTACTGCGGCCCGATTGTGGTCGTACCGCTGCGATTAGCGCGACGTGTCCTACTCTCCCTATCGTGCTTCCAGCCGCCTTTTCGCGTACTCCCAGTACGGCACGAAGAGAGCAGGGACCAATCAGACTAACAAGATCTTTCTCCATAATATTGTGTGGTGGAAGTAGTCGTGGGAATGCAGCTTCGCAGAGGCCTTCCTCCATGTTACTGAGTGGAAGTAATGGGACTGCGGCTTCGCAGAGGCAGAAGATGACTCATTATCTACTTGGTGGAGTCTTGCAGCATCGTGCGTTTGCTGGGAGAGCGGGTGGACGGAAGAGAAAGCGAAAAAGCGACGTCGTGAAAACAAATCATCAGAAAACCGAATTCGGAAAACGCATGGAATTTTTCTGGCAAAGGAACGCCCGGCGCTTTCGAGTCCCGCTGATAGTTAAGGAGATGACAGATCAAAACCTGAGTACATGACGACGAATGTTCTAAGAAAATCCTTTCTTTGTGAAAGATGTGTATTCTAAGCAACATATTATTGCCGAACCGAAGGTGGAGATTGCCATGTTGATGAAGAATCAGCGTGCTTGCTATGCTGCGTGAAAGGTAAGTAGGCAATCTAAGTACCCTATAATCTATGTATTTCTTTGTATTCCATGCTGGAAATGATCGCTTCTAACTCAGAAAATTCTAGGCAGCATCTGGTCTACGACTGCCGGTTTAAGACATGGATGACGATGTGGTACAAAGACGGGATCCAGGTGTTCAAACGTCATGGTGGAAACGCCAGTCGCAGCGAAGGTTTTGAGCGTGCGCGCATGCGAGCTCTCCTTCTGTACCAACAGTTAAAGCAATATGCGAAGCTTGGGCGCCCAAAGCCCGATGTAACGTTCTCGGGAGTTCGAGGGGTAAGAATATTATTAGTACTCGTTCTGGCTTGTTAGCGGTTTTTACTTAGGGGCATTCTCCTTGCTTGGGCCCTTTATTTGTGCCGGCTGCACGACAGGAGCAGCTATGCCGCGCTTCTGCGCGCTTTGGTGTGCGGTGGGTTGTTGGAAAGCGCAGTCGGGTACTGTACTCGCCCCCGGTGCTCCGATGAGCCGGAGACTGAGCGGGCCGCGTTTTTGCCTAGGCACTGGCGTTGCCGCGGGCGCTTTCAATGTACTCTTTTTTGCACTGGCGCTCCCACCCCGCAAGACCTGCCGGCGCGGGAGCTCTCTGAGGCGGGTCCGCCCGGTCCGTTTCTGGCGAGCGTTAGCGCCTTCAGCCTGGCGACCGTTTCAGGCGGTTTCGTTGGCGTGGTGGCAGAGGTTTGGAGGGCAAGTCCAACACAGTGAAGAAGCCAGGCAGGGCGCTTACTAAAAACAGCCGGCCACGATACGGCGAACCAAGTAAAGCCGGCGGGGGCCGCGCTCAGTCACCCCAGGCAGAGAGCAGCTCCGGGGCTTGCTTTTTCAGCATGTTGCGGCCGCTTGTTGTTCTTGGCAGCCAGTACCCTGACCAGCGCCGCCCTTCGCACCAGAGGGGCGAGCAGGCTGCTGCCGCGGTGGCGGATTCTTGAGTGTCGCGGGACCCCCTGAAGATTGGCCTTGCCCGGCGCCGCCAGCCTGGAGCAGCTCCAGCAGGATCGTGATCGCCTTCAGCGCAAGCTTGCCGGGCTGGAGGCTTGCTCTTGGCTTGGTAATTCTGATAAGGAAGCGCAGGGACTGCGTCGCGTCCTCGGGTCTTTGGCTTCGAGGGAATTCCATTGGCTTCCCAGAGGAGAGCGGCACTTCCAAAAGCCTCGAAGGCGTGCGCAATGTAACTGATGGAAGCGCCCGCACCTTCAACCAGTGAGGAGCGGCAACGCCTATAGCGTCGACCGGGCTGGGCTCTGTCGCAGTGAAGACGGCCAGGGCAGTGAACACCTGTAGCCGGCGGAATTCGGGGCGGCCATGTCTGCGCATACCCGACCGCGCCACAAGGAAAGGCCTGGCAGTATTTTCACCAGCACGCCCGCAAGTGCAGCGGCCGCGCTTAACAAGTCCAGGCAGACGATAGCGGAGGCTGGCAAACTACACGGGGCGGACACACGTAAAGAAAAGCAAAACGACCAGGGGCGCCGACCTGCGCAGCATCTTGCAGAGAAGGAACACCAGCGCCGCGGGCGCTAGCCTGCCGGGGTTGTCGCGCCCATTCCTCACGCTGCCAAATGAAAACGCTGCGGAAGTGCGTCGCGGTGTTTGTGTTTGTCTCTGTGTTGCAGCCGTGGAGAGAAAGCGCGCGGGGGCTGTTTTGGCTTGGTTTTTTCCCGCTTGCTTTGGTTGTTCTTTCATCTTCTCTGGCTTTTAAACCTTTCGCAGGGGAGCCGCCACCGGGTGGGCGGTCGGCAGTGCACGCAGCGTGACACCTACTTTGCGCGCCTCTAGGCGTGTGTCACTCATAAAGTGAGTCGGGGCTTGGCGGTAAAGTTAGAGCGCAGGACCAGCGGCCCGGCGAGGGCACAAAGCGGAGGGCGTGACACGCTGGGGGCGCCTGTCTCTTTCTTTCGGGCTTCGGGTTTTGGTCTGGCTCGTCCCCGGAGGGGGCAGGCACTTCGCGGGGGTGCGTCAAAGAGTGCACAACAGAGGTGGACGCGTGGCACACTCACGCATCTCGCCGCCAGGGGGCGGGGGGCTTTCTTTCTCTGTTTTTTTTCATTTCACGCCGCCGACACACCAGACACTCACCCAGGTTTGCAGCTCCGCCACATCGATCTGTCTCCCACTCCTTCTCCTTGTATCATTGGTTGTCAGCATCATTGCTCGCCATCGGATTGTCCGCATACTACATTTCAGGTAATTTGGGACACTGAAGAGCGTGCGTGGGTTTGCCGGTGGGCGGAGGCAGGAATGCAGAGGTGGCACGTTTTTCCAGTAAATGCGGAGAATAGCTTCGGAGACGCTTATGCGAGAGCTGTAAAGATGCGACTCGAGGTTCTACAGCGTAATCATCACTTTGTCATGCAGCGTTCTCGATGGAAGAATCTCAAAGACTTTTTGGGTACGAGTAAGACCTAGGGTTTTACGGGACCGGAAGGCTACTAGGACAAGCGCACAAAAACGAGGACCTGGAGGTTAATACAACTTCTAGATACTTCTTACTAAGTCTGGACCTCCTGGAGTACTTAGATTATCATGATAGGGTAGGTGGACGAGGAGCACGTACTGGAAGGAAGGACGAAGAACACCATCAAAGACCGCATGAATTTCCCTGTTCTCCGAGACACAGCGACTCAGTACGCCGGACCCGATTTGTGAAGGGCCGCGCTCGGTCGGAGCCGCAGGACGTCTTACAGTACGTCTAACATCAAAGCACTAGCGGTTAGCCGCTCTCTGATGAAAATGAACCACAACTACGAACGGCAGCGGATGCAAAAAATACAGAGGCTTTCCGTTTCCTGGTGCTTCAGCACAACAACGATGAAGGAGCTGTCTAGGTCGGCTGCGAGCACCAGGTCAGAGGAGCTAGGGAATGAACGTCCCTCCGATTGCCCGAGCGACGCCGAAACTTGCAGGTAACGCAGTAAGTCGAGCTCTATCGACGGCAGCACGACTGCGCCTGCGAGACTCCAAGAATTTACTCAGCCGTAACGCATGGAGACCATTCTGATTCTTCTGACTTTTCTTTGGTGCTTATGAGCTTGTAGTGCTTTGTCATGCTGATATATGCGAACAACAACAACGAGACAGAACCCGCTGCACTTGTTCGGCAAGAAAACAACATCAACATTGCTAAAAATACTGACGATGACTATCTAAATCTATTCGAGCCCTGAATTTTATTTTCATCAGAAGTCTGTTGAAGAAAATAATCACTCTTCATCTTCCACTCCTCGTCTTTCACAGCTGAGCCTAAAAAAAGCGAGAATGAGGGACATTTCCATATCTTTACTAAAAATGGGAAATGCCAAAAGACGAATTCGACTTAGTTCGATTCCAAGAACAAAGAAATCAATAGGCATACTAGTACTACTCTTTCGACCTGAAGAAACTTTCAAAGCAATTCTGTATGTTGAGCTTCGACTCGAAAAAAAACTCTTGCAAAGATGAGCTTTAGTTGTCTCCCCTTAAAGCCGGGGGATCACGTTGTGAAGGAAGACGGCGCGACTGTGACACACGCAATCTACTGCGGACAGGCCTTGTTGGTCCAGACTCCTCCGGAAGGCAAATCTCCTTCTGACAACTACGTCGATGGAGCTGCACCTGCACCAGATGAAACGAGCGGAAAAAGAGCTACAAGAACGTGTACCGAAAATACAAATAGTGGAGACTCGTCTACTAGTACGAGTACAGCCATTCTCGATGAACAGTACTTGCAGGAGGGTGCATCAGATGTGCCGCCATTTGTTGTCTATCTAGCCCGATCGAAGGATTCGTCTAGTACTCTGGAGATTCGGAAGCAAGAACTGCATTCTTGGGTCTACGAGTCATCTCAGATAACACAGACTGCGACGGAGCAGACAACAGGTGGTAGCGCTGAAGGAGGCGAGGAGAATACCACGTCAGAGGTATGAACAATTTAGCGGGTAACCCCACATAGACATATACAAGATATCTATAGAGGTATAAACAATACCAAGTGAAGATAATTATCAATCCCTACCGCTATCGCATTGGGCGATAATAAAAGCTATGTTTTATTTATCAACCTCTATCGTATTCTTGGCATTGAGAATTGGTATAATTTTTCTTTTCCATCAGGGCCAAGAACATGATCATGAATTGTGACCCTCTAGTTCTCTTCTTGTCCCCTTTTCAACTGGTTCGTTTTCTGCGGGTCGCGACGGACGGGGTGTGTGCGTCCGCTTTTACCTGAATCGCCCCTTTAGTCGTCGGCGCTCGGTTTTTCTCGCGTTAAGGGCACTGACCCTGACACCGAAGATATTAAGGGAATACAACTTCATCTTCTTCTGCTGACCGTCCTTCTGCTGACCCCCATCATAGTTGTACGATGGCATCCTGCACTAACATTCTTGACCTATTTTCTAGTCGGAAGGATGTTCTGAGGATGTGTTCTGAGGAGTGTAATTCTGCAACCTCTAAAGATCCGGACGCACAAGAGTCTCATAGCGGAGATCCTCGACTCTGACGTTTTCCCGTGGCACTGTCTTTTCCAGGACAACGAAAACGCTTTCGATCCTGGCGTAGGCCTCTCCCAAATGAAGGCAAAACGTTATCTATGACAGGAAAAAGAAGTGTACAGACTAAGTACAGATACTGATACAATTACAAAGTGACTTCATACATATTAGTAGTACTCAAGAAATTATCCCTAGCCGTAGCCACCAGATGAAGATAAGTAGAACAGAACTTCTGACTAATTTATCGGCGCGAGCCCTACCAAGAGGCTTTCGTGTCGGAGTCCATCATCGACTCTCTGCAGCAAAGCACAGTGCTTATCTCGAAAGGAGCAGTTGTCCTCCGAGGAGCCAAATTGGCGAGGCTGTATAATTCATTGCTACTAAGACCACTTATGATAAATATATAATCATAAGGCATTTTTGATTATTGTTCCTTGTGCAAGCATGCCATGCCTTGACAACGCAATTCATTCTCACTCATCAGTTCTGAAAATTGATTTGCTGTTTGTAACGTGTCACCAACCTCTTGTCAGGCATATCAATCAATCACTCAATCTTGGCGTCGTTTTTTCAGGCTGCGTTTTTCGTCCGGTGCAGTCGGGACTTGGGGCAAGCTCGGGGCTCTCATAGGAGGACGAATATCCGAGCGTTTGTTCCAGCAAGACTCGCCGCGTAGTGCTGGTGCAGCTGCCGCCGGAAGTTGGATCGGCTCAGTAGCAGGAGCTAGTATTTATGCAAGGAATGAACATGAGAGCGAACCCTAAACCCTAAACCCAAACCCAAACCCTAAACCCTGCCGTTGATGAAAGTTAAAGGGGTTTTTCATAGTCGAATGCCACTTTCGCAAGCTGACTTTTCATGCACCATTGGTAAAGGAATCAATAATTAGAGTAGTTTATAGAACGGATGTAGGATGGACTTGGATGGATCGGATGGACCCCCCTGATTCTTCCGATCCTACTTGAAATGGTGGAAAGTCCATCGGATCCATCCCATCCCGGATCTGGCACCCCTATAAACTGCTCTACAATATGCTTAATCCAAGAACCAACTCACACTTAGTATGGAGATGAGTATTCACCACGACGACCAGATTGCTTATTACTTAGTATTAAGATGAGTAGCTAGACGATCCTCCTACTTCGCTCCTTTCTGTTCATTCAACCGGTGCTTCCGTCGTATCCGGTACCACCACTGGGGCGTCCACGGTCGCATCGGCGGGTACAGTCGCGTACGCTATCGGGTCAGTGGAGGCAGCTTCTTTGGCTAGTAGTATCCTAGCTGCCACCTCGTTAGGAGCAGCTGGTGCTGTGGTCGGAGCTGGCGCAGCGCTGTTGATAAAGAACAAATTATTGGCGACCGAGAGCGGCGCAGAGGACAGGACAAGTTCGTTTTTAGAGCGCGAACTTCACCTCTTTGCGAAGACTGCTAAGCTAGTAGTTCTTGGCGCCGATATTCCATCGTCAGTCGTCGAGGAACAGGAAACTGGAGAAGCTGAGCAAACTTCTTTAGCTGTGACAACTGGCGAAACATCTAAAGACGATAACGAAAGTGGAAAGGAGATATGCGAGGAACTAGAGAGCTGAAGTTGATCGATCGTAACTATCAAACTACTAGAATTAGTTGTACTACTATCGAACCAAAAACCTTACTCACCCTCAGAAAATTTGAAAGTTTGGCAGAGGATTTTGGAAAAGAGGTAGTTTAATAGCTAAGTTTAAATAGATAGTTAAAGACTAGATAGACAGGATCACGGGTCGAGTCGGTGCTGCTGGCGGTCGAAGTCCTCAGGAGGACACCTTATGACGTGTGGGATTTTGTGTGATGGATCTGGAAATGTGTGTAGAATTGATTGAAAGGTGAGAACTTTCGTTTGAATGATGACGCTATCTATTTAAACTTAGCTATTAAACTACCTCTTTTCCAAAATCCTCTGCCAAACTTTCAAATTTTCTGAGGGTGAGTAAGGTTTTTGGTTCGATAACTACAACTATGATCTACTTAAAATGTGAACTGGTTCATTGCAATAAAAACTGGCATTTATTTTATTGTTATAAGTATATACTTCATCTCATTTCATCTAAAAACCCAACCCGACCTTCATCTCATTTCATCTAAAAATCCAACCCGACGAAGACGAAGATAACTTCGATACCCAGGATCCTTTTGGTCATTTGGGTGTCATTTTAGGATTTGACGATGTGGAGTCCGGTGAGTCTGCGGTACCAGCTCAGCTTGCACACGGTTGGTATACCATTCCGATATCGCCACAAGACGCTGGCGCAAAGTTGAAGAAGAACGCTCCGCCCGCAGGATCGCCGTAAAAATATTTTTGACGGCAACTACGCACAATCTTGAGTTGCTCATCTTGCACAAAAATGGACGGTAGCGGCTGCGTCTGGTGCAATGGGTCTGATATTTGTGGCAACGGCATAACCTTTTTGTAACAACCCAGGACGCCCGATCTGTTCCTTGGTGCTCGTACGATTTTCCTATGCTGTGGTGTTAAGTACTTTTTTTGCTGGTTGTGGTTAGAGTGATGCATACGTCGTGCTTTCGTGGTCTCTGCAATGCAGACCAGAACAGGAATGACGAGGGATCACAGACTGTCACTCAAGGACTCGTCTGGATACGGCAAGCACTGGCGATGTATTCGTTTCAAAAACTTAGATGAATCACAACATACATACATTTATTGGTGTTGGGAAAAAATAGAGAAATAGCTCTAGCTGACGACCACTAGGAGTGCACCACACCGAGGGTTGCGATCAGGGCGTGTCCTAGTTCAGTACTAGAGCTGAAATTCAAATTTTGAGTGATGTGATGGATCCACGACACAATAGGAATTCACTTTCTTGGAACCTCTTCAGCCTTAGGATCTAGATCACAACTTGTTTGATCCGCTACTCAATCGAGGCAAACAAGAAAAAACAAAAAGATACAGATAGTTCAAGACTAAATAATATCCACGTGCTGGAATAGATAGTTCAAGATTCAGCAACACATGGCTCGGCTCCTGATCAACATCAGCAAGCGTACATGGATCCTCTCTAAAGCTGCACGCTCACATGGTTGATGATCAACAATATGGATCCGTCTAAGATCTAGAAGTCTGTGTGTTGTGCGGGATCAGTCTCGGAGATCATCAACTACTAGTCTAGGACTATTTTGACGATTGGATTTGGATCAAACCACTGCACTACTTAGGCGAGTGCTGACGGTTTTTAGTTCCGTTTGCATTAAATGAATGCGAAAGCATTTGAACAATTCTTAGCACTTTACTCATTTTGTTCCCACAGAAGCGGTTGACAGGTCTCCTGCCTCTGCTTTGCTTTATTGCATATAGGGTCGTGGAGAAGTCGATGTAATTGAAAATTCTGCGCAGCTTGTGTACCTTTTCCATTTGTACACCTGATTTTCTATGACCTGCTAGATTGTATTTGTCAACGTTATTTATTCTTATTGCATTTCCTTGCATATGCATAGTTGTAGTGTATACTTAATTATTTTCAGGTCGTAGTTCTTAGATTTGGTATCTATTGCGCTTGCAGACAAAATGAAGGCCGACGCAGCTTTTTTGGACAGCTTCCATGAGCTCAGCTGCGGTAACGCAGAAAGGCGCAACCGAGCAGCGTTCCAGGTTTGCCGCATTGGTAGCAAGGCTGAGCAACATGAGTACACTCTGACAAGACTTCTGCGGGGTGTCAACTCGGATCGCTTGGCAGCACGGCAGGGCTTCGCGACAGCCCTAGCCGAATTCGTGAAGCAACAGGCTTGTACTGTCGACACAGTGCTAGACGAAGCGGATCACAAGTACTTACTTCTAACCATAAAAATCAGAATCATTGTGTATGTGTCTACTCTCCTATGTTTTACTAGCGTGCTGACGCAAACGCAATGAATATGAAGTTGTCAAACAACGAACTGCACGGTATCTCACTCAATAAATTTTTTAACTTTGATTTCTGCATGAGAAATTATTATTATGGTCAAATTCAATTATTCGCATCAACTACACAGGAAAAATAGTGAGGTGGGCAGTGAGCGGGATATGATTCTCGGAAAGCTGGTCCTGAACGTGGCTCTTTTAAACGCTGGCGTGAAACTAGAGCAGAAAACCGAGGAAAGGATCATTTCGAATCTTCAGAAAGTCTCCGCGCAAAAAATCTACCTCATGGAGCCTGCAGCACGCGAGGTGATGGAGTACCTCGTTCGTGCGTCAAAGTCTGGAAAAAATCACAAGGTGGAAAGAGTGAACAGCCTGATGCAACTGTTCACTGTCGGAAAGGTCTCAGGCACTGTATCCCAAGCAGAAGCTTTGGTAAGCGCCGCCAAGAACATGCACCACGTTGGACTTTTTTTAGGCGCTGCACAAGGTCAAATCGAATGGTTGCACAATGCAAAGAACCTGAATTCGCTGTTGCACTTTCTGCAATTGGACTTGAAGCTGAGCAAAGAAACCTACTCCGTGTACCGACCATGGTACTTTGCTAGTGTGCTCAAGGAATTCTTTGGAGGTGGTTGTGGAGAAGAAACTACCCGAAGTAAAGGGGAGACGAAGGAGCTGCAATGGAAAACGGCCGAGGTTGCGGCGAAGAAGCTTTTCGAGACTGTAACTAAAGCATTGGAGACCACGGCTGGAGCCTGCTCTAGTGAAGCTGGTGAAGATGGTCGTGACGATGACGAAACAAGCAAAAACAATAAGGGACCGAAAAAGCATCATGGTGGAGGAAAGAAGAACAAGAACAACAAGGAACATGGGGGTCGCGAGCAATGGGCTCATACCAGCGGCAACCATGGGATCAAAAAAGGACTCGAATTGTTGCGCATCTGCGTCGAGGTGTTGCCTCGTGCGAAGTTCGGCGCTGCAGCCTTGCCAGCCTTGTTTTCCAGCGTCCTAGTGCGTGTTTTTTGCACTGCGTTGACCCACAACAAGCATAAGCAGACCGCCAATGCTCTGTTGCAGGAGCTCCGCAAAGCCATGCTCACTGACGACAAGAGCTTTCTGGTCGCCCACTGCGACAAACTAAGGGACCGCCTGTTCTTCGAAGCCTACGAAAATCTTTCGCACACCTCTCGTGAGTACCAGAGGATGCCTTCGCGTCTGCAACGTGCATTGAGCTCCCTGCTCTTGCACCGCCTTTCCGGGGAAAAGCTCCACATCGTGGCTAGCAAATTGCTGCTCGCAGAGGAAAAAACTACTACCACTTCTACATCAAGTGCAACCAGTACCTCTTCTTCCAGAAGTACTTCTTCTTCCAAACAAGAGGATCATCACGATTTGGTCGGCCCTGAAGCCTTGTCAAGTCTCACAGCCCACCCGCGATGCAGCCGCCACATCCACAAAGCTGTGCTGGCCACGTTTTTGGTGCACGTTGTCGACGTGAAGCGGTATCCAGCAGCCCATCTCGAAGATTTGCGAAAGCGGGTGGAAGAAAACCTCGCCTCCACGACTCTTGCTAAAGCTATTGCAAAGAAGATTACCACGACCACCAGTTGTGCTGGAGGTAAAAAGACATCTAAATCGACAACTACTGCGGGAGAACAGGAGGACGCGCAAGGGAGGAAGTTGTGGCGAGCGCAATTCTGGAAATTGTTGGGCCAAGTGTTGAAAAAAGCGTCCTCAAAGGAAGCTGGGTTCGACATCCTTAGCTTGGTGTACCTGTTCGCACCACCTGCATCTTGCCGCGTTCTTGTGAAAAAAGCCGTAGAAGACGGTGAAAACGCTGTTGCTGATGCTGAGAAAATGAAGGGAGCTGCAGATGATCTGACCAAGCGTGTGCAGGAACTGCTTTCTGTGCACGCAACTACAAGTACAAGCGCCACGACTAGCGGAAAGAATTCTCCATCAACATCGGCTGTTTTGCAACTGCTGCTCGCCATCGAGTGCGTGCGATCAATTGACGACGACCTCGACAACGAGAAAACCAACGAAATTCTGGAGAATCTTCTAGAAAAGGTGAAAATCCTCGACACGACAACGAGCACCACCAAGAAAAAGAACAAGAAGAGCAAATCTCCTGAGGACAGTAGTTCTTCCACTAGTAGTTGTAAGCAAATTTTGGTCGACGTTGAAGCCCTGACTGAAGATCTTCCGCACATCTACGCAGACACAGTGGGTTTCGTCAAAGACGCTGTGGCGGAGTGCTGGGCTGCGATCCTCCCAGAACTCTTCCAGAACAAGTCAGACGCTGAGGTACAACTTGCAATTGTTACTTCTTTTTATGCTAGAAGAATTATCCTGTACAACTCATTCATGATTTGTATAATTACTATTATGAAATAGAAACTGTTCTTGTTCATCTTCAGAGTCGTGCTGTCTATGGCGTGTTGTTTGTTTCGCTCCTATAGGAATGCATAGTGAAGATGAGCATATTTTTATTGTACTCACCTACTAGGTCAAACAGGGTATCGACAATGAAGAGGTAGCTGACGAAGGCATGGCAGCAATGTTTGAGGAGCAACTGAAATATGCAAGAGGAGCGGCCGTCGCCCAGTCTCCGGCAATGCAGGTCCTCTTAGGTTTGTGCCTCACTCTATGTGAGAGTGGTGCTGAAGAGACAGGTGCTGGTGGTGCTGCTGAAGACGAGGAAGGTGAAGATGGAAGTGACATGGAAGAAAATGTTGACATGCTAGGTGAAGGTGGTGCTGAAGATAAGAAGAAAGGCGCAGAAGATGACGAGGACGACGAAAAGAGTGAGTCCGAAGATGAAGACGATGAAATGAACGGTGGAGACGAGAAGAAGGCCACCACGAGTGGTGCACCAGAACAAGTTGTTGGTCACGTCGTTCACAACAGCTTCAACGAGATCGCGGTTGCTGATTCCGACGCGTTGATGACGATTCTCACTGAAGAGGATGCCAATGACGAAATGAGCAAGCTCGCGCAGTCCTTTGGAGTGAATCCGAGCAACAAAACAGACCCGAGTAAGCCTACTTCCAGTGCTGACAGGAAAGTCGAGGCTCTGAAGACCCGCATGGGGACGCTCGTGAAACAGATCAAGTACCTGGACTTGGTGGCCGAATTTTTGGACCAACAAGGGGCGGCAACGACAAATACTACCTCAAATACAACAACTTCTACGAGTAGCAGTTCTTCGTCAAGAGGTTCTTCTAGCAAGAAAGAATCATCTGAACAACAACAACAACAAGGACAAGCTTCTCCCACCAATTCAAGTAGCACGACAAACACTGCGGCATTTGCGATCGATATTTTGCATCAGCTCTTTGATGGTCTAGTTGTCGCGAATAAGCGTAGCGCAAAAGTTGCTACGCAAACTAAGGGTCAAGAGAAATGCGTGACGTCGGAAGCCACCACGAAGCTGAGGGACATTGTTCGCAAACACTGTGAAAAGCTGCTGCGAAAGGCATCTCCGGAAGTGCGTCGAAAATTCGGCGCACAAGTGGTCCAAACTTGTGCCCATATGAAGCTGAAGCTCTCGCATCTCTTCGAGGCAGGAGCGGCCGCAGCTGTGGCAGCACTAGCGACCAATGGAATTGTCGACCAGAGCGTGCTTCAAAGTAACATTCTTATAATCTGCCCTTCTACAGCACCTTGGCTTGATCACATCTTATTCTTGCTTTTTCATTTTGACAAACATGCAAGTAGAACCAACTAGAGTTATCCTGTCCTGTCTTGTTGACTGACACGGATTCAATCTATAATCCATCAGTTTGCTTTTACACCAAGATCATCTTCGCACCTTTCCACTCAGACACCTTTCCACCCTTTCTGAATAATAAAACTACAGACACGTTAGAGCAATGGTTGAAAAAAGACGACACCAAGTGGGGCCCTACCTTCATGAAGGCCGTCGCAGATCGATATCCTAAGTCCTTCCTGCATGTAAATTGGATGGCATTGTTGGAAAAAGAGGGAAAAGCCTTCTGCAAGAACGAAATCCGATCCTTCCTGGTCCATCTCATCCAGCGAAATCGGGATGTGGTATTTCTGGGTTGTAGTAGTAGTTGAACAATTGATTTGTCGGAAACGGGATTTTTGTTCGTTTTTGAGAAGAAGATATTGAGTCCTTTGGTCTTCCACGGTCCACCTCATTATTTATCCTCGGGATGTGGTAATATAAATATGTCTGGATTTTAGTAGTAGTTCAATTCATTCGTTTTCGTTCTTCGCGGTCCCTTGTTCGTTGTAGTAGTTGAATTTATTTGTCAAAAGAGTAAGTAAGAGTGACTAGAAGAAGAGCGTAGGTAACGCATGAGTAGATTGTAGAGGAGTGTACCCCCTCTACTGGGCTGGCGAATTGTTAGTTACCAGCGATTTTGTATATTTGTCATATGCTTTGTCCTTAATCAGTGAAAAGATTCGCGGTGATCATGGAGAAGAGGAAGATGGTCGACCATCTTCTGAGTTGTATGTCAGACTGTAAGAGGAAGATGGTCGAGCTGCATCTTCTGAGTTGTATGTCATAACCTTCTTCTAAATCCTTACGTTAAATGATCATGATCATGTTCCTGCTCTTCCTGATGTTGTAACTCGAACATCAACCAGAACATCAACACCTCTTTTCCGTACCTCCAATAAAAAATGTATTTACGTTCATCTCGAGGTGGATCTCCTAGGTAGTTGTACCAATAAAAGCAAATGTTGATCCATTGTTATTGTTTTCCTCCATATCGTCCAGGAATCTCGATCTCCCACCAATTATAAAAGCAAATCTTGATCCAACTACATTGTTTTACTCCATAATTTCCAGGATTTCGTCCCCGAACTTGCGGCCCTCGTGAAGCATTGTGTGAGGACGCTAGCGGACGACAGGACGACCAAGAAAATAGAGCAGGAAACGATGAGAACTACGCTGCACATCCTGGAATTCCTTCGTGATCATCGAGGTCCATGTGAAGCTACAGAGGGAGGAAAAGAAGACTTTGGCCTCGAATTGTTGGAGACTAAAAAGCAGAAACATGCGGCATCAAAAAACAAGATTTACCAGATGATCTGCCAGGCAGAAAAAATAGTCGAAGCAAGAAGAGCAGCTGCCGGTGGAGGTGGTCAGGCGACAACATCTTCAAATATTTGCCAGAAGATAGTTCTTGGAGATGATGAAGATGCAACATCAGCAAAGAAGAAGAGGGCAGCAACATCAGACAAGGAGAAAGAGACGTTGCCTGCTGTTGAAAATGAAGGTGATGAGGAACAGGCTAGCCCACCGAAGAAGAAGAAAAAGCTGAGTGGTAAGAAGAAGTTGTAAATAAGTATCAGTATGTTTATTAGCGTTTATCATTGACCACGATGTTAGTTGATACGACTCGTCCACATGGCATACTTTCTCCTCCTCCATCTCGCAAACTTTTCATCCTCTTTTTTTCTAGCTAATGATGAATGAACATATGATCACTGATTCTGATAAGAAATGACATCGTATACGAAGACGAATACGACTTTGCAGAACAACTAGAATATAAAGTACACTGCACAAGAAGAACTTTACAACGATACCGTATCGCGTTTCCCTCCTCGCTCATTATTTGGTGCTAGTACCTCGTCACAAAGGAGTTATATAGAAAAATGCCGCACGACTGAGCCCCCGTGGAGCCTGTTAAGACAAGCGCTTGCCACCGCCCGTTGTTCCCAGTAGGACTAGATTAACAACTACAAGAGAGCACCTTTCTATGAATCGGATGAGCGAGACCATACGATACCAAGATTCTGATGAGAGACAGCATTGGATTCTGATGAGAGAGAGCATATTAAGTACTTCTACTAGGATTCTGGTGAAGAGAGAGCCTGTGATGTCAGTCTAGAATACTGAGCTGGAGCAAACGCTTCTGTTTTGGCGTCGTGGTATGAATTATGAACAAACTCTTCTGTTGTGCAGCCAAACGAAACGTCTGTCGCGTTCGAACGAAGAGAATGAAACTACATCTACTTGTACTTACTTAGCTGCTCCTGATTGAGTGATACCTATGATGAGAATGAGTTGAATAACCGCGTCCTTTCTGTCTACTTTCCACAAGCCAATAGATTGATCCTGCAAAAGCACGACACACTTCTTCTTGCTATTCATTGATGACAGGCAACGTTGTGAGTAGATGCTCTTCTCGACCCCCTTCGCCTTGCATCTTCTTGAATACTACTACTACATCTCATACTAATCATCCTGCTCTTTACTATCCTGCATTGAATGAATGCATTTTGTCGTTAACATTGTCCTGAAAGTAGCATATCCAGAGACCCATGTAGCCACCACCATGTAACATAGCAAGCTCGTTATTCCAGCAGACGTTGCACCACCTCCCGCTAGGCACATTCATCTATTCGTTCATAGCGGAAGACCGGCGCTCGATTCAGACGAGTCACCTTCATTGAAAAACAATTCTTGTCGTCCCTTTGCATGGATATGATACAATTCGCAGACGAATCCATATAATACGAATCTTTTTATACACGCAGACGCTCGCACCAAGCATGATTCATAAGAATAGATTTCGGGGCCCGGCAAAAATCTTCGAGGTGGCTTGTAACTCATACTGCGACTAGTCTGGTTGTACTCAAGTATAATCTCACGGGGGTTCAGTCTTCACAGCCGCGACAAGAACGTTGTTTCGTGGCAACATCGAGCTCCGTACAAGAACCCGCAGAGCAGCAAGCTCCCCTGTTTTCCCTCGGCACTCCGCCAGCACAGAAGACATCGAAGTACCTCTATCGAGGCAATATCTTTCTCTATCGAACTTCTTCTAACACGACGCCATCGAAATACCGCAGAAGCAGAGCAACGACTTCTCTGCGCCCCCCCCCAGCTGGTGCGTTGGCCCTTTGGCCGGAGACTTTGGAGCTGCAGTTCTAATAATGAGCGAAATGACGGCTACGGGGGCAGACGAGGGAGCAGACGTTCCAGATCCAGCGGGGGAAGGCGACGTCCGCTCTAGTACGACCCGTGGGTCTCGTGGCAAGAGTGGTAAGCGAGTGTCGAAGAAGAGACAGAAGCTACTTACGTACACAGATGTTGATGAAGTTGAAGGAACACGACTGGAGAAGCCCAGCAGGAAGAAGCGCACATCACCGAAGTTAAGGCAACCAAGAGAGCTGCATCCTCAACGACGACGTCAATGACTCATCCTTGGTAATGATTTTCCTAACGGGAAACAAACGGCCCTTTTTTTTCACTTGAAAAATCGAGACTCACAGCTCGCCAAGGATCGATGCAATCGCGAAGATTGATGCAAAACTATTATCATATTATAGCTCTAACGAAGAGCAGGACCTGCACCTTCTCAACAACCTCAAATTTTGAGGAAGGTAAGCCGAGGAAGCGAGTCTCCAAGGCTGCGTTACTGGGTGATGAGGACTATGACGACGAGAACGAAAAACCGAACGACAAAGAGGATAACTACGAGAAGGCGGTGATTTTGTTTTTTGATGAGGGCGATGACGGGGGAAGCGACTCGGTTTCGGACGGCTGTGGGGTGACCCTATGTCTGGCAACTGTCATTTTGGCCACCTGCCTGCAGTACGTTTCGCTCGGGTGGCAGATTTACGAAGCTGTACGCAGCAAGATGGAAGCCAATGCGCATGCGTCAGCCTCTCAGCATCTCTCTTATGGGAGGTCATACATCTCTTATTCTTAAACTCGTAGTACTATGTCGTCTCCCATTTTTGCAATAGGTCTCTTATTAAATCCATTGCCACAGAATGAAGACAAGAAGAAATAGAGATCCACCAGATGATTCCTGGCATCATGGATTTCCTAAGTCTCAGACCACACACTAAGTCTCAGACCACAAGGCCGCTCCAGAGGTGGCTGCCATGATTAAGAACTTTTCGGAGGCAAGCACCTACAAGACAACTTTGGGAATGATTATTGTGGCCAGCTCCGTTCTGGGTATTTTCTTCTGCACTACAATGATTACGGCAAGAACAACCGAGAAAGCATCTTCCTTCTTGAGAGGCATATCCTTGGACACTTCTACTTTTTCAAGGGTGAGAAGAAGAGTCATCCGACTCCAAGGAAAAGGATATGCTGACTCTGCTCAAGGAGGATGCCTCTCAAGGAAAATGCGCCTCTAAGATGACGGGCTGCGGATGCTTCTGTTCTTGCAAGAACTGGGTAAGACCATTCGAGGGGTTTTTCGGCATTATCTTCACATGGGTAGCTATTGGCGTTAACCTCGTACTCATTGCCGTGGCTTGGGTCCGCATGTCGTCGTGGGATGCTTAAGGCTACTTACTTACATAAGTATATTCTTTCATCTTGTCAAGATGCATCTTTGGCGTGTTTTTAAGGGGAAACTCATAGATTCTCTTGTCCTTTTTCTAGTTTTTGTTTTTTCTCTTTCTAGTTAGGTCGTGCTCCACCACAATTTTTAAAGATGCGCTCCAAGATGAAGAAGGTGAACAATATTGGTATTGGTATTGGTAACAAGGTCCTCGTCTAAGATGCGGCAGTGAAAAAGAAAGCAGAGAAAACGGGCGAGACCAACGTGGAAGGCGAAGCAATTACTGGGACGATCCTTATCGCCGGGAGCAGTGGTCTTTGCATTGTGGGCCTGCTCGCTGGGTTTCTCCTCAAATGCTGTTGCCGCAGCGAAAAGAAACAAAAATTAGGCGACTACGGGTCCACTTCGACGTCTTCGCAAGATAAATAACTGGAAAGAAGCACCGGGGGTAGACTAGGAGCACTACTCGAGATGCGAGAAGTGTTGAAAAATGATTTCGGAGCATATAACTTCTAAGGCAGTCCTCGCAGTGGTTGTTGGGGGATGACCTCCATTCGAGACGCAAATGAATGAATAATGGCAGCTAGGGCTTGGAGAAAGACGCAGAAGAGGATACAACAGAAGAACATTCTTGTGCTTCGTTTTTACTTCTAAGTACGCATATTTATTAGGCTTCTCTTACGAGAAGTGCGACCTCTCATCTTAGTCACATTTTACGTCTGAGGAAGCGGGGACGAGAAGATACAACTACAGATCATGGACGTACCAGAATACGCATGATCCACATAGAACGATTGCGTCATTTCTCGTACTCAGATACAAGGCAGTGAAAAAGATACTTGAGCTGCTATGTTGCAAAAACCAATTATGCGGCTTTCATGTTATAATTTCATTTTTTTTTAGCACACACACACAGACATATTTATGAACTTAATACAAAACTTCAATGATTGTTACTGTTAGCAAGGACTACAACAGTTGGCAAGGATGTGGAACTGGGCATAAATAAGTAAAAGTAAGTACCTAGTAAGTAACTAACTCACTAACTAACCAGCTAACTAACTAACTAACTAACCAGCTAACTAACTAAATAACTAACTAACTAACTAACTAACTAACTAACTAACTAACTAACTAACTAACTAAGACTAACTACTTAGCTAGAGAGGAACTAAACTTCTTTTATCAAATTACACCTGAAAAAATCGAACAATATGATAAGGATATAGCAGGATATTTACATTATATGATTACTGATGAATCTGAATTTCTGCTCTTTGCTAACGACCATTACTAACTATACATGGAGCGACGTTACGAAAGCGAAACGCTAGAAGGCAATTGATGTCATGGCATCATAGATATCGCCACTACCTCTACTTCTCCATCTGAATCTGAAACAGAAGAGAGTTCTTACTTGATAACGTTGTAGAGGAGGTGGCTCGTCTAGATGTGGTGGCGCGCCACTCTTTTGGCATCGCTCCATTGATCGTGGTCTCACCCGTCTCGGTTCAGCTCTGGATATCGGTTAAGGCTCTTTTGACGGTTCGCCAAACCGTGATGCACTTTCTTGTGAGGTTAAGTAAGTTACAAGCAAATATTTTTATTTGCTCCTCTCTAAAAATCAAAATGCCCTGCGGAGTAGTACTTGGTATTTAGGTTGGCCCCTTTGTCTTCTCGTGCTGGGAGCTCTGGGCAGCAGGCGGTGCTTGTGGCCCAGAGGTTTGGCCAAATCCCTCATTCCTATCGGTTCAATTTTCAAAAAATATCCCTCATTACCTATCAAGTTTTGCTTCAAGTTTCTCCCTAATGCAAACATCGCTTGCAATCAGTTCATAGATGATTTCGAATGCCCACGAGTACTAGAACTTGGCTAGTAACTTCTTGATTTGCGAAAGATGAGACGACCTCCAAAGGTAAAGGGGGAAGAGAATGAGGATGTGGCGAAGCAGCTCGTGACGGAAATCGAGGAGAAAGAGCAGCCTGCGACGGAAATCGAGGCGAAAGAGGTGGAATTGAAGACCGTGAGCGATCAAATAGACACTCAACCCGCCGGTCTCGCTTCAAGGCACGAGTTCACCGTCATACATTTAAGGTTTTGAATCTGCAAAAGCAGACGAAAAATTCAGTTGAATTGTTACTCCAGAAAACGAAACAGAGAAAGGTGTTCCCAAACCTTTCGGTCAGTCTTCTAACCGAACCCAGATCCGACAAAGAGGGTCGTTCGCCTAGGAGGGGTGGTTCTTACAGCGCAGCATTTTACTTTGATCCAGCAGAAAGCGACATCTACTTCGGAGGGGACTCGGCAAGAAACATATTTTCCAGCGGCCTTGCGCCTAAGCACGTGGATCAAAGCACCACTGGTTATTGCGAGAATGGGTATCGGTATGATGCGAGGTGTAACGGCGAGGACTGGCACCACAAGGAATTCGCGAGACGGGACACGCTAGAGCGGCGAGAGCTCAAAGTCGGCCCCAATATACACAATCCCTTCAAACCTGGCTGGAGCCCCGGCCCGACCTGCAGCAAGGTTAACTACAGCAACTTTTATTTCAGCAGGAGGCACCCCAAGGGAACCAGTGGAACGAGTGATGAAAGAGCAGGCTTGGCAAAGGAAGATGAAAGAGAAAGAGACCACCTTCAGGGAAGAACTACAAGAACAGCACCTCCAGGAACGGGGACGACACGTGAGGAATTATGAGGACCGCGAGCTACAGCAACTACAGCAAGCAACTACAGCAAGCAACTACAGCAACTACAGCAACTACAGCAACTACAGCAACGACGAGGTGCAGTTGCTGCAGCTTTTAAGGCTCAACTTTCAATGGTCACCATTGTTCATTGGGGTTGGTCACCGAGATCGAAGACAAGAGGCGACCTCCCCTTCTTGATGAGAGTAGAGCAGGGGAAATAAATGAAGGGAAAGGGGAGAGCTTCGAAGGGGGTCTGTCTCTTCCGTTCAGCATTAGCGCCCACAGTGAATGCTGAGCTTTATGAAGCTTCTTCTTCTCCAGGCTCTGCCGACTCGTGAAGAGCCTGGAGAAGAAGAAGCTGCAACTTCACCTCGTCGAGCCTGAAGAAGAAGTAGCTAAAGATGAAAATAGGGCCTTCCTCGGCCCGGTCTCTGATGTCGTGGAAGCAGAAGGAGAACTACATGATCATCGACGACATTCCTGGAAGATGAATCTGCAGCAGCAAGGAGAAGCAATGCGAAAGAGCTGGAAAACGGAGCAAGGGTAGTTAATCCCGAGGGCTATGCTGCTCTCCGAAGTGAGAAGCAGATCCACAAAGCCCAACAGGATCATGATTAGCGATTGCAGCCGAACGAACCAGAACAGTCGAACGAATCAGATGAACGTCGCAAACGAAAACTCTTCCTTATTGGCAACTGCTTCTCAGGGCGCAGCAAAGAAAGACCAAGAGGAAGAGGGCTCCAGTACTTCGGGGGAGGTGAACGAGTTGATTGTAAGTTGCGGATGGGAGGCGGTGAAAGGGATCCGTGATCCATGGGGCCTGCGTCGGGTTTCGGCACCTCTTGCCAGGCAATTTGAAGGTATCCTTGTTTTCAACAACAGAGAGGTCGGACTCAAGTGGACAGATTGAGTTCACAAATGCTATTAAAATATTAACCGATGTTAAATCATAGAAGGCGTGATCATAGAAGGTGCTATTAGAAAAACTGTTATCAACATTTAGAACTAGAAGGTGCTATCATAGAAGGTGCGATCATGGAGATCATGGAAGGTGCTATTTAAATGATTATTATTGACTAGAGCTAGACTGGAAGATAATTAAGCCTGAGGTGCGTGGTGCAAATAGAGAAGAAGATCATAGACCTCAGTTTGTTCATCAACAGAGAAAACATCATAGACGCACAGAGAAAACATCTATTGAAGAAGCGGAGAATGAATTGTTCAACTGGTCATACTTTCTTCTGTTGAGCGTTCGAGAAATTATGCGTGTCTGTCGCTTTGGAGAGAGGCGTACTCATCTCGTGATACAGCCACTTGTTATGTTATACTTGACTGCAATGATCTTGGCGCATTTCTGTACAAAGAGGAGAAACATGCCAGAATCTGGAGCGACATCATTAGTCTGCTGACCAATTTTCTGTTGACTTGAGCGTCATACTTAAATAAATAATGAGAGTCTTCATTCCCAAGAAGTTTTCGATTTTCTTTACTTTGCATTGTTTGATGGTTGCAAGAATTATATTAACCGGCAGTTCGCTTTCCTCGTCTTGTTCTTGTGGAATTAGTAGTAATCCATCGAGCAAATAGCTTGACCTTGACCCTCACTTTCATCATTAGATTCTTTTGATAACATCCCAGACACCAGTCTATAACAGGATCACTCGTGCCCTGCCTAAACCCCCTGCGATGTACTAGTGCGCACTCCCTCACTCCCTCCCTCCCTCCATCCCTCCCTCATATGTAAGCATAGAAAATTGATATCTACTCGTCCTGGATTGGTGGGTCTGGCTCAACCTAAGTGAAAACTCGTCTGAGTATGGAACTGTCTTTCATCTTAACGTGGTAGAAGCAAGTAGAGTCGTCTGTAGCTGTAGCACAACATTCTCGGTTCTAGGTGCTTGCTTCACAACAATACAGGAGTCTTCATGGTTTAGATGTTTCCAAAAAAGGAGATAGATAGTAGACAAAAAAGCTAGGTGACAGCATAATTCTGATCTGCGGAGCATTTTGCTCATTGCCCCACTAGCACTAGCGCATGCTTCTAGTCGTTGGTGAAGAATTCTTGTAGGTGCCACCAATCTTGTTTGACTAGGTGTCGATAGACATACTTTTCTTTCAATTTTTGACTTTATTCCTTGGTCCTCGATGGAAGAAGAAGATGATCAAGCTAGTCGTGAGACAGGTCGTGGTTGCCATGATCAACGTGGCGGCTTTTCATGATGTTTTTGGAATTTTCATGATTTCGAGAAAGGGGCTCCGTCGCGATGGTGGTAATAACTATGCGTCGCTCCTGCTCGTTCGAGGCATGAAGTTGCTCCAAAAAAAGAAGAAGGTCCTCGCGGTTGCTTCGTCCGGTGGCGAGTCGTTGAGACGCCAAATGTTGCAGAACAAGAGGTGTTTGAATTTTTCCAGTGATGTGGCTTTCTTTTGTCACCCAACCGATGGCCGCGAGAACCTTGACTCTGCCTTGTTGAGCTTCCTTAGCGACGTGGATGTAGCGAATACCCAAAAATGGAAAACAGAGATTAGTAAAAGAAAGGGCGGGCTGCAGACGATTCGCGAGCTTATTTCCGAGTGGATCCTGCCAAGAGCATCAGCCCTTATTGGTAAGTTTCTAGTAAAAGTGGCAGGCACCCCTCAGGGCGACCGGCCATCGATCGAAGCTGCTTGGACTAAACTGAACTCGGGTAGATCTCAGTTTCGAGTTCCTACCACTCTGGTAGACGGCGGCCAAACTGATATTTCTTCACCTGCGACCGCGTCTGATCAACATCACCTGCGTGCAATCAACGCTGAGGACAACGCAGGTTCAACTACAGGAGCGCCCGTCTCCACGAGGACGCTACAAAAAGACGTCGTCTCTATTCTGCAGGTGGCCAAACAATGCCTCGACGCTCGGCAACGACTCCACAACCAGAAAAAAACGGACGAGAACTGCCAGGTCGTGTTGAACCTGCGCCACCCGCAGCACGACCCAGTCACGCATCTTCACGCCGAAAATTACCTGCTGGAAGCAAAGCCATATGTTGACGCGGCTTGGGCAGAGTGGCAAGAAGCTTGCCGGGTCAAACGGAACAGTCTTCCTAGCAAAATAAAAATCGAAGGCCCAGCACAAAGTTCCACCTCTGAGACGAGTGCCCGCACGAACTCGGTTTTCGTGCTTGCCGCTCGGCAAGCCGCTTCGTCAGGCGAGGTAGAAGAAGACGGACTTGAAACCGCAACCACCTCGCCTGGGGACCCTGATGAATATGAAGTGCCGCTTTCTGATGCAACGAAAGATGAGATGGAGAAACATCGCAAAGCCGAAGACAAAAACTTTGTGGAGGCGATGACCAAGAGAAAAGGGCACCTGTCACGGGCCAGCGAGCGTGCGAAGCTGCGCAACGAGGTGGCGGAAAGTGTCGAGCAGGAGGCATGGTTGGAGGCGCTGAAAGAGCACGCTGAGATAATGAGAAAGGACGGCGAAACAGTGCGCGCGTCGCTCAATAAGCCGGTGGATGAGCCGTCCTCTAATACCCCTGATGCGACTGATCCTTCGCACCTGCAGCAAAACCTGCTACTATACGCAAAGGAGCAAACGGAGGATCAGAAGAATGTAGCCGGTTTACTGAATGAGTTGAAGGGGAAACTTTTTTTTGAGAACAAGAGTGAAGATTTCAACATCTTAGGGCCCTCTACTGCGGAGACGATGAACGACGTCGACCGGCACTCTTTTCAGAAAGAATACTTGCGCTGCATGCGCGAATATTTCTTCGGGCCACCGGAGAAGACTTGTTTCCGCAGTAACCCAGCGCCGGACCATGGAACACAGCCGCCTGCGGAGAGTACGTTCAGGTTTTTAGTGGATGTAATTCAAAGTCACGTCGATCGTGGTGCACAAACAGCCGCCACAGCAGACGAAAAGTTAAGACTCCTATCCTCTCGTGTTGCATCGAAATGGCTTACAGAGGAAAAGGTGGAATCGCTTACAAGAAAGGAGCTTGTTAAGCGGTTAGGAGATGCCCGAAAGGAGCGTAATGGCTATAGCCTGAAATTGCGACAGAATCAGAGAAGCGCGCCATGGCAACAAGCTAAGAGACAAGAAAAGCTCGAACAAGCGGAGAAATTGATCGACAAACTGAATTGTCAGACAAAGCTTCTTGATGGTCAGGGACAAGTGAGAGCTGCGGCGGGAAACATTTTGGATCTATTGCTGAGAGCCGAAAACGGACGAAAGATATTTCTAGCCTCTCTTGTCCACGGCATTCCAATGCAACAAAAGCTGTGCCACGAGAGAACGACTGCGGTAATGTCCAAGCTAAAAGAGGACGACGCATTCTTTCAAGACCAGCTAAAATTGGCTGAGGAGCTACTAGCGAGCGGGAGCGACGAGGAAGAGAAAAAACCACTACCGATGTATGAGCAGCTACCGACAGCAGGAGATGATGTGCATGCGCCTCGTCGAGAGGGGCACGGGCATGATGAGCATATGCCTCCTCGAGTCGTGGCACAAAAAGGGCAAGATCATGAGCCTCCACAGTGGTACTCCGAAGTGGTCAACCTAATATATCCGGATGGAGATGAGAAGCGCGATTCCTACCGCGAGGCATGGTTTAGCAACGAAAACGACCAGAAAATTCTGATGCTCCTCTGGGAAGTCTTCAATTACGGACATCAGAAGGCTGCCACTGTAGCCAAGACGTGGCTTGATCTTGTCGGAAAGACTCTAGAAGGAGTCAACGAGCCGCCGAAGGCTTCGGCAACCGGCACTGGTTCTTTGCCAAAAGAGAAAACGGACACAAGAAAAGGGGGAAAGAAATAACGATCCGCATGCTGTAGAAGTACGACGCTGCAGATTGATATCAAGAAACACATGGCAGAGATATTGATATTGATGCTGAGGATCACGCGTCGTCATGCCCATCAAGGTTAGAGTGTATCCATACAGCTGTAACTCGCATGCAGCGTGGTAGTTTTTATTGCGTGTGTGATCCGAGTAGACACTTACTTTGAATTCATCAAGGAACTAAATTTGAGAACATCAATCATATTTGCAGTAGGTAGCTACGTAATAAGATACTGTCGAATGAAATTTTAATTTTTTTATGTACATCCGTAGCCATTTTGGCTCAAGAGAAAGGATAAGAAACAGGAAGTGTGAATTCTCGGAATTCCTTTCACGTCTTTCCTCTAACAAGTTTTTGCGTCATCTTTCCATCGATAATCTTAGCCGAGCTTAATCGTGGTCGAATCTCTTAGATCATTTTCGGCTTTCTTCTACAACACCAAGCTAGACAGGCTGGCGCGCCACTTACTCACCACCAAAAACAGAGCTAAAGCAGTATACCTATTGCCTACAGTGCAACCCAAAAAAGAACTCAGGTAGAACATTCCTTTTCTTGTTACAGTGCAACCCAAAAAAGAACTGAAGAAGGATATTACTTATTTGCCTACAGTGCAACCCAAAAAAGAACTCAGGTAGAATGTTACTCATTTGCCTACAGTGCACTGCTAGAGTTTGTTATTTCTATGCATCTAATTATGTTGATGTTCTTGACTGGTGGTCGACCGACGGAACACGCTGCACGAGGTAGAGCTGCTGCAGGAGAGCACACTAGATTCATAGCATAAATGTCTTACAAATCTATCTTTCTTTGCAAATCAATCGGTAAGCTAGAAGAACGAGGATACCACTTGAGAGCACCATGTGAGAGGCCGCTCCTCAGCGGTAGGAGATGATTACGACCACATAGGAGACACAACTACGACAACATGACATTGCTTCGTTTGAGAGAAGCACGTAAGTAGGCCATTCCGATGTGCTTGTCCAACCCGCACACTGATAGAATTACAAGCGCTTGCGGCCACAAACAACACCTTATTGCTCGAAGCGAGAACGAAGTGTTGCAATAATAACGCATATTATAATTCGAAGTCAGGTGTATGTACTAATTGATATGCCCAAGCTTATTGATGATGATAATGATGATGATGTTAGTCTATTCGGATTTGCTCTACGACTCCCCTGAGTGACTCTTCTTCGATGCGCTTAGTGCTAGTTAATATTTAACAGCGTATGCGTATGCGTATGCGTAAGCTAGGGCTCTGGCTCTGGCTCTGGCTCTGGCTCTGGCTCTGGCTCTGGCTTTGCGAGTACAAGAATTAAGTAGAGTATATATGTATAAATATCGACAATCTTCTTCAAAACTACTTCCCTCTGGACTTTTATCTCCAAAAAAGAGGAAAGGGGATGATCCGCTAGTCCGTTACCGTGTCGACTCTCATCTATGCTTAATTCTCTACAACATAGTAGTTACTAGATTCACCCTGCAGCTCAACACTACTTCTAGTTGTACTACAACTGGTCCCTCCTTAATTTGAGCATCATGTAACTCTATGAGAAGACCAAAGGCCTACTAAAAATGAGACTTTCCATAACGCGACGTGCGAAAGCAGCCTCTACTATTAAGGCTACCGCTGGTGCATCCTAAGTGCCATCCTTGGCTTCTTTTTCAAGGGGTAAAAGACTCAGGGATGGACTCAAGGACTCGACGTCGTAGCTCTAACGCCAGTGTCGTCGACTGGCAGAGGCTAGACCGGAAGGTAGCAGCCCTCATTATTACTAGGCCTGACGATCCGGTCGTTTCATGTGCAGCATCGTCCAAAGACCAAGCTGCAGTTTTATGTCTAGAGAATTTTTAAAATATGCACATAGTGTTGAGATACTTATCTCGGGACGGATTTTCAATGACAGGGATGATCTATAACACGACAGGGAGGTTCTGTAGTCACGAATACAAGTACGTAAAACACTTGTGTTAATTATATTGTAACCACTCGGATGATGCTGATGGATTGCTCTTGTCGTGTGTGCGGATGATCGATTCTTGATTTGCGACAAGAATGAGAATCATCTTCTAATGATGAGAAGATGCGAAAAAATGCGGGTGTACACCCATAGCGATTACACCGTGAAGCTGCCGGATAATCACAGTTTTCCTTAAGAAGAGCTCATGTAGTAAGTGCATCGTGCATCCTTATATATAAGAAGACAGCTTTGTGGATGTCGTAGTGACTGTCGTACATTTACTACTGCTGGTACTACTAGATGAAGTAAAACAAGGTAGGAGAGTTGGAGGTGCTGCCTCGTCAGCACGCGTAAGCATTTTGAATTGCACAGACTGTTTAGTTCTTGAACCATACATTTGGTTCTGGCACTTCCGCTCTCTCTCCTGACCTTCGTGTTTCTCTAACGCCACATGAATCGGTATAAGGGTGTGACTAACCACTTATCTGCCATTTTGGACGAAACACGTACGCCTGATGCCACACTGGCCTTGTGGGATCCACCAACAGTATGCGCAGGGTTTTTCTCTTTTTCTCATATTTTTCAAGGAATCGCTGGCCTATATGAATATAATGTCCATAAGGTTTTCCTCTTATCTTTCTTGGAAGATGGAGCATATTATTGGAGGCAACCCCTCGGCTTAGTTTTACTAGTACTACCTATAACGTGGTATTAGATCCCCTACTTTCATAGGCGCCTTCACTACCAGAAACAGCGAGTACCGCTCCGCAGCTACCGGAAGCCGCTCCCTCCTCGATTATTTCACATGATGTAAAACAGGACACCACATGCGCATCGTCCTCAGCTTCCACAGCAAGTAGTACAATGAATGAACAAGATGCTCTTCTTGGACATGATGCTTCTAGTTCTTCATCTTCGCCCTCGTCTTCTATTAGTAGAGGTGCTGCAGCAGGGTACAAAATAAGTTTAGGTTATGATATTTCTAGGAACAAAGATATGAAAGAACAGCAACAGCCATTAGCAAGGGACGATGCGCACGATGTACCAGAGCCTTGGGAATTGTTGCACATTGACCGTGATCCAAGACTGGCTACCCGCGATGAGGCGGCCCTCTCTCATGAGTGGAGCTACATCTCTAGATTCGAAAACGGTGACATTCCAGTCAAATTACTTTTGAGACCACAGGTGAACGGGATGAACATGAAGAAAATGGCAAAACTTGTGTTAGCACTAGTTGTACCATTAATTTGAAGCGAAACTCACATCGCAGTACTTTTTTGAAGGCAATCTACTTCGCAGTTTTACTCGGAAGTTTACTACAGATAATTGAAGTTACTGCTCAGTAGCGCTTCAGCTTAGGACAGCACTCGAGCATCAAAGTACTAGTGTTAGTGAGTGCTAGAGTTGAGTTTAACCTCTGACTGACTGTGCCTGTATTGGTGCTAATGACTTAGAGTTGTGCTAGACTTAACCTGTGACCGACTGTCATAGTACCCCGTGAGTGGGTACATCTATCTGTATCTATCTATCTATCTATAGTCATGGTAGTAGATCCAAGATTGTAGGAGGTCCCTACGACCTCCCTACTCTAACATTAGGCTTTCCTTGGTCGAAAGACTTCGTGCGACGAACGTATCGAATTTTGGGCAGCACACTGGATGCGCTTGAAGATGTGTTAAGGCTTCTTACTCAATCTTCGGATAGATCATGCAGATAGATCATACAGAGTGTACTGCGGGGCCCCATCTTCCGATAGTACAGGTAGATTTGGAGCTCGGCATTCATTGGTCATTGACTCTGAACGGAAGAGACCCGCTTCAAAGCTCTCCCCTTTCCCTTCGTTTTCCCCTGTTGTCTCAAGGGGTCTCCTCTTCCGTGTCTTCAGTGACTCCAATCTAAATGGTTACCCATGAAAGTTGAGCCTTAATAGGTTGATACTAGTATAGACCCACCTAGTATAAGGAGATGAACGAGAACAGATAGATCTTAGAGCTACAGTCCTATAAAGAAAGTCCCATCTTCAGACGCAGGTAGGATGAATCTTGAAGCTGCATTCCTAGTATGAGCATGAGAAGAACGCAGCTCCAACTCCATCTTCAGGATCAAGATACATCTGACATCTCCAATAGATGGAAGTAGACTAGTATGCTGGTGCCCTCTAACTGTGCTATTAAAGGGCGCACTTCAAGAGTGGAACGCTGGAAAACTGATTCTGGATGCTCCACCTGGAATTTCGTCGACTCAGCATGATGAGGCTGAACAATCGCTATCGAATGAAGATCGACTGAAGACCATTTAAGGCTCTACCGAAGCGGGCCTTTGCCGTTTTGAACTGTAGTGGTCCTCGATTGATGATTTACTCTCCGAAGCAATAACACCAGTCTCTACTCGGGTCGCTACGGAACCAGGCAGCTTTGAGCGAGCTGCTACGTGGTTCGAATGAATGAATAAATGTGAATAAATACCAAGGTACTTAAAAACTTCTAAATGATTGTGTCCATGTCCAGTGGTAGAAAGACGAATGTCATTGCTGGTGGAAATCTTGCTGGGGGAACCCATCATGCGTTCCCGGACTCGGCAGAAGGATTTTGTGTCTACAACGATCTCGCAGTCGCGGCGCGCTATGCACAAGCGCTCCTCGGGTTACCGATGAAAAGGCCAGCGGCGAACAAGAACATGTTGACGAGTAAAAATGTTGGGGAATCGGAATCAACAGTAACTGTTGATTGCGAACGGTCGCTTGAAGAGCGGAAGCGAGAAGAGACCAGCATGATTGAGGACTCGACAGTTGACGAGAAACAAGAACTAGAAGAAATAGATGCAATGAAGATATTAGTGGAAAAGCAAAGCATCAATGTCGACACAAGTGAAAACTATGATGTCCGACTACAACACGATCAAGCAAGGCCCGAAGAAGAAAAAGACACACAAGATGCATCTAGTACGACTAGTTTGTTGCCGACTGCGTACTCGCTTCTGCGAGAAAAATTAAACGTGCACCCGCTAATAGTCATCCTAGACGTTGACGTACACCAGGGCAACGGAACTGCTGCGTGCTTTTATGTTCAACTGTAGTTACTACTAGTACATTCTTTCCACTTTAATTTCAAAAGAACTTCTACGACTACCCTCGTCAGTACTTCTTAGGCGGGTCTGCCAACACTTGTTTTCCATTAAGTTTCTACTTTAATTTCAAAAGAACTACGGCTACCTCCCGTACTCTCGTTAGAAGGGTCTACCAGCACATGTGTTCCATCCTTTCTACTTTAATACTTTGTAGACGATCCGAGTGTGATTACCTTTTCGCTGCACTCCGCCAAGAACTATCCGTTTGGTGACCGTAGGCGTGTGAGCGACATCGAACGCGATGTCCCGAATGACGTGTCCGAAGAAGCATATCTGGCAAAGCTCCAAGACGGATTAGCCGAAGTAAATCGGAAACTTCTTTTCCGGGATGAGGGTGACTCTAGTACGCAAGGTGGTAACATAATTGCAAGAAACGACAAGACAAACGACACCAAGTCAATGTCAAAAAACGACAAGACAAACGACACCAGAAGGCTACTTTTAAGGCTATCCCGCCTAATCATCCAATTTTTTCGAGACAGCATCCTCTCCCTATTAATCCATCTTCGGAAGCATCCCCATCCTCAAAAGGGTTTTCCAAGGGGAAGAGGGACCCACGACCTCTAGGATGTACTAGTATGTATCTTAAGATGGATTCTTTAGGGCGAAGTCTAATGATTGTGCTGTGGCAAGCGGGGGTTGATCCATTGGCAGAAGACCGCCTAGGCAAACTGAAGCTCTCAAGACGCGCTCTATGGCGGCGTAATCGGATGGTCTTGGAGTGGTGCCGGAACTGGAATGCCCTTCTCGTTGTTACAATGTTAAGATTGTTTATTGTTCTCGTTATTACCATGTAGTTCAGATTTTTTGTTGTTCTCGTTATTACCATGTAGCTAAGATTTTGTTGTTGATGTTGTTGTTACAATGTTGAGGCTGCTTATCAGTACTCTGCCTACTGCTCAGACTTAGTTATATATAATAGAAAGAGTAGATATATGTAAAACTATGTCCTCCTAGAACCATAAGGATTACCAACTTCTAACAACAGGCGGCGGTTATTCGCGCCCCATCGAGCATTCTATTCGGGCACACGCTGACGTGTATCTCCAAACCGCATTTCTCGCGAAGAAAAACTGGCTCATCTAGTAATACACCGAATGGAAATACGCATTGATGAATTTTTCTATAGCCAGTCTCGTACAACTATGAGAATTTTATTTGTGTCTACTCATACCATTACCAAGCTAACAGGATTGTAGACCGAGTGGAGTGAATGCGAATATTGGCGTTCGAGAATCATGAAGACCAGATGAAACTGCCCATCACACAAATTGGTCGTGCAACGACCAAAATTACACTGCACCAGTAGCTTGACGAGGGAATGACGTCGAGCGCTACTGGAGCTTTTTCCCTGGCTCACCTTGGATCTTCCCTTGATGGTTCTTTTACCATAGATCCTCGAGTCTCGTTACTAGGAAATCAGGTTCAGGCAAGTACGTCGTATTTTAGTCAAAAAAAATGGGTGGAGGCTACGGAAGTGTGTGGGCCCCCCTTGGTTGCTATCGGCACTCTCGTTTTGACGGAGGTGTGGGTCCCCTTGGTTGCTATCGGAATCTATTCTATGACAGTATTGTAGTCTCTATTCTATGACAGGATTGTAGAAGCATGCAGGCTGGGTCACAGGCGCAAGATTGCGTACAACAAGCAAGTTCCTTATCTATTATTCTTACGGTAGTTTTAATGAGAAGATAGCAGTATCTTCAAGTTCAACTTAACGTCGTCAAGATTCAATCGGCAATCAAACACAATGGGTGGCCACGGAAGTGTCGCTACTGAGGTGTGGGTTCCCTTGGTTGCTATCGGTACGGGAATTGCTGCTGTTGCACTCGCATATTTAAGGTTGTAGTCGTTGTTTTTCATCTCGTTGTTCTGTTGTGAGCCACCACCGCCTCTTGTGTTGATTAGTGTGTTCTAGTGTCCTCGCTTTTTTTATGATCTTACATCAATCTACCAAATCTACTTGTACTTACAAGAAGTAGAATCAAATATTACTAATAGATATTAGCCGAAGAACAAGTCATCCTTAGTGTTCGTTCTTCCAAAACAACTATAGCTTCACAAGTTCTGATCTAAGTTGTGTTTTGTTCACGAGCCTCAACGGGTCCAGCAACGAGTCCAGCAGTTCCTCAAAGAAGAGCCTTCCTGGCACTTTGCAGGCGAAAGGTGCATTCTCCCTTCCAGCTGCGGACCTGTCCGATCAATCGACGCTAGATGAAAGACGGCGAGACTTCTACCGGATAATCCGAGCACAAAAGGACTTGCGTTTCGCAATACTCGAAGGGGGCAAGCTAGCATCGGCAACGGACTCTTTGATTATGCTCCAAGAACTTGAGCTTGACAAAAGAAACCTTACAGAAGATTATACATAGAACAACCACGTGTTTGTGTCTTCGCAACAAGATAACTACTGCTACGGCAAATGGATGTAGAGTAACGGGTAATACAAGTGCTGTCGGTCCTTCTTCTAGTGAATCTCCTCAGATGAAGTAGTTCAAGTTCTCCATCCTCTTCTTCTAATCCAAAACTGATTGAAGTTCCAGCTGATATAATCAGTGGGGATGGTCGCGAGCCTAGCAGTGAGCAGATGGAGAAGATACTCAAGAGTTTAAGCAGGTTCTTTGACGATGCCGGAGCTGAGCAACTTTCAAAGAAAGGAATTTTTTCCCTTGTTTCAGCCACAACGCCATTTGCTTTCGCTATGAAATTTGGAGTGCCACCCATGTTCCACGAACCGCATTACGCGCTACTCTATCACAAAGATCGAAAAACCTTTCAGGTATTACGAAGTACTTTCTGCATGTCCCTTACAGATTCGGAACTGATATTTTTTCCTCTTTTGGTGGACACTCCCACTCCATTTCACACCCTGGCACTTCTTTGTAGCGGAGTAACTCTAGCTACTTGCTTCTACACATTACTTGTCGAAAAATGTAAACTCATGCTTAAACGCACTAGTAACACTTTTCTTACACGACCATACGAGGTCCTCTGGGCTGCAGCCATCAACGACAAAGCGGAACCGGTGCCAGCAGACAAGAGGTGGCCGTTTTTTACAGTCTATCTCTCAGACGAAATCGATACTGCTATAGGTGGAAGTAAGGAGATACCCTTCACCTATTGGGCGATGCCAAATACCGATGAAACAGTGGCGAAAAGCGTTGAAGACTTTTGTCGGGAACAGTTCTCATAGACGCATTACGGCAAACAGTTTTCATATATGCTGATTGAAAATGAAAGTGGACGCACATGTCAAAGACCCTTTCCACCACTAATATCCCATATAGTTTGATATACCCACCCCCTTCAAGAAGTTTCCCAGACAGATTTTTGAGCATGGAGAGTTTTTTTTTGGAGTCTTATTGGACCCTTTGGTACTAAAAACGTCCACGACGGCGTGTTCTGACCAGCTGAATGCTGCAGATTTCAGCCACGAGGAGAGATACAAATGAGCGCCTTGTAGCTCTATCCACTGTACTATCCACTGACCGGCTTGGCATGCTCTTGACAACGCGAGATGCAGCCCATAACCGCATCCTTCGCATCAGCTAGTCAGCGCTCTACACGACACTCGGTCTGATCTCTTTCCCTGCAAACCTTTTCTTTTTGCAACCTTTAAATCTCCCATAATTCTACTTGCCTACCCTGATATAATGAATAACAAAAGGAATAAATCTATTGCTATTTTTTTCTAAGCCTACTCATCGTGTGTACTTGATGTATATGCTTTTCTAGTATCAGTCAGCACTCTTTAGATCATACGCACAAGAATATATTGTAATTTCGCATCTTCTGTATTCACTGGGACAGCACCACAAGCATATTACGCGTGATCCATTTTCTCATTTGTCACAAGTGAAATGATAATGATTTGACTCAGCCTTACGCGATCTAAGGACCATGACGCTTTTTTGCCCGAACGGTTTGTAACTTACAGCTGTCTCCGGTGATAATTCATCTACGATAGCGACCCTTGTGCCACTATCGGAATTCGACTGCTGGACGGGCAACGCAAACGCTCTAGCTGCTTAGAGTATATACCTAGGTCCTAGGCAGAAGCCACTAGGGATGACTGAACAACTACGCTGGTCGTTGTTGAAGGTGACGACCCTGCACCGTGAGGCTGAGGTCTCGTACTCGAGCGGTAGAAGCAGTGACGACCCTGCACCGTGAGGCTCCTGAGGTCTCGTACTCGTAGCGGTAGAAGCAGTGACGACCCTTCACCGTGAGGCTGAGGTCTCGTACCCGTAGCGGTAGCTCATATAGAAAACACAAAACAATCCTCATCATGTCGAAGTTACGGTTTCCATCTGCAAGCGGGTATTCTCCAGGTCGCATGGTAGCCGAGGCGAGGACGCCACCAGGCTCCACATTGCTCCAACAACTTGGTCGCCTTTCTGCTACTGTACTTGGCCGCGGTCGTGATGGTGCAGCGGAGGGTTATATTAACATTACGTTTTTACACGATCATCTTCATCATAACATTATAAAAGAAAAACATTAAGGACGAGTGGTGGAAGGTGTTTCTTCATTCATTCACAACTTTCTTCATATTACCATGCACGAAGATCTACTACATCGCATAAGTTACTACTCACCATCTGTACCTTACGTACCTAAGAAATTACCTAACAATTCCTCCACCATGCATCCCCTTTCCATGATGTCGGCTGGTGTCATCTCTAACACAACAAGTCGACCACAACGGGACGTGGATCTGGCGGCGAAGAGCGAGATAGAGATCGAACTTCCGAGTTTCGGCGAATGGTTGGAGTGGCAGGAGGACGCTGATATATTGGCGGATAACATCACATCGCTAGACCTGGACACGAAAAAGCCGGAACAAAACTTCATCGTCAAAGAAATGGTCCTAAGCTGGAGACTCAGGAAACCGTATTCGTTTTGATAGAGGGTTTTCTACTTTGGATCGCAGAGACTTCGCTCACCTTCCATATTATACGAGGCGGCATGTTGCGTAGTCGTTTGTGGCTGCGAGAAGAGCCGAGGCGCCACAGGATTAGGCTCGCCCTGGTGATCGCCCTGGGCTTTTCGGGTTTTGCCGCTGTTGCCTGGCTGGGTGGGGTGGAGCGCTTTGCGGAGGCTCGTGAAGGTGTTCGCCCCTTTTACTGGCAGGGCGGCACTGTTTCTGGACGCTCACGCGGAAAGCATTCACGGCCTACGCGCAAGGAGTCGAGAAAGGCTGGAGCGCGGCCCGCTGCTGGGCTTTGTCGGACAGCGCAGACGGCAAGAGAGCCCGCGCCGAAGCTTGTGGCGGTGCGCGGTTGAGCATCTTGGCCAAGAAGCAGGGCGAGGAGAAGCCGTCGCCGAAGGACCACCACGAGCCGGCGCGCCGCGGTGGATGGCGTTGGTCGACGTTTGGGCCAGAAAAAACCGGCCCGACTTTTCCGGATATTTGCCGCCTTTTTAGTTTTATACAAAGCTGCCCGGCGTTCTGCCGCTGTCCTCTCGTGTGCGCCTTGGATCGCAGCACAACGCCGCGAAAGAGTTTCTTCGTGGGGGGGGTATGATGCGCCGTGTCTGACAGGCTAGCCCTTCGCCCACCAAACAATACAACGAAAAAGCCAAAGACCCCAGAGGAAGGGGGGAACGCTGGCAAACTTTCGGCTTTTGAACTCTCTGCTTTTTTCTCTTGTCAATAAAAGCGCAGGACTTCGCGCATGTGGTCCGAGGTGGTCTCGCTTGACTGCTCCATGTCTGCGCCTTATGGGCACCAGTCTGGGAGTCCGTGCCGCAATTCATGGAGCGGCGCCCGCCATCGCCTCTATTTCTATCGCCTCTCTCGCGTTTGTTAATCCACTGCGCATGTCTGTTTCTTCGGCATGTGTCTGAGTGGAGGGGAGGCCTCCGGCATTGGTGCGGCAGCATGGTGCTAAAGTTCGTCTTGTGGGTCCGCTGCTCTTCGTTCTTCCTTGTTCTTGTCTGAGGACTGGCGTGAGAGTCAGCCACCGATACGTAAGACCTGCCACGCGGTGCCCGCCGTGTCGAGGCTCGGCGACTGGTCTGCTTACCCGGTGGATCCACTGGCCCGCTCGTCTATGGCTCTATCTGCTTTCTATTGCATCGGCCTGGCGGCGTTAGCTGTATTAGTATGTAAGCCAGGACTTAAGTAGCCTCTTTACAACATGGGCCCAGTATTATCTATTGCGCACCTTCTGCAGAGTCCTCCTTCTCGTTCACAATAGAGCACCAGCATGGTATAAGTAGTTATTTCACGGCCTCAACACTCTATTATCTTGAATATGACAGCTATAGTCTCATCTATTGTTGTCGTGTCCTTGGCGCTCTTAGCTTTGTCAACATCACAGGTATCTCATCTACTGTTGTGTCTTGGGCGCTCTCAGTTTTGGACTATTGATCTACACCGCTTACGAGACGGTGGACGATGGTAAGGAGCATTCTGCAGGAAACTATACTATAACCTCCGCACGTGGGTCGACGACCACAAAATACACGATTGCAGACGCACCGAAGATGATATATGGACGGGGACCACGACCTGAAAGTGCCAATATTATGTCATGATCTTCTACTTGATAACCGGAACGGTCGTAAAAACTTAACGCTGAACTTAATCCACTTCTAATGATCCACCAAACAAGAATGGTGATCCTGTGAGTTCAACGGATTCGAAAGAGCGGGTGTCGTCGGCGAGTCACTGGTTTGCTGAGAGTCTGGAGGTAGCAATCGGCGTTCTATTGGTCTTGGAAACCCTGCTAACATGGTACACACTAGGATCGCGCACATTCTTTGCGTCACGATGGTGCCAGTTCGATTTCCTTGTCAGCGTTCTTATTATGGACAGGTTTTCCACTTTTGGTGATAGTGATTGTTATTTCTCGTCTACTGCCTCAACCACATCGTTCTTCACGCTCTCTAGTTGTACTGCCTCAATTAGAGAGCATGAAGTTTGTCCCTAGTATGTTGTCTTCGTATGTGTCGAGTGCCTTTCATTTCCTCTGTATTCGTGTTCGTGTGCGTCCTCTTAGCAGATTCATGGTGGGAGTCGTTTGACGTTGTTCAAGAATATCTAGAGATGCCGATCCTGATTTTGCGGTTTGGCCTACAGCCTCTACGCCTCATCCAAACGGCACACATCATACGGAAAGCAAGACAAATGCAGATCACGCAGAACAGTACTACTACTAAATGCAGAGTAGAGACTTTGATGATGAGCGAGAACCTCGATATTACAACCACCAAATATTAATATTGATTACCGAAAGCGAAAGTGATACGATACGATACAAGTAGTATGATCAGTGTATCAAATGAAGCAAAAGCACTTCTGGAAAGAAATGTACTATTGTTGTCTCAACGTAGTAAGTAATTTTCATTCTTGGGCCACTTCCATTGAATCGGTTTAACGGTGCGCTTTTTAGGTACTCGCATCACGTGGGATCCGTTACCTTTCGAAGAAGCTCATTTCGCGATCGCGCCTGCGATGACTCCCGAACGCAAAGCATCACATGAGGCTCACGGCGGGTGCCATGACTTCCTCGGTGCTACTCCAGACTCGTTGCGGGATCATGTAGATACAGATACCCTGATCCAGATGGATAAGCCGATAACCAACATGATAGGTCTCAGCACTATAGGCCTTCAACACGCGCATCGTGAACTGCACCATCCTAGTAGCGAAGAAGACCCGAACTTCAGTGGTCATGACCTTCCTCCATTTGGATTTTCTACTTCCGGATCTCGGGACACAGCAGCATCGAACTCACAACATGGTGGGCTCAGGTTAAGGCTCCTAGAAGGAAGGCATCCGAGATGTATCTAAATCTATCTATCATTCTCGGCTAGTAAATACTTGTTTAATTTCTAGTTCAACTTCGTATTCTTCTAGTCGAGAGCGACCGAGACCACGCCGATGGCAGCACAAAGAACACTGGTTCGAGCTTTTTTAGCTGCATGTTCTAACGCTATCAGCCAAGCAGCACCAAGTAGAGGGAGAAGGACACGAACCCCTGGACATGGAAAACAACTGCTCTTTCCGACCTTTCCTCAGCAGTTTGATAGATCATTTGCCGCTATCGCTACGTTTCGCGGACTGGACTTTACTCTACAAACCACAAGTTCACGGACTCTCGCACTTTAGACTCTTCAAACTCCTCGAAGACCACGCATCCGACTCATCTGGTGGCGTCGTAGTACTAGTCCGCGACTCTCTTGTTATGGTGCTCATAATTTTTTGTTGCAAAAAGAGAGGAAAGGGTCGCTTGTACAACAGGTGCAGATGTTGATGTTCGACGTTCTTTACGAGGGCAGCCCGATTTTACAGGGTGAGTATGTTCACAAGGTATAAATTTACACTCTTTGATGTTCTTGAATAGTATTTTCATCTGCCTAAGTAACGTAAGCTTAGACTAGAGCAGGTATTATAATAGAGTGGTCGTCGAGAGAAGCCTATGATCTCTAATCTTGGTAGCGTTTTCGGCGCATACACAGAAAAGTTGAGCCCCTTTTCCGAACATCGAGATTTTTCCTTCGTATTCTCGTTCAAGGGTGCGCCATCTTTGTCTCTGAGTCTCGAAGACTTAGCGGGCTCGATGCATCGGCAAGACGTTGAAGCTACTAGCTCTAGTCGTCTCCTAAATACTATGAATATGACGACCTCGTCGGCCACATCTTCAATTAAGCCTAGTACCGCTGGACCATCCTCAACATCATCCTTGGCCCTTTTTTCAAGGAGAAAAAGGGACCAGGGAGGTTCTCGGGGATGCGAGCGCGGTAGCTCTAATTCAACTTCATCAAATGCGAATGCCTTTATTCCATCTAGTCCTCCTCTCGGCGTCGACCCCTTTTTCGATAGAAGGGCTAGTGGGCGACTCGGAACGCCAGAGGCCGTTCACGCAACGATCGAGAGAGAAAAGCAAGTGCTTACCCAGCGCAGTGATCACGCTATTCTATGAATGGTGTCTATCCCATCTAGCCAGACCATCATGGCTACCCCTTTCATTCCCTTAAAAGGGGAGCCTCGCTGGTCGTACGGATGGAATAAACGCCATCCATATCTTCGCAAAGTCACTCGCGTCTATCACTATTCCTCTGCAGCATCACCTGTAGCAGCAGCAGCCGCACAAGGTATGAAATAGGGATCACAAATGAAGTAGAATTTTTTGAATCAAATACTTCTACTAGATACTGCGTTTCATTTTCTTTTGAAAAAAGCAAGCCTCAGTGCATCTGTTGTTGAGAACATGCCAACATTATTGCAAGTATATAATCGTCGGTTCATATCATATGGAGACCTACAGGACAAGTTGTTTCCCCCCAGTTCCTTTTTCGTCGCATAATTAGAAAAACTGGCCACTTCTTCCCTCTTTCATATCTTGCGATCTCCTGGTATTCGGCGGCTCGACGCCTTCTCGCGGAGGGACCTTCGGTACGAAGATGCTTAGTCCTTTCCATCCTCAAGGTCGAAATAGCTCCAAGGGCAGCGCGCCAACTTTACCTGCCATGATCTGCAACGACACGCTGTTGTGTTTTGGCGAAGCGCTTATAATCGAGGTAAAGGACCTCCTTCGAGGAACGTCTAAACCCTGTGCAGCTTATGGAACTACGGAACCCCTCTCCAGCGACACGGACTTCCTCATACGCGACCTTGAACTTTGGAAATTTACTGATACATGATGGGCTGCTCGTCGTGGTATTCTTTCAACCCAGTAGGGGCTACTTACAATCTGAATCTTTGTTATGATACGATAGCATTTTTTGTATGTGAACGCACAATCTCGTCCAAGAACTATTCTCATTCCATTCACGACTCGTCTTTGAAATTTCTTCCTTTTGTTCCGCAAGACAAAATGCGCAGCCTTTAGCGAACAAAAGTCATCGGCGTGAAGGACGTGTCACTCTAGACGGCCTCATTCTTTTCTTGCATTGACTTCTTTCAAAATTCGTGACCACCTCCCGTTTTTAACGAAACTGAGTTCTTCGCGAATGCAAATGAATAGAAAGGAGATTCATGCACACTGTACTACGATCATTTGTTCTGATTGATTCGTTTGATGCTGCGTCGTGATTTCCGTGTGGTTGTACCATCGACGTCTTAGAGGCAACCCAGGACGAAATGCAAGAGTGACAGACTAGGACAACTCTTCTGCTACTTACATGCAATGATCTGAAGCCAGCTTCGCTGAGCATCTGGTCTCCCAATCGGTCACTGCATAGTGCGAAAAATGCACCAAAATAAAAGCTCGCAAGAACCTCCACACGTTGACTTTAAATCTTTCCCAAATGCTTGCAGCGGCGCTTTTTTGTCATTTTTTGTTCGTCTGTTGGCAGCTCTTAATCTTCTGAATCTGCGGCAGCGCCTTTTTGACCTTGTTGAATATTCCTTTTCCTGAGTCGATATATGATATAATTTATTTTTTAGTACTGGTCGACACAACTCGATAACGCTTGTATTAAGTAGAAACAGAATATTCATTCATCTTGCTCCACTACGTATAGTATGCCGACTGTCGAGCATAAATCAAGATAAGAAAGTTTGGTAAGGTATATCGGATGGACCGAAACTATTTCGTTTATCTTCTCTGTCGAAGGCTCCGCCCAGTGAACAGAAATCAGTAAGTACGTATGAGCATCCGGCGGGTCTACGTATCCTACCTTAAATCTTGAACTTTTTGTCTGATACTTATCCCTAACTTTTTGTCTGAGGTCCGTCCCATATTTTTTCCGATTTCATCCAATAAGCCCTATATTGTCAAAGTACTGCGATTTTTTCGGGATGAATTTCGATTCATTCATACAGCCTTAGATGTAATAAACTCCAATTGTTCTACCCAAAATTATAGTACTAGTTGAGGATCAGTCTGTGTCAGCGAGGACGATACGTGGAGTAAGAGTAAGCGAAAGTTTAGTCTCAAATCTGTGGAAGATCAAAACTTCATTTTTTTCGTCGAGGAGCACTCCCAAAAATGAACAAATTGATACCAGCACAAAGATCGCTCGCATCTTCGACGATGTTGAGGCTTTTTAGCTTGTTGGTCGTGGGTACACTTGCAGTTTCCGTCGTTGACCTTCAAACTCAAAGAGACGCAACTTCTACTGGCCCACCATCAAAGAGAGACGTAGTCGAACCAGTCCTAGAACGCATGTGGACTCAGACGACAGCACTGCCTGACGACCTAGGTCTTACTCCAAAAAGCGATACAACTTCCACTGAAAAGGATTGTTATATTCGAGCAAAGGGTAGCGGAAGCACGCGCCAGAAGGAGAGTTCTTCGACGGCTTCTCGTACCTCGTGGTCCAGCAATGAAAATTCTGCCGTCACGCGCCAGAAGGAGAGTTCTTCGACGGTTTCTAGTACCTCGTCCAGCACTGAAAAAAATGCTGCAGAAGTAGAAGCAGAAGCGGGAGGGACGACAGAAGACGATATTGAGAGACCCCTAGAAGGTGCCCACGGAGGAAGGACGACGAAGGACAGTATTAAGAGACCTGCCCTAGGAGGTCGTCCACCGTTTTTGAGTAAATGGGCGCTTGAGCAGCATAACGCTGACATGAAACAAAAACAAAAGTCTATAACAACTGCACGAGAACAAGCCTTAGTACAGCTACCTGCATGTTCTGGTGACCACTCTGTTGATCCTCCCAATATTAAACTGTCATCTTCACGGTCATCAATATCAAATGGGGACGATTTTGTACCTTTTGCGCCTTTCCCATGCTGGCAGGAAGGGCTTGGAAGTTCCTCAGGAGCCAGCACCACAAGGACCCGCCACCTGGAAAATTATATTGGCGCTGCAACTGCCGACGACCACGACGGATGTCATCCTCCTAGTTGTGAAAAACTTAAGGCGAAAGCGTTACGGATCTTTGATCGCCTCGGACGAACGCGGGTTGGACAGTGGGCTTTGGGCTTACTGCGCACTAGCAGATGCACAGGCAAGCTCGCGAAAATAGTCATCGACGCGTGCTTTGTTGCCTATTCAGTGGATATGGAGGACGCTCTCACAGATCAGGAGGCTAGAGCGATCTGCTTTTTTGGAGCACGTAGTTTGTGGATGTGAGAAAGTTATTTGTGGACTTAGGGTTTATTCATTTTACTAAGGGAGTAGGGCTTACAGTTACTCTACTAGTTTATTCATGTGTCATTAAAGGAGTAGGGCTCACAGTTACTCTACTACTCAGTACCCTACTTCGGGCTTAGTAGGGCTTAGGCCTTAGGGTACCGAGCTTAGGGTAGGGCTTGGGCTTAGGGTACTGAGAATTACTCCTCTTAGTTCAAATCGAGAGTTAGGGTTTCCCTTTTGCTTGTGTCTTTCCTAGTAGGTTAGGCTCTAAGTAAAAAGTCTAAGCCTAAAAAGTCTAGCCACAGTATCTATTATAGCGAGGTTCCGTCACGACCTAGCTCCATGCCCAGTCTCTTCCCTTGTTATCTTAGAAGGGTTCGTTGGAATGGAACAGTGTCGTGGAATTCTACTTCAGTATTGTACTAGTGAGTCGCTTGATTATTAGTAGAACTAAGAAGTTTCTGCTTTGGTGATTTGCAGTCCTATTGGACGGCGAGTCGAGTCCTATCCTAATATCTTGTTCTTATTAATATATCATAAGACCTTGTTGAATTTGGATAATAGAATGAGCACAACCTACATGGACAATATTACTTCATAGATAGATGATCGACAAGCGATGAAGCATATTTATATATTCAAGTAGATTGATACTCAAATTCATAAGAAGTGTAGCACGACCATCACATGACTATTTCTCTGAAGAACTTTTTTGTGCGCGAAATAAACTAAATCTTCACTCTAGTACCAGTGTCATCATATAACGCAGTACATGGTTGCAGGTGGAACATTTTCATGATCATGGGGCATTGTCATGGTGGCACGAAGTAGTCGCAGACCACGTTGACGAATATTAAGTAAGCAGACGAGAGGTAACCGTCATAAATGCCGTTTTTTTTATAGAAGTCGTCATGTTGATAGAGTCGTATCAAATAGAAAGATAAAGCCCAACAAGTATATTGCAAAGATAATGATAAATTTTTATCTCATTCATTAATACGCATGTCATCATGATCATCGTAAGTAGAAGCAGGATTGCCTTGTGGCCTCACGACAGATGTTGAGACTACTATTCTTGAGGCAATTTCAACAAAAAACCAGTGTGGGATCTTCATACGGAAGGTGTTGCTGTATCCATAATGTAAATGTTTCTTGATATCATGGATGATCGAAGGACATAGGACATTACAAATCGCTGTAAAGCACACAGTGCAAAGCGCTGTCTCTTGCCGCCGTGGTCCGGACAGTGATTTTTTTTCTGGAGAAGTTGCAGTTTGCAGTAAGAGTTACGACGGTTGAGGTGATCTGATATTGTGTCTTACGCCGATTCTGTTACAACTGTTGCGGTATTAGATAATAAGCAACTTACAACATAGATGCCTTGCTTAGAAAGAAAATAGCGGTAAAGCGACACTGACAATTGGAGTTGATGGAAAAACAGTGAGGTTGTAGCGCTGAGCGACCCTATGCGAGGGAGAGAACCTGGAGAAGAGCGGCCTTTCGGTAAGAAGTAACAATGCAAGATGTACCTCGTGCTATCTTTTTTAAAAGGCGTCTACAATTTGACTTTATTCCTGAGGAACTCACTCTTACTGTGCTCGCTCAAGAAATTTTCTTGCTCCTGAAAACTATTCTTATTCGTCTATCGTTTACCACTCCAATTTCTTCAATAAGTTGTTCGTTCATGGAAGCGAAAAAATTCCATATTGTGATTGCGGACACAATAACAAACAAAAATGTTGAGTTCACTTCGGACCGCCTTTGCGCGGGGCGCGCCGACTTCTTTGCGAAGAGCCACAGCGGTAAGCGAAGCCATGCCATTCTTCAGACGCTCAGTAGCTGCAGACAAAACCGCAATATTTTTATGTCCTCAAAGGATGGATGTAATAGTTTTCTTCCACTGACTCTCTCTCTCTGCGAAGAGGATCTTATTTGTTCTTAGCGCTGATGAAAAAATAGTACCGACCGTTCTAGTTTCAACATGTTGTAGTTGTTTTTTCCTCCCTATGTACACTTGCTAAGAAGACTATTGGTAGTAGTTTTCACAATACCTGCTCGTCAGGGTCGTGGAAAAAGCCACTACATCCTCGTCCATAATCTTCGTCCGCTCCGCGATCGTATCAAGGACTCGTCTCTATTTAAGGGTAGGTTAAAGGTGCTTTTCTTACCGCTTTTTATGGCTTCCTTAAGGGAGACAGGCATAAGAAGCGGGATAAACGAGCACCAAAAGCCTACCGCTAATCTATGGCTAGAAGACGATTCGCATCAGCGGCAGCACGGGCACATGGTCAGGTCATCGGAAATCCGAGAGGGCTCAGTACTTACGGCGTCGCCAGTCAAGGTGGATACTCTGGCGAGTACGCTGTTTTTATGAGCAGGCAAAATATAACATCCAACATTTTTTCTGGATCTGGCCAGCCTTCGAGTTGTAATTGTCTTCTCGTCGTTCAAGGACAACATCGACATCTATTCTTAATAACGACATCCGTTCGCGAAGGACATCCGTTCTCAAACGACATCCGTTCGCGAAGGGCATCCGTTCTCAAACGACATCCGTTTTGAAACGACATATCTCATCCATCCCTAAAGGACCTATCTCACTCTCTAAGAAACATATGGTCTTAGGTGCTTTCGCGATGTGGTTTACGATGGGAGGAGTCTCCGGCATTGCTCTGGCCAATGCTGCAGTGGATGTTTCATTGCACGACACCTACTACGTCGTCGGCCACTTTCACATTATCATGGTATTTTGACAGGCTCAGCTCCAGTCGATTTGAAATCAGATAATGATAATGTGGTAAGTAGTCCTCCTCAGCAAGCCATAGTAGGTACCCCAAATAACTTTCGGCCACGTTTCATTGCACGACACCTACTACGTCGTCGGCCACTTTCATATTATCATGGTATTTTTGACTGAGCGCGAGCGCTCCAAATAACTTTCGTTACAGAGTTCGTTGTGTCTGATGAAATTGTAAGTCGTCCTTCTATATTTTTCGCATTGATCAATAACGTGGGTGTAGTGTTTCCATCCTCCATCAGTCACGACGTGTTACTCTTTTACTAACATGATTATAACTTTAATTACTGGCGGCCTGCGGACATTAACATGTGCCGGACAACATCTAGGACGAGATCTATATTTAATTTACTCTCTACTCTTTACTTCCTCGACGACCACGACCAGGTGAGTACGTTGGGATTGGCAATGGCATGCGGTTTCGTCTGCGTTATCGGTCCTACACTAACTGGTGCCTCAGCCGCGAGAATGCTGCCTACAGCGAGTCGAAGACTCAATTCGCACCTACTCAAGTGCATCAATGGCAAGCCTCCAGCAATCTAAGGCTCCTCATACTGAGTGCAAGTGGTCGACTTAGCAAGAGGACTTTCTGATCCAGGGACTATAGTAGACTGCATGGAAAAAAACTACAGCTTTTGCAGAGCAGACGAATACAGTGAAGACGATATAATTGATATTATCTTCTATCTGAAATCTTCGATAAGAATGAGACCGAATCTGCTCCAAGTAGTTTGCCGACAGAAACAATTTCCATCATGCTGCTCGCTACTCAACATCACATGATTACTCGGCTTGATGCTGGATTCTCCTCAGATTGACACATTGCACTTGCTTGCAGTGGTATCGACTGAGACAAGGTGTTCCTCTGTAGTCTCTGGATAAAAGAGTCCGCCTACAGCTTTATTGATGACAATCGCGCAATAGCTGCAGTACTAATGCAGGAATTGAACTTCATTTTCCTATGGCATATCTGTAAGTTGATATTCTTACTCCTTTTTCGATCTCCTCCTTCACACCTAGAAATACCGAATAACTACAAATTCAAAAATAATGATGACGACGTCCTGGGAGGCTCTGACTTCAAGCCCCAAACGAGATCGGGGACGCGAACTACCCTGGCCGAAGCAACGGCAGACACTGCAACGGAATTGGTAGCGTCAATGTTATGAACGTACTTAGTACTTTTATACGTCTTTTATAATAAAGAGTTTACACGGATTGGACTTGCAAGGGATACAACATTTGCACCTCAGTTGCTATCATGTTTAGACAGTGCCTGTATGTTGGACTACTGCTCATCGTTGCTCATATTTCTCGATGTCGATGACCTATCTTCTTCTACTAAATAGACACAACTCGCCGCGACATCGAAGGAGCATCGCGTGTGCATTGTTTTCGTGTCGTCTCACGACAAAGAATCGCAGTTTGAGGACTAGTATTTATTTAGCAAGGACAACATGGGTGGCGACCTTTTAGCTGTACCCTAGTACACTGAAGTTAAGGCTCTCCCTAATCCATCTCTTCCATAGGGAAGATGGTCCCTCAAGCATTGGTGCAAATCCTTGAGGAGTTTCCACAGGGATGGACTTGGGGATCGGTCTAATGAAGCTGTCGACACGCGACTGCGTCTAAAGCGCGGCACTTTGGGTTCTTTGGCCGCAAAGAGCAAGGCGTAAGAAAACGCGGGATTCCGACACTGTGGTGTGCGAGAACTAGTGATCCATTTTTCTTAGAAAGTCTAATACAGAGATGGATTGGAGCGGACCGGAATCTCCTGAACAGAAAAAAATATCAACAACTGAAGCTGCGAAGGCAATTGTTCAAGTCTAGTTGCAAAGGCAGTTGTTTTGAATTTAGCATTAATAGAAGCTGATCTTTTGAGTCTTGCGTGTTCTCACACAACAAAAAAAGAACGAGACGAGGACCTTCCCTTGAACATCAGACCGAAAGAGAGTACTACATCAACTCCCACCTTTTATTTCTTTGTTGATTATACGTTTGCTGGATGTTTAAATAATGTATCTGTAGCTAGAAGGCCAAGCAGAAGTAGGTAGAGGTACATACTAAAGGTCAAGACGCCAACAATGCTCCTCCGTCTTCGCCGTCCATGCATAATCAGATAACAAGCTAATCTCGGGCACGTGCAACGTGCTTTTCCTGTCAAAGAGAAGCAAATGGGGAAACCGCTAGAAGTCCTTAGTTAAGGCTGTACCTAATACATCTTTGGACGCATCCTTGAAACGTATGGAGGAGTATCCACCTAAGGGAAAAGGGCCCCCCCCATACTTTTCAGGGATGCACTTGAAAGAAGAACTACGGACAGCTCTAACTTAGGGTTAGCCAGCGCTCCTGATTTCCATTCTCCACCTGGGCAGCCTGCTCTCCTACTTCCTCCATATTCCGCAGGAACACACATCATGTTGCTGTGCATCTTCCAACATTCAAGAAGGAGAGCTACGCTTTCCTTGGCAGTAGTTCATCTGGTGCTGACTTCCTGCCTCTTTCTCCAGCATCAGCTAGTTTTCGGTGAAAACAAGTTGTTGGATCGGATTACCGATGCACTGCAGTTAAGGCTAGTAAGTACAAGAAATAGATCTTCATCCCAGGCATGATCTTCACCCCGTTTTTGAAGGGGAGACGGGCACTAAGATGCTCTTCTTCTGGCAGATGGATTTGTGGCACAGTTCTAATACAGATCGGGCAGTGGGATCGGGCGCAGGAAGCTGCGCAAGCGGTACACGACATCAAAAATTCGAAAGAGAGGACTGCCATCGTCCAGCATGTGCAAGACACGGTAGCAGAAAGCAAGCGCAGTGCGGACAACCTGTTGCTGTATTTGAACCGGCAATACGCCTTACCAGACACGTTGCCGTGTGCGGCACGATGGGCGCAGAACGGAACACACGCTCTCTTAACTAAGGGATGCCACATTGCATTCTTCACCAGCATCCTTGACTTGTTTTCCAGTAGAAAAGGGGTCCTCTTGCGTTGGTTTCCCTCACCTAGAATCAACGCGAACAATATTTATACTTATTGTTTTCCAGTAGGAAAGGGGTCAGGGATGGCCTGCCGAGTGCAATGCTGCAGCCTCTAACTTAAAAGTCCGCTTCAGTCGTACGTGGACCGGCCCGAGCGGGCACTGGGGCCGCCGTTACAGCACCGTGGGAGGCGAGGGCCGCGTAGAGCAGGATCTATCGCAGATGCCTCTAGATGTCCAGTGTAATCCGTCCGGTCCATCTACTAGTACAACAAGAGCCAGTTCTTCTTCTTCCACTTCTTCTTCTAGTCTAGTAGAACAAGAACCAGAACAAAGAAAGAACACTTTCAAAATGCAGATCGTGGGCCAGATCGGAACAAAGCGGTGGCGTTTTGTAGTACCGGAATTCAAGCTCTTCTTATGATATGGTTTTCTTTGAAGAAACTTGTGTAACTCTTCTATGATGATTTGGCTTCGTTCTTCCCTCCGCGTTAGTAGGTAATAAGTGTACCATTCGAACTTATTGAATGCATTCGTTCTCAGCCTTTTTCTTACTCTATTTGGAGCAACCAAGTGGCGAGAGATGCAGCTGCGAAGTAAATTCACTGACAAACAATCTCAATCTTTATCTTCTACCAGTACCAGTACGTCTTGGTCTTCGTCTAACTTTCGGTGATATTCACAAATGCGACTGGGAAGTTTCGTTTCGAAACGCTAAGGGGTCTATGCAAATGTCCAAAGGTGCGCAGCTGCCAGAGTTGCGTGTCTTCTTTCACAAGCGCATACGCAACTTTTTCTGGAGTCGCCTTTCTGCCGATCCTAGCCTGGACCCGTCGTTCGAAAGCATAATAACACCAGCGATTCAAGCTTCTTCGGCGGGAATCAACAAGATGGTAGGTGTGTCTACGGAGCAGAACATAGCAGATGATAGTGCATCTTCAAGTACAACACCTGAAAAAGCAAGTAGTGGAGATAGCGGCGATGAAGGTACTAGTAAAGTGCATAAGAAGAAGCTTTCGAAAAAGGAGCGCAAAGAGCGTAAGCGGAAAGAAAAGCAAGCAGAAGAGAATAAGAAGAAAGCGGAACGGGAGGCAGAAGAACAGCGGCGCCGCGAAGCGGAGGAGAAGCAAAATCGATTCACAGTTGCCCTCCTAGATCCGGATGAAGCGGCGCAAGAAGATCTAGGCTCACTACCACTCAATGCAAGACTCTCGCGTGAATCACCAACTACCTGTAGTACGATGGGAGACCGACCAGACGGCATCGACAGCATGGCAACTACGTCTACGCAGCAGCACCAAGAAATGAAGCAGGTCGCGCAAGCATCACCACCAAGCCCAGGGTCTCTGTTGTATTGTCCTGCATCGGACACCTGCGTAGCGGCATGCACTGCTTGTGGGGCGAGAGCACTCCCAAACGGAAACGTGTGTATCAATTCTCATGGTCCTAGAAGTAGTTCTAGTAGTTCTACTTCTAGTTCTAGTGGAGACAACACTGCAGTCGTGGATTGCTCGCAGGTACGTTTCCAAGACCTGGATCTCGAACCCGGCAAGATCATGGGCGAGTTATTCCTAGATAACGTTGTACGTGATACCTGGAGTCTCAGCGGCGTCGTAGTGGAATCGGCTTACTACAGGAGCAGTGCGAGCAGTAGTGCGACTTCGGCGCCAGAAGATGGCAATGGCACGCTTGATGTTCCTTTCGAGCTATTGATACAGCCATCTTCACCAGAAGATTTGGATACTAGTGCTCTCAAGAAGAACACTATCCCCTCATACCTGAGCCGTGTCGGACTCCGCATCGCGCCACTTGTGTCACTTGTTTCAACCAGCACCACGTCTGAACTTCCCTCAGCAACATCCAATAATCCAATGTCCTCCAACAGTCTTCTTGCGTTGGATTTGAAGATCCTATTCGCAGGCGGAGGTAGCGAGTTTTGTCGCCGTGTCCCGGTCATTGACCGCGCACAGCTGGGTCCAGGTGTGAGCGCAGAACTGGTGCCCTTTAGTGACAGCGACAATCGCGCTCACATGATTGGAGGGGACCTCACACTTGCTGTGACAGCAGATCCGAAGTTAAGGGTTTTACCAATTTTTCACCTCCTCTGCTTCCAGCATTTTCATGTTCCCAAGCATATTCATTTGGCTTCTTTGCAATATGATCCTTTCTAGGTGGTCGAGTAAGAAGCTCTAACAAAAGGCGCGCCTGTGCATGGTGTCCACATCTATTTTCGGCGCATGGGCGAGATCGTAAAATTACCGCCTGTAGCACCAGCTGCGCTCGAGGAAATGGACCAAGACATCCGAGAACACGAAGCGAAGCAGAGGTCTTCTAGTGAGGAACCATTTGCACAAGTAGGAGTGGGAAAAGAAAAACAAGAAGCAAAACAAGCGGAAGCAACAAATAAAGCAGAGGCTGATGCCATATCGGCGATGCTTCGAAGCGAGGTCAATTCCGGAGCTCTACCGGCATTCCGCATAGAGTTTGGACAAACAGAGGGATCGACCCCGCCTAGCGCCATATCATTCGCTGGCGGCGTTATTCAGTTCATGAAGACAGAGGAAGGACCATTCGGTGTCGCGCATGCGCGCACTACGTGGCGTCTGACAAACGTTGCAGTGCCTCCGGGTGCAACGCAGCTCGTCGCAGTGCCTTTCCACGGCGATGTCGAAGGCCTCGCAGAACGCAGCATCGCCCTCACGGACGCGCAAGCACCAAAACGCTTGGCGGCTGTAACGGTATTAGATCTACGTACACGCTATATCCACTCGCGAGGTTAGGTAGATGCGCCACATGTATTCACATCTTCAAGAGCGGGCTAAAGCATGAGCCTGCCCGCCTTGTCTGGCGCGAGCACATCAGACGGCGACCGGCCGGGGCGCGATTGGTGGAAGGGCTGCCCGCCTTTCTTGTCTATTCGGTTGCTTCTGCAGACGATACGCGAAAGACCGCCGCCGGGGAACTCTCAGGCACTCTACTGGCGACCACTTCCCCCAAATCCCAAAAGCGGAAACGTCGCGAGGCCCATGCTTGGCGTGCGGCGGCGCCTGGCACGCATTGACCAGCGGGAGAAAACGGACACAGCCGGCCCCTGGGAGTCGTCACGCCGGCACCTGGTTGCCCACATATCGCGCGACCGTGGCAGAGCGGTGCCTTTCTTGGTGCGCCTCGGCGTCGATCGTAGACATTGAAGCGCAGCCGCCGACGCTGGCGGCAGTGTGCCGGCCCCGGGCTCAGTCATCTTAGACGAAAGGGCCCAAAACGGTCCCACATTCATGCCCAGAATGCGCCGCTGTGCCTCTTCTAGGCGGAGCACTGACTGACTAGCAACCATCGCGGCCACCCGTGCGCTTTGGATAGAAGACGAGGGGCACAGCCGCGGCGCTGCCTCGGGTGTGCACTGCTTCGCCTTGGTGTTGGTGAGGTTGTTCGCAGATATCGCGCCGCAGCTCTACTGAAGCCGGGCGGCTGGGTGCCTCCTTCGTGGTGCCTTGGGTCCTTGCTCTGGAATATACAAGGAGCGGCCCGCGCCTGCTTCTGAATTTCTTTCGCAGTTTATGAGGGGCGTCAATGGTTGAGACGTGAAAGCCCTTGTGTCAAATTTGACAAACGAAGCACCCTCGTGCACATCAGTCGCATACTGTCGAAACCGTCCAACTGGAGCAATTTTCTTGCATCGGTTGACCTGAAGACAAGAAAGCGAGCGGCGTCGTGTCGCACATTAATGGGGTCGAGGTATCGCCTCAAGCAGTGCGGGGAGCTCGCGGACGTAGTGAGAACACACAGGAAAGCTGGGCGCTTCGTGGGTCTCCGTGCGTGGCTGGTTTCGGGGGTGTGTGGTGGGTCTCTCTGTGTGCCGGTGGGGGTCGGCGTATTGCGACGTAAGGGGGAGAGGTGGCGCGCCGTCTGCTTTTCTGTCTGTCTGCTGTCGTATGGCTCTGCTTGGCTCCCCAAGATTCGGCGCCGCCGTGGGAGTGGAAGGCATTGGCTTTGTGTTTCATTGTGCCCCCGCCTCTTGCTCTCGGTCTTACCTCTCCCCGAGCCCAAATCGTGGCCGCTCGTCAGTAGCAGTAGAGTTCATTAGACAGCTTGGGGGCATGCGCGCTCGATTCTTAAGGGCGTCCCCACATAATGTGTTTTGTGATTTATTACTCCCCCCATGTGGATCGGTGACGGCAGCGGGCGTCCGTTGCCAATAATTTCATGAATGGGCTCGTGGTTTAGTACTGACACATGAATACTCCACAGACGAGGACTTTGAGTAATAGAATTCTACCGATAATATCAATCTATTGCTCGCCTGCCTTCGAATGCCTCTCAATTAGTATCAATAGTCTCTATGCGTAACGGTAGCTCCTATTTCTCAGGCTACCGAAGACGAGTACTTGATGCCTGGGCTAGTCTCTATTGGCCTCACGCCGACTTTCCGTGACAACACTGCAAACGGCGTCGCGGTGTATGAAGGCGAGAACTGCGGTGCGCCCAGTAGCGGCGCCCCACGATCCACACCAACGAAGAAGAGGAACTCTAAACCACTCCGAGCCGTCCGGCCAACAGCGGAAAGTGAAAATAAAGATCAGCAATATGTTGATGATAGTCCTCGGCCTAGCACAAGCACAACACCCACCACTTCCAGTATAGCAATGACTCGTCACCCTGACGATGAGAATGAAGACATCGAGTACCTAACACGCTCAACTCACCGTGGGGCACTGCGGTACACCGGCGCGCCAGTGTCGTGTCTGTTGGTCTACGCAGTTAATGACGTAGGCGAATCAGCGGAACCTTTTGTCCTAGGACGCGGTGTTTCAGACAAAGTAATGCCCCAACTGGAAGGCGAAAGCGAAGTGGACGATCGCGAGTACGAAAGATATCTCGGACATGTCTTATGAAGGAATGCATATCGTGAAAGTGAAATATGGGAAACTATGTATACATAGTGAAGAGGAAGACAAAAAAACCATAGGTATAGCGTACTTACATATCGTGAAGTAGAGAGAGAGAACCTAGTGTGTTAAAACTTCGAACAATTAAAGGTATAAATTACATAGTTATCACTTTGCTTTTGAGGTCAATCGCTTAAATGCGACTCTCGTTTCTTGACTGGTATCTATATAATTAAAACTTCTTCTTCTTTCTAACAAGGGAGGACATATACAGCGAGAAGAGCAGGCATTACGCCAATGCTTTCGGGCTCGACTACATGCGGGAGCTCGTTTTGCGGCAAAGCCTAGGCCGAATGCGTGTCCTAACCCGAGTGTGGAGCGAAGTTTGGACGAAAATCGAAACAGAAGACATGCCCCTGCCCCTAGGCAGCGGCAGAGCAGGAGAACTCTAACTATCGACCCCATTTTTTACTACTCGAAACATACCTCGCTTTCTTGCTCAACCCGTTCTCCCATTTACCACATTTTCATGTGTTCAAGTGCCATAATCCCTACAACGCACCCACCGATGAATAAAGGGCATCCCCCACTTGAGCCCCTTCGAGTTTTTACATATTAACCACGGATTCTTCGCGGTTTTACATATATATGATATTCTTGATATTTTGCAAGCACAAGCACAACACGCATATTAATGGAGCAGAGGTAGCCTACTCGAGAAGTTCGCTCAGGCGTGGTAAGTCTGAACGTCCTGCCTTCGCTCAAAAAACCTACAAACATGTTGGGGCCATCCTCGCGATCACTTCTAGAAGCCCTACTGCAGTTCCAAGAAAGCTATAGCGATTTCTATATCGTTTGAAGAGATGGTGCTATGTGATGCACGACTAAAGCTAAACCTCTACTAGTCTCTGTTCCGACGTTGCTACGCTGTACCTGTACGCAGGAGCACTCATGATCACTTTCCTAATGTTGATGTCTCCTCGCGCTCTGTGTCTACTGCAGCCGGAAACGGAATTCAGTTGTAGTGGTAGTGCAGCATGTTGTCTATTTTATATGAGCAGCCCTCTGTTTTATCTGAAATTGTCTTCTGAGTCTGTTATCTTCTGTTGCAGCATCTTGAAGAAATGGCTTCAAGAAAGATCCTTTGCTGCGAAAGGCCAACTGCAGCTCCTTACGATTGAACCCATGCACCCATGCACCCTTGTTTTGTGCAAAAATGTGTACGACGCTGACAAAGTCCAAGTACTCAAGAATTTTGCGACGCCGCTATTGAACATGTACACCAACTGAAACTAGTGTTTGGCATTGATTACAGTTACCCCGTTCTACTTGTGCAGGAGTACCCTGTTTTGGAAAACATAAACAAGTGCATTGGTGCTACTCGTTTTGTTTTTGGTTCTAAGTACTCGTTTTGTTTTTGGTCTCTATTCCAATCTTTGCGTGAGTTCCATCGTGTAGACCATCTATGACGCCCTTAGGGCAGTCTGCGCTGAACTTTGTGCGAGATTAACTGTATTGTATTGTATTCTTGCTTCTCCCTGCTCCTGGTCCTCAACTCTAACTATTATAATCTAAGTTGTCATCGGACTAGCTGACTTAGATTAATTCGTTTCTTCCATGTGCATCCTACTGTTGAATACTTCAATGTTCAAAGTTGGCATAGTATTCATTGCATTAATGTTAAGTGAAATTATATTTTTATAAGTCTCTTATTAAATCAATTGATTCATGCTCATTGCAATACTTTTTCTGAAGAATTAGAATCTTCTATCTAAGTATTTAATATCTATAGCTATATTTAAATCTAAAAGAAAAGAGCAAAATGTCGCCCAACATTCCACGACTCGTCTTTACGACTTTCCTTGGTGCAGCGTCAGCTCTCGCTGTGCCAAAGTCCAGTTTATCCAGCTCATCCTCGTCATGTTATGGATCTGGGTAATGTATCTCTTTATATTGAAGTCATCTGAATCTGAATGAACAAGAAATTGATAGAAAACAAACAGAAAAGGCTCCTACTTCTAAAGGAACGGCATGATGAATCCTACCTGGGATTGATGTTTTTCCTACACGAGGACATGCAGTCAGTCTAATCATCGGAAGACGCAGCATATGTCGATAGTAAAATTTCCCAGGAGAACAAGCGACGACTTACTGAGGAGCTGCAACCTGGTGACTTGGCTCAAAGCCAAGAGAAGAAGCGAAGTCGACTCACCGAAGAGGAGGAAGAAGCAACGGAGGATAGCATGCTCATATCACTCACTGAGAAAAAGGAAGAAGAAGCAACGGAGGATAATGTGGGCAGGTCCGAGGCTACCAACACCAAGCTAGGCGCGTTGGATGTAGTGCAGCAGTGGCATCCAAGTGGCGTGCTTGGTTTGCGACGATATGCCGCCGTTTCCAAGGGTGTCCGCACTCCAACTGTGCTCGCAGCAGAAGAGCGATCGCGAGGGCGCTTGCGGTCTTTCATTGAGAAACGAAACAGCGTGCTCCAAGGAATGCAAAAACTGGACGAGCAAGATATTGAATTTAAGAATTAATGACCTTGTGAAAGAAGAGGGAAAGAGTTCATAAATTCTTGCTCTCGAAGCGTATTAATTGGTGAGTCACCCTGAAACACACTAGAGTGAAAAAGCACTGACAGCAATGGACCCTTGTGCGTACATCTGCGCTTGCCTTCAAATGATGTCCTTATTTAATATAATCGAATTTAGTTTCTTCAATCCTCCTTCTTCCTTGTTGTCACCTAGCCATTTACCACCTGCTGTGATCAGGGAGACGGATAGTCAGATGAACGTGGTCTCCAGACATATTAATCGAATGACAACAAGGCTAAAAATATTCGCAGCTCCCTTTGCACTTGTCACCAGATAATTGACAACTCTGAAAAGGGAATATTTTAAACTGGTGCTTCTAAATCCTCAGTCTTGACACTATGCACGAAAGTCGTCGTACCTTTTGTCACCAGACCGGGCTTGGTCGTCCCAGCAGTCCTGCGACCATGGGGACGTCGACTTCGGAAAAAGACGAATCCGCATATCGTAGCAGACAGAGTGAAGAGACGTCGACTTCGGAGAAAGACGAAGTCTGGTGGGGTTGGGGAGATGAAGGACTCTCCTGGTGAGAAGATGAAGGACACGACATCAAGGTCGTCTACGTCTAGCTTGATTTAAAGCTCACACTGATTCATCTTGGCCAATCACTTGCCTCAGTTTCCTTCAAGGATTAGGATTCTGAGCCTATGAACCTAGTACAGGAGATGAATTGTTGCGAGCGCTAATGAATCCGATGGCTAGACTCTGCCTACCAGCGTGTTGGCAGAAGAGTTCGACGGTGGCTGCGTTTTTTAGCCTCTCGGCACCTGCTGGAGCAGCACTTGCGACAGCGGCATGAGTCAATAATGGTGACAAGTGAATACACTCAGGAGGCCCCCGACCCCAGGACCGGAATCCGACCCCCGCCGTACCCGGAACGTCTGAATCATGTAATTAAGAATTTTTAACCAATTGCATCAATTACATCCTCCTCCACAACCATCTTCTCGGGCAGAACTTTTTGTACGTAAGTAAGTAGACTATCCTAGAAGAATGTAATGTGGAAACCTCTAATGTAAAGTCTCTTTTTCCGAAGTGGCAAGCCTTGAACATCGAGCCACTTCATTTTTATTCTCAAGGACCGGTGCAACTACAGGATGATCATACGTTAAGCATCGGACCAGATGAATCAAAGGGCCAACAAGAAGATAACTATGGAAGATGTTGACGCTTTTTCTCCCATTTATGAGACCATCTAGGCTGCCCTTTATTTCCCCTTAAAACTGTATAGCTGAAGGGAAGCGTCGATGGTCTGCATACTAGATGGAAAAAAACTAAATCCATAAACATGCATATGCATTAGGCCGGCAAGATTTCGAGACCTGCGCATTTTCTGTTTTTCGACACTTGGCGTTAAGGCAAAACTATTTGTATTTACTGACTCAAGGCAAAAAAATTCCATGGACACAGAATTCACCATCCATGTCCTCCAAAGTTTTTCCTTCTAGTACACATGAATTTCTTCTGAGAAAATGAAAATGAACTTACTAGAACTTTTTATAATTATATAGGAAAAGAGTTATCTTCCTCGATAACTGCTCTAAAAGCGGCAAATCACGATTCCATCCCTCGCGATTCACCGCCAACCTCGGAGGCCATGCGCTTTTCTCATGTGGCTGCAGAAAGAGGCGGGCGCAAGAAGATTCGGTACCAAGTCAAGATGATGGATTTCCGAGGATCCTTTGAGGAGTCCGATTATTACTATGAGCCGGCGACCACCAGTGCCGCTGAAATGGAGCAAGACAAGAAGATGGAAGACGAAGAGAAGCAAGTGGAGAGAGCGGCTGTAGAAGATGAAGATGAGTCCCCAGTGAATCTTCATGCAACAGGCAAGCCACAAGCGAGGAGCAGCGGCGCGGTATTAGTTGATAATGAGATGGAAGAAAAGTTGCTGCGCGAGCAGAAGAAGACTGACGCTGAGCACGAGGGCGCACAGTATGCAGACCTTTTTTCCTTCCTCGGCGTCGAAATTTTTGGGAAATCCGCATTGCATGACAAAAACAGACTCGATACTCATGACGTAAGTTACGCGTCTTCGCCACTTTTTTTACGGGAAGATGCTCATCTCCATGATCCCGCGTTGTTTCGACTGTGGCAAGGTCCCTACCTAGAAAGTCCTCCGGAAAAGCCCTCACAAATGCTGGAGAATGGTATCTATCGTTATGGTCAACATCTGGTGTCCATCTTTCTGGGAACCTCTTGATCCCCTTTTGCCTTGTTGTATTCGCATGACGTAGTACAAGGGGAACTACGAAGGGGGCCGAGATCTAAAAAAATGCTGACTCTAATATCGAAAGCCTACTGGAGAAGAAGTATTGCAGGAACAAAATGAATTTGGAAAAAGAAGAGCGATCTATGAACAGCGTAAGTTGACAACGCAAGCTCGTGTCGAAACCTTGCGCTCTCTTGACCCGGTGCAAGAAGCTCTCTGTGACGTTTTCGTTTCGGATTTTACCCTTGAGAAGCTTTGGCAGTTTGGCAATAGAAAAGATTCCGAGGTAGAGAGGATCCGCTCGGACAAACAAGATGCACGACAGGCTGAAAAGTTAACGAAAGAGCACTACCTTGGCATTCCGTGGAACAGCTTGCTTGCTGATTGGATTGCTACTTACGTCCCCTCCTGGTGGTGGGATCGCGTTCCTTTTTCGCCGAAGGCCTCGGCTCAGCTTGCTCCCGAGCCGCGTCGTGAATTCGAGAATTTTTTCGGGCAAACGTGGGCGCCGCCTCGTCAATTCGAGAGCAGGGAAACATTTGACTCCGGAATATTTGAAGACATGAATTGTCGGGATCGGTTGCACCTCGTCACTGTACAATTAAGGCAGTCCCTAGCCCATCTTCAGAAGCACCTTCTTGGCACCGTTTTAAGGGGGGAAAAGGTTCCAGAATGCATCTCAAGATGAATTCGGGTGAGCTCTAATACAAGCAATCGTCGGCGATCCCGCTCTGAGGAACCAGCGATACTGGCGCTATGCCGCACTTCGTGCGCTCATACTGTGGCGTAGTAAGCACTTATATGACGAGTCCAACTCCGACTTGTTCCCGCTTCCGCCAGCGTCTATCTTTCAAGATGCCGAGACCGACGAACACTCGCTCAGGCCCCGTGGTGAAAACGGACTATTCAGTTGCTATTTCGCCACGATATATCATTACCTTAAGGGTTGGAAAATGATGAGTTAGGCCCTCTATGAGCCTCTCTATGACCTTTTCTTCAAATACAGGAAAGTGATATGTGTCTCTATGAGCATGTCTAGAACCTTTTCATCATAAGTAGGAAAGTCATAGAGCAGATGCGAGATAGATCCTTGCAACCTCTAACTGCCGTGAGTTTGCACAGCAATGGAATGCGGTCCGTTTTGGCCGCTTCCCCCTTGTTGAGAGGGGAACATGTGGCCTCGGCATTGCTGAAATGGACGGCCCTCACTACGATTCAGACCGTTTACGTTTTCCGGGCACCCCAGCAGATGAGCATCCTCATGCGGTAAGGACAGTGTCTGCTGCGCATACTACTCGATTAACAACTTCACTGACAGAGTTGGAACAAAACTTTGACGAGTCAAGTAGGGACGAAGAAGTATCCCAAAGGATATAAAAAACTGCTCACTTCTTAACTACTTAGAAGAAAAATCTAAATCAGAAGTACCTTGTGGTCTAAATATCGCTTGCACATGTTAATGACGATTCGAATTTGATGGAGCATTACTAGAGGTGAACGACACCGATACTATGCTATGAGACCTTCAAGAATACTTAAATGGGGTCTGACTTACTTGAAAAGAGGCGGGATTGTCAGATACACAATACGATTGTCACGAACGGCAACCCTAATAGATGTCTCAGACGCTCGCATCCATCTAGCAATGTTTTAACGCCTGACACTCACCACGCACTCTTCTGCAGGTAGATGTAAGACGCAGTACACTGACTAGTAGATGTCAGACCACAGAAGTAGAGAGAAAGGGTCAGTATCGATGAAGCTACTACTCGTTTGAAGATCCAATAAATAAATCATTGAATTTAACAGGAGCGAGTGAAGAAAAGATAAATAAATACGGAGATGTACGCGGTCTTAGCGTAGCATACAAAGTAGGTTCTAGTGTAACATTACCAGCTCTAGGCTTCCTCTTGCTTTTTGGCTCTTCAGTAGCCAATGAAGCTTGCTAGTTATTTTTCTGGCGGGCCCCCACCTAACCTAACCTCACCACACGCTCATCTGCTGCAGTCTAATTCATTATAATTGTTCTGAAGCTTGAAGGAGATTTCTTTCTTTCTAACTTTCTCAGATGATTGCTCTGACTGTTTTAGTAGTAAGTTAGGCAGGTAGTTATAATTGGTGAAGTTTGTTCTCGTTTCATATCAAGGAATCCCACTTCTACAAGGGGTTTTCACACATATTTATGTATGACCATAGTTGTCTTTATCACAAGTGAATGTAGGGCGACATAGTTATCTTCACGATGGTGCACCTCCTCTTCCTAATTTCTTCGTAGGAAAAACTTGACTGGAGAGAAAACCAAGCCATGGCCCCTGCAAGATCGCAAGCCAGATATCTTCTACCTCTAATTCTAACAAAGCGGCATGGGATTGAGTGAGCGCAGAGGACTGAGATGTAGATGATGATCGATGTTGTGCGCAAAGACGAGTGCAGCAAGGATTCGAGTGATTTCAATACAACGAGTACGCCTTTTATCTTGTGCACTTCCTTCCTTATAAGATATCTCAGTAAACGATAAGCACCTGCATGAAGAATAGAGGAAATCTTATCATTTATACGTTTTGCTTTATTGAATTTTGCTCTTTCATTTTTGAACGATAGCAAACAAAATGCTTCCAGACAGAGAAAGAAGACCCTTGCAGACGGTGAAGCTCCGCGTCTAAGTCTATTGCGCGCGCTGACAAAAGAATGCGCAGGTGGGCGTTGCGCATTATCTGAGGAGAACTACACCAACGATAGCGATACTTCTACGCCAGGACGACGATCAAGATGCTGTTACAGCAGGACGCTGACTTTTCAAAAGGAAACCCGTCTGGACCAGGGCCCCCCGGTGGAGATGTGGGACGTACCTTGTCCACTAGCAGTGTGCGGAGTCTGGATGGATCGCCCGGAACTTTATGGAAACACTATGGCGCTCTATCCGCTCGTACCAGGAAGATCTCCTAGAGAAAAGGAGGTCGTTTTCGTTATAAGGAGGAAAGAAGTTGTTGCTGTTCTTGTAACAAAAAAAAACAAAGTGTGGTAGGCTGTTACTTGTAGTAGTTCTAAGTTCCGGAGGAGGTGGCACGATTTCAAATGCGACAGGAATTGTGCCGTCAGGAGGAACGAAAGCGAACGACCGACTAATTGGAGGTAGCGGGACAGGATACAACAATACATTACGACTGGTGCTGTCGATATTTGTGGCATTTTTTAGGTCGACTCTGCTCTCGATAGAAAGCCTGTCTACGAAAGGTCTTGATGTAATCAAAACAATTAAGACGTCCTTACTCTTGAAATCGATAGAAAGACCGTCTGGGAAATTAGCAAATTCTTCTGTCCGTTAAGCAGGCCTAGCGTCGATACATGTTCTTAATGCGCAGAGCGTAGAAAACGCAAATCAGCCCTGTGAAATGGCTTAAACAGTAACATCAAGACCTGAGCGTCTAACTGCAGCAACCGGAGGCGGAACAGGTGCTAATCCGTCTTCAGATGGCGTCACCGCACAACCGACGGCAGCGCAGCAGCTGAACGAATGGACCATAAAGAATGAGAACCTTATGCATGGGCAGTACTTGATAAATATGAACATTGGATGAAACGCAAACGGTAAGTCAGTGTCAGCAGTTTCACTCAAATTATAAGCAGAAATATTCTTCTGAGTGGGAGTGGTTAGTTCCTCTTGACCCCTTACTTAAGAAAAGTTAAGCGACGAAAGCTAACTGGGTCAGAGGTTCTTCACTCAACCAAGGAGAATTCGAATGTTCCACTTCGCATAGTGATGTACTACGAAACTAGTGATCTAGTTCTAGATCTACATTTTTTTAGTTACTATGATGAAAATGATTTTATTTCTAAGAATCTTCGAACCCGCCTGATGGCTGTGATGGATGGCAAGGCAGTGCAGACCACTATGACCTTTCTCACCGTATTCGCTCTCTATGGGGACGACCTGCGCATGAAGTTCTTTTTTCTCCACCATGACGTAGGATTCTACGTACTCTACACTGTCACTTTCTTCCTGTTCTCAGCAGAGCTAGTCGTCTTTTCGGTCTGCAAGGAGAACTACAATTAAGGCCAAAACTCTTGAGTCATCTACTCAAAGAACCAACAGTAGCGATAGCGAAACTCTCGTCACAGCTCATCAACGACTACAATTTTCACAATGTCAACGAGTAGCACAATGAATTACATAGGACATCTAATGACAGTATTCATTTTTCTTCTGGTTGGATATGGTGGCTTCGCTTTCGATCTTGCCAGATATCGTTTGGGTGATGGATTTCATACAGTCGCTCTTTGACGAAGCAGGCGGCGCATCGACCGGTCAAACAGGCGTTGCTCGAGCAGGGCGCGCAAGTCGCGCAGGCACACGAGCAGGACGCATTGTCCGCTTAATCCGTTTAGTAAGGTTGCTCTATGAAAGGAGTGCTGAAGTCATGAGATGAAAATCATGACAAAGAGTGTCATGAGTACTGACGAGTATAATTGCTCGCCTAGGAATATGCACTCATATTTTGTACCTTTTTAGCGCTAATTTTCACGCGTCGTGAACATCGCGAAATTTTTCTCCAAGGAAGAAAAGAGCGAGTTGGACAATCAGGGTGGTGTACCGCGACAAAACTCCGTAATGAATTTATGGGTTTCCACATTGCATGCTCCACTGGTGCCATTCTTGCCTTATTTTCCAATGAATAGGAAAGACAATAAGAAAGGAGTCAAGGATGATCTAAAGGATGAAGCTGATCTCTTCAGTAATGCAATGTTGTCGCGACCTTCAAGGAATGGAGGAACGTCGCGTGGTGCAAATATTCTCTCCCCTGATGCCACTCTCTCCAGACGATCTCTGAACAATGCGCTTGCACCCGTACCAGCAGAACAAGATGGAGTGCACAAAACAGCATCATCAGCACAGAATCACAAGCTATGAGTGCTAGGAGTACGAGGAGGAGATTTTCATTTATTTTGTAGATAGTTAGATAGAGTAGGTATGCGCTCTTTGTTTTCAAAGCAGATTTACAATTAGAAAGAAACGTACTTCAACTAAGAAGTTAACTGTCGCTCCTGTCCAGCACAACTAATTATGTAGCAGTAGATGACTAGGACGACCACTCCACGCCCAATGTATGATGAAACATCATGCAGGTTGCTTGTCTCCATCAAATGAAAATCAAATACTTAGGCTTGTAGTACTACTAGGACGATTACTCTCTAAGCACTAGAGTGGAGGCTTCGAGACTTGGCAAGATTTTGTCGGAGCAAACTACAAGAACCGTGATTTTAGGGGTGCTCTGCATGATGCTGGTACTGCCGATGATCGAGCTGGAGGAGCTCAATGGCACGCCAGCATTTGGCCTAGAGCAAATCTTCTGGATGTCACGTAGCATGTGCTCTACCTACAATGCTTTCGTTGCGGCGGGCTTGAAGACCGACACTGAGCTCACATGTGCAGGATCAACATCGCCTTCAACTTACGCTTGAAAAATATAAACGAAGTGTAATTATATATAGGGAATAAGGTGAGAAGGCTGGTGGAGAGGGTAGGAGAGGGCCTCCCGTTCGCCGGTAGCCGTCAATCTACTAGAGTCATTTTCACTGTGGTGATTTGACTAGTAGAGAGAGAATCATATCTACAACTCTAAACATGCGGCATAGCGGCGAGCAATAGCAGCACGAATATTATGAAACAGTGGCAGTGACTCATAATCATATTTCATTTCCTAGTTTCTCCGAAGTGAAGATGAGTAATCGCGCATTTGGCTTTCGGTGTGCAAGAGCTTAGCAGGCACTTGGACGTAGATGTCTCGTAGCTTCGACATCAATGATCTGCCTCTACATGATTTGGCTTTACCGCTTCAGAGCTTCATCCCGCGATGATAAGCGTTTTTCTTTTCATTGTTCGCACGCATGCCTGGATTTCGGATGAGGGTTTTCAGTATCTGCTCTTCGCCTACACGGAGCAAAGCCGCTTCCTCGCAGACGGGGAGCTCACCGACACAGTATCGCGACCCATTCTCTATATGGCTGTACCGAATACCCTAGGTGGCGCCATTCGGCCTCTCGAATACGTGACCACGAAAAGATGCGACGTCGGAACACGTCGCGAGTACCCCTTCCTCGGTTGGGATGACGACTTTGCCGCGGCAGGAGGGAAGCGACCAGAATGTCAGCAGGTACTCTTACTCAGGAATAGCTTTATAGTTTCCTCGGGCTTTGCGTCGAGATGAGCTAAGGGGTGGCGCAAACGGTGCAAGAAGAAGAAATATGGCGCGCGCCGATCTTACCTAAAGGGCAGTTGGAGATGGAGTGGATTTCAGGCACTGAAATGTCAAGAATATCTGCCAAGCCCGTGCTACGAGAGGCATGCTGGTCGACCCGATATGGGCCCATTGAGTTGGGGGTTCGACTCGCATTCCGCGCGCAGCATGGGTGGCGGAGAGGATGGCAAGCGCCTTCCAAGCACAGAGCGCGTTCGGGGTTCTTCTCCGCTGTCATCTTGTGGGCCAGAGGGCTCGGAACCGGAAGCCAAGGCAGCCGCAAAGGGGCCCACCGCTGGGCGTCTCCTTGTTTCTCCGCTTCTCTGTGCCGCTGCGTGCTCTTTGACAACGGTGGGCGAGCTGTCGCCGACAATGTAGGCGCGCAACTGCTCCGCCACGCAGTTTAGGTGGGCAATTTGGGTAGAGTCTTTTTCAACAGTATGCTGCTATGGCCGCCGTGGATTGGGCACGCATGCAAAGCGAGGCACGCAGGCGCGCAGACTGCGGCAGCCCTCAGGGGGAGGCGTTGCCACTAGATGGAAACGCGGCGGGCATTAAAGTTGCGGACAAAGCGCCGAGCGCCATCATGCCAGAGAGAGGGGAGCGCACTGACGCCGCACTTACTCAGGTGCCCCCAGCCCCAAGTGCCTCAACTCGGCTTACGGACCTCGGGCAGCAGGAGGGCCAAAGGCCTCCTATTATATGTCGAGCGCGGGGCTGCGACGGTCTCGAAGATGGCGGGTGGCTTTATGTGGATGAAGGCGCGGACAGGTGAAGCGATGGGAGGCGCCCCCGGTAAGGTGAAGCTTTTGAGTTAATTCGCGTGCATCGTGTTGCGGGGCAGTTGTCTTTTGTTTTCTTTGTTTCTTCTCGGCTTGGTGTCTTTTTGTGGTTGTTCTGGAACCACTGGGCCCGGGGATGATAGAGCTGGCGTTGGCGAACAGGTGGGGCAAGTGGAGGAGACCCCTGCGCGCAATTTCGATTATGTAAAGGCATCGCGCCGCTTGGGCACGCTCGGCCCGCCGGTTTCTTCTCCTCGCCTTTTCATCTTTGCCATAGCGTGCGCCCTCTTCGGTTTCCTTGCGTTGTCGTCTTTTCGCTTTCTCCCGCCAAGCGGCTTCGCTTGAGCGTCTTATGTATACGCCGTAGATGAAAACTATGGATATCCATATTGTCGACCACATTACGCCCGCCTCGGAAGGTGAGCCCCCGCGGCCACAATGAATATCTATATCAAGGGCGCGTCGCTAGATCTAGAAAATAAGTTTTTGAGCGATTGTTTCATCATTCTTTTTTTCTGGTGAAGGCTCTGTAACTATGTATTAGGATTATTACTCACATCAAAATAGACGATAACTCCTTCTACTTCTTGACAATTGTTCTTCTCTCATATTCAAAACAGGCCGAGGCAGAAGGACGATGTTGTTGGCAACGGCATCCATATTGCAGTGATGTTGAAGACTCAAGGTGTCCATGGCGAGAATCTGAGATGGAGGACGTTGCCTTCAGTCCATCTGAAACTTGCCCCGACTCCGCCAGTGAGAAACCGATTTCTCTATCATCGTCGTGCACACATGTACTTTTCTATCTACTAGAATTTAGCCGTACTACTGAGCTCTTATATATATAGAAACTATTGCTTTGTAATTTTTCACTGTATGTGGGCGCAGATTGTGAGTAATAGTTTGGCAAGGAAATATAATTTCAGAGGTCGTGAAGGAGATGTATCTGAACTTCTTGCACATTTCTTCTCAGCGTCTACAATTGTTACAGATTTGTTGATTTCCACCACGTACAAAAATCCATTGGTCAATATTATCTTCTGCCTGCTCCAGTTAACCGTCTACGCGAAGATTTTGAACCGGTCAAAGACAGAAACGCAGGCAGAATACAGTATGATTCAGACGACTTTCATCGTCTTTCTCCTTGGTGTGGGAGCGATGATGTTTTCGAAGGACACGCAAACGCTTGTGATCGCACCAATTGAAAAAATGGTAAATATTTACTCAGAGATGAATAGGAACGCAAAGGCCTAGACATGTTGAGTAGAACTCAAAACTACTCTGAATTTTTTCTATTTGTTACAGCTGCTGGCCCGCTGGATTTTTACCCACTACAGAATATCTCCATCAGGTGAACATCGTGAAGCAACTTGCAGATGACCCCTTGTCGAAGCCGAGCGCCGATGTGTTAGACCCAGAAGCGAATGAGAAGCTAGATCAAAATAAGGCAAGTAGCCACAAACTGGAGACCAACATGCTGGAGACAACGATCTTGAAGATTGGGGGGCTATTGCAGTTATGAACAAAGTCGGCGTCTGTCCAGGAATTGATAAAGAAGATGATTACAACTAGCTGCAGTTCCTGTTTTAAGCATAACTTGCAAGGAGGAGTCGCGGAAGTTGCTAGTCTTTCCACCTTCTTTCACTGGAAGGCTTGTGGACGAAGGCTGCATAAAAAATACGCTTTCTGCAAGGCTGAAAATAAACTATATAGTCTATGCAGTAGACTCATCAGAGTAGTTGTATTTGTAACATCCCCATCCCACACCCAACCTCGACTCTCTTCATATTAAGTCGGTTTCGGCGAGGCAGGTGCGCAGATTATCGGCAAGAATATGAGCAGTCAGGATGGCGAATTGAACATTTTGATACCTGGCAGAAAAATCTTTGCGATTTTTGGCTTCTGTTTCATCCGCGATTTCATGGAGACAACTGAATGCTTACTCGAAGAAGTGATGGTATTCGTGAACAAAATCGCTAGAATCGTCCACATCTGCGTGCACGAGTGGGGCGGGGCAGCAAATAAGAACATCGGCGACAGTTTTGTATGGCACGAGAAGAAATCGGATGTCGTTGATTGTTGGTGAAGCAAAAGAACTTCATCATGTTGACTTTACACCTTAATTATGATCTAGTATACAAAGTAACTTTGATTCACTTGTTTCACAGACTGTGAAAAAGGAAATGTAAGTAGAAGAGAAGAAAAACGCATCCCATTCACCTAGTAAACTCAAAGAATTATAGAATTCAACAATGCCTCTAGCTACTCCTACTACTACCACTCTCTCGCTTCATTCTCTTTGCTGACATGGATAGTGAACGACGTCGAGGAGCAAGATTTGATGCTGAAATACGGCTACGAGGACAATCATCAGATGCAAGACCTCGCAGACAAAGCACTAGTAGCTTTCGTGAAGGTGATTTTAAGGCTTAAATAACTATGCATAGTACCTATAAGTAACTCATCTTGATCACCTGCTCCACCTTGACATGTACCTCCCTAAAGGGAGAATGTTGCCCAATGCCCCAAGATGAAGGATAGGTTCAGGGAATCAACAGGAGTCTGGGCTTAGGGAACAAACAACCTCTAAGAAGTGCTGAGTTACGGCGTGCATCCGATCTGCGTGCTTATTCGGCACATCCGAAAATCCAGCAAAGATTCCTGAATAGCTATGAAATCAAAATGGGCTTTGGCTTGCATTGTGGCTGGGCCATCGAGGGCGCGATCGGAAGCGAACACAAAATAGACGCAAGTTATCTCTTATGGATGATTCGCCTAGGAGTCATTCCTAAAGGTTGTATGTGAATTTTTTTACTGAAACCTTCACATCGGTCGTTTTAGAAAGAACTTCTACTTGATGATCATTAACTATCTACGTACAACACGATACATTAATAACTACAACAAAAACGTAATTCCTCGATCTGTACTGAGTCCAAATATGCAATTAAGATGACTCAATAACGTCGCTGATCGCCCGATCAGTTAGCGATTGGCCTTCTTTGATATCTATTCATATCCAGCAACTGTTCTGCCGCCTGTCCTCCCAACAAACCTTCTACATTCACTCACATGCCAAGCAAAGTGATACGAAGACATGAGCGCTAGTTTAAAGCTACAAGAGTCACTTGCTGATCTCTATGGTGCAGAAGTTTTTCTATCGAGAGAATATCTGCGTTATCCCTAAGCTCCCTCTATGACTGCTGAAACTAGGTTTTACCTACAAACTACTTCTACTTCTCCTTGTCGTCCCTCTGCTTTCTCTTTTCTCCCTCTCGTTACTCCTCCTTTTCTGCCTGCTGTACTTCCTCTCCCTTCTTGTGATTCCGCTTCCGCATGTGCTCTGAGGCAAGCCTCCTCTTCAGTAAACGACCTTTCTTCCTCTTACTTCTCTCTCCCTTTCTCTTTCTTACTCGCTTGCCTTCTGAACTTGCTCCTTGCTGCTCAAACCACTCATCACGTATTGCTCCACTCTTACCACCGAGCCAATTAAGGAATTGCGGCTCTTTTTAGGTCTACGAACACATGACAAGACATTACTGAGTGTACTAAACTTCTCAAAAGAATGGTTAACCTTACGAGCGGATCTCTGTTGTAAAGCGCAGGAACTAAATTCTGGTTGTCCCTCTCTTCACGAGTGATCATTACTTCTCGCTGTCGTTCTCGCTTCGCTTCTTTCATCTCGTTTCATAAGCGTTCACCGTGCTTGAGATGTTAGGCTTTGCCTCTGCGGAGCATCGGGGAGCACAGTCCTGCCAGGACTGGAGGTCTTCTATGATTGAGTTGGGGGTGGCGCCTCTTCTCATGAGAAGCCGGGAGCTATAGGCTGCAGGGGGTGCTCACGGCCTATAGCCCTGACCCTCTCTATCACGTTGTGTGGTATGCTCGTCGGTCTGTTCGGTTTTGGTGGTTCTACGATCATTATCTCTACCTCCGATCAGTTCTACCCTTCCTCAGGCTCTTGCATCCCCCCACCACCACCTTTATACTTATTATTAAATAAGTAGAAAATTAACGTTAACCCAAATATAACGGAGAGTAATTACAGACAGCTAGTGGCCAGTTCTCTTCTGGTCTGCCTTCTTCTCCTGTCCAAAATACTCTGAGGATGAGAGAAAAGAACGGAAGTCTTTGAACTTCTACTCAAGAAAGAAATTAGTGACTAACTAATGCCAGCGCCTACAATCTAAACAATTCATCACCCTTCTTATTCATCGTATGAAGATCCGCTTGTTATGAATGTAGCATTTCTTTAAACTTGTTGAAAAATATCTAAGACCAAGGAAACCCTCTCCTTTCTCACCCGTTGTTCTCCCCACCCTTCATTTCACTCGCCGCACGTCAACATGTGCGCTCGTCTTGAAACGGCCACTGAGCAGTACCACGTGGATATGCTGTTCTCGGAGTCTTTCCACGCACTCTTGTCCGCCAAAGCCGCTGATAGGTGCCGTAAAGTCGACGTGGTTATCGTGAAAGGATCAGCCGAACCTTGTGGCATATACACTTACGAAACTACGTCGTGGAGAAATGAAGGAATACATGATACGTGGACCACTACATCACGGGAAAAGTTCTAGTTCAGTTGGACAGCATAACGATGAATTCGCTAGAATAGTTTGATCACTTCCTTCTATCTTGTCGAATCCTCGTTGTAGTACCACAGAAGTACTGTTCCTCGAGACTGCCTTTAGCTTATATTCTTAGCCCATCAAGCACCTAAGAGTACATACTTACTCTAATATGCACTAGACCTGAACGTCGATGCGTGTGTGCTGGCACCCGATGGCCATCAGCCGGGCGAGGTGATCACAAGTGGCGAGATCAGCAAGGAGAGCCTTATCACCAAAGGTACGCAAGAGGTTTATTACCTATACTAACTAGTGCCATCCCGCTGGACGATGGTAGGTTAGTACGGAATTCAGGGCTTCCCAGTATTCCTTTGGTTCGTCACGCACACGAGGAGAGCCACCAATTTGGGCAAGTCCTCTCTTCTAGAGTTTTTCTCCCCATATTGTTTGATCCAGTGTTCTCGCGTTGGCTTACAAGTTCTACTCTTCTGTGGAATCTTGTCTCATCGATTCATCCTGCAGGTAGATGCAATAGGTCTATCAAGGGTGCACAGAATTTAAAAAAACTAGTTTACTATACTAACTAGTTGGATAGTCCTACCTTTTCAACCATCCGCAACACCTCCAATCGTGAAAAACCAAACAGGTGTCCCGCAATCTGATGTTTGACCATACCGCAGGTGTCCCGCAATCTGATGTTTGACCATACAACAGGTGTCCCGAATCTGATGTTTGAGATGGACCAGGACTTGATCCGTATGCAAGAAGGGATCACGGCTGAGTTTCACAGCGCATGGAAACAGGCATTCCACCTTTACATAAACGGCGCGTGGAATCCAGCGAAAGTTATGCTGAGAAGATGAAACTCTTCGGACACTTGTTTATTTATCTTCACTGTAAGAATGTGCTGCTCGTCTAGTTGTAGTTCTTGGGACGACACCTTGACGTTCCTCTGTACCTGTTGGGACACCATAGCCTGCTCCGTAGCAATTTGAATTGGTAGTTAAATTCATCAAGTATTTAAGTATTTAATCCGCTACTGCATTTTCGAAATTGCCACAAGAAAATATTCTTTCATATCCCAAGCGCTTCTTCGGGTGTCACAGATGCGAATGCAGGCGCAGCAAGTGCTCGACGGACCTAGTGAATGTCTCTTAAACTACTTGGCGACCCTCGATTTCACACCTCCCGAAGACTGGGCAGGCTGCCGCAAGTTGGAGTCAAAGTGATGAATTATGACTATGCCTCCTTGCGTTACTAATTTACTTGAAATTGCGTATAGGTTGAACTACATCTTCGACTTCGTTTGTAGTAGTGACTTTAATATTAAACAAAGTGATACCTACCAATACGGTTTTCCTTTCCTTAACTCCCTCAATTGGTAACTACTGTGTCAAACTCAAAAAATCGAAAAGTGACTCAAAAGTAATGCAATACATAGTTTGCAAAACTCAACAAAGCGTGAAAGAACTAGTGATTCCTTTATGACAAGTTTTGAAACTGCAACTAGTGTCAAGTAATTCTATCTTCAACGAACTACGTCTATGTTTTTTTTGCAATTCTCCACACAAAAGTTCTCCTTACGCGTATGCACCATCATTGTAGAGATAAGAGTAGGCGGGAAAAAAACTTGCCTTGCTTCTCATGACGACCGGCCACATGTTGCAGCTGCACGTGAGCATTCTAGAACTCTTGCGCGAAGCCGCATAAAAGCGATGGGTAAAACGGAGCTAACACAACCACCAGAAGACGCGCTTGTCGTTGTAAAAGCCAAGCAGAAAATTCCTGAGGGTCACAAAATCACATCAGAGGTGACGTAAACCTTCTGAATGTTCGTAGGATTACGAGAGAAAATTCCGTTTGGCAACAACGACAGGTCAAAAGTGACACGTAGATGAGTTACAACACCTTGATGTCAACCATGATGACAGAGGGAATTAGAATTCCATGGAAACTTACTTTCCTTTAGACCCGAAGCATTCCACATCAATTCATGAACATCATGAACTAGCTACTCTTAGTCGTTTTTATCACATCACCACCAGCGCCTCCACAGGTTGTTCTTATCAGCCTCCACCCAAAAAATGGTGCTCCCTCCATCGGCCCGCATAGTGTCCTGCACCGAAATGCGGACAGAGGCCCAAGAAAACACAACGCCGCGAGCAAGGAAGGCCACCACGCACTGCTGGAGTCCATCCGCGCAGCAACGCTCACCAAGCCCCAGTCCGACAAGCTCGACTCTTCAAGCTAGAATTTTTAAGGGAAAGGGTCGTCGTGTGTGAAGAAATCCATCTTTGTTCCCAGCATCTTGGCCTCATTTTCTTGAAGGGGACGAAAGTGGACCAAGATGCTCCCCTTGGCCGGGATGGATTTCCTACGTGGCTAATAGAGGCACTTCTTCCGGAAAAGAACAGTCTTCCAGTCTGCGTCGACTCGTGCAAATACCTAGACGAGGAGAAAATCCGGCTGCCACCGACTCCTTGAATGAAACTGTCGATCAGCTATTGCACCGCACTCAACAACTGCTTAACGTGGACCACGGAGATGATGTTGAGTTTCATCGTAGTGGTCATCAAGTAACTTCTGGACCTGTCGTGTCATCTTCAAGCGACGCAGCACTTCCGAGTTTTCCGAGCTTCACGGCAATGCCTTCGGTGGTGCAACGCATTGTGGATCAGCATGCTAGTGCGGCTTCGGAAGAGGACGAGACAGCGAGTAGTTGCTAAGTCTGATAACTCAAGAATTTTTGAGGAACGACTGCCTGATAACTTTTGCTCCTTTCCTCGAGTCTCTCTCAATTATGTTGCTGTCATCTTCAACGTGCCGACTTCTCTAGGACATCACTGCATATTGTCGTAACAAGTGCGTCATTCTCAGTCATAAAAACTGCAATGTTGAATTCCCTGCCCATCCAACAGGAAACATGAGCCTGCGGGTTCAAGAACTGGAATCGAAGTTGCAAACCCTCGAGTCCTTGGTCCAGAACGCTATTAGGAGTGAGCAACCTCAATCGCTTAGTGACTCACAAACGGTGCGCAAAGAACAAGTGTCACTGATTCACACTGCAGTTGATCCCGGACATCAAGTGGAACGCTCTCAAGGGCGATCAGCAGCGACAAATGCGCTTCTAAGTGCGCGCTTTTCCGTGTGGAAGCCAGCTGTCCAGACGACGACGACTTCTGGTGCAACGACTGCAACATCAAGCGCCTTCACAGCACGACCGATTACGAGCAGCAGACTATTCCCAGTGGCATCTTCAAGGAGTGACATGCCACATGCACCTGCAGCAACAGCATCGGTTATTCCTAAAAATCATAAAGGAACATCTCATTCTCATATGGCAACATCAAACGACGGCAGAAACAGCTCAACAAACTTGAGTAAAAAAAATGTAACAGTGCATCTTGTTCCAACCGCAATGAAACAGATGGAAAAAGCAGTTGCGAAGTCACCGAAAGAGAAGGTGGCACCAGCAAAACTGGAGGCCACTCCTCGTGTGATTCACACAACGCGTATGACACTGGCGGGGCCGCGCGTCGGGAAAATCGGCGCCCCGCTGCCAGCTCAGGCTGCTCAAGCTGTTTCTATGACACCATCCTCCCAGGGCATCATGATTAATGTCGATACAAATGCATCTTCAAAGTCACAAGTGGTCGCCTCCCAGCAGCGTTCCCGATCGCAGGACTATCGCCAGACTCTGTTCTCCACTGCCATGAATTCCACTTCTTCTTCGTCTGCCAGAATAAATTCGTATTATTCGACCACGCCACCACCGCGGGTACCACGAACTACGAATTTCGGGAGCCAACATGGCAGACGAAGCGGCAGTCCTGGTCTTCGGAACGCATCACGATCACCAGGAACGAGACGAAGTGGCAGCCCAAAACAAGTTGTCGCATTCGCAAGTACTTCAAGTTCAACAGTAAGAAACAGGAATAAGAACAGCAATGCCAATGATCTACTTCTCTTTACTTCCAGCAGTTCCAGTCAAGAGCAAAAATCTGCCGTTTCACTGTCGACAGGTCGATCGAAGACGTCGCGGACCTATGCCTTCCCAGAGTCGCCGGGAGCGCGACAATACACACAAGCAGCCAGTCCGAAGCGCGACTTTCCGACACTGTTGCCAGAAGAGCAAGAAACTGAAGCTGAAGGTAATGGACGAATAGCAATACATCAAAGTGAAACAACAAAAGAAGAGAACAATGACCTCCACGCCCAGGTAGGACTAGGATCCCAGGTCACGACTCGCAGCGCAACCTACAGCACTTCTCTACCAACTACTGGAGGAAATTCTGCTGTTCCACCTAAAAATCGTTTCACTAGAGTCGCTGCAAGCGAAACGGCTGCTCCTGGGCAAAAGGGAGGAAATGATAACCATGTTCTAGTTGTAAACTCTTGTGGTCCATCTCCCACTGAGCAAATGGTGCGTGCATCCTTCAGTCGGGCATTAGAGACGTCATCAAACGCGTCCGCGCCTCTCATTCCGATTCTTCCGACTGCAGAGTCGCTCACTCCTGGAGTAGCTTTACGAGCTCCGTCACCGATGTCTCCGAACGCCTCTGCGTCGTTGACACCATCTCCGAAGTATTCGCAACTAGGGAGTAGTAGCAGTACTATGAATGCAGCAAATAAACTTATTGGAAGCGGATGTGGACCTGCGAATGCAACGACCTTACAGAGCAAGAGCCCTGGTTGTGCTAGAGATATTCACTATTTAAGGGTAGGCTAAAGGTGCTTTTGTTACCGTTTGTGATGGCTCTCCTAAGGGGGACAGCCATAACAAGCGGGATAAACGAACACCAAAAACCTACCTCTAAACTATGTAGCGAGCATGAACAAAGCAGGAGTGTCCCCAGCAAGTCGCAATCCCAATCCGGCAAGCCCTGGCTTAGACCTAGAGCAGGTCCTGGGTGCGAATGCCGAGATGATGAACGAGAGGAATAATAAGGCTTCTTCTAGTTATACTAGTACTGCGCAGTATAGAAGTACAGCATCTGCATCGTTTTCGAATGGTGCGACTCCAGCTCCAGACAATCACGATAGGAAGAAAATCAGTAGAGATAGTGGCATGCCCAATGCGCAATTATCTGGCTCTGCCTACGTTCTTGATGGAAGAGCAACACGTGGCTGCGATCAGTACTACTTGCCACGTTCTCGGGTCGAGCGCTCTTTGCGTGCACGCGAGGAAATCTCAAAGCATAGGGCTGAAACGCGCATGGCAGTAGACAACGCTTACGAGACGAAAACTACACCCAACAAACGCACAAGCACAACGCCAAACAAGGCGACCCATAAGGCTGGGGATGCCAGTCACATTGCGGCAAGGCGGACACAAAGTAGAACTCCGCCTCCGACGGGACGCGGTCGCGCGATGCAACAGGACAGTACCAGGCTCAATACGATAAAGACGTCGCAGAAACTCCAACTCCAAGGCCAAGATACTAGAGCGGCTCCACTACCTCCACAACACTATAGTCCTTCATCTAGCGCTCAGCAGATGAAGCAAAAGCGTCAACCAGTCGCCAAGAAAGGCCCGCGACAACGCTTAGCTACGTTGCTCGAAGATGCAGAAGAAGACGCTCCTAGTATGGCGACAACTCCTGCCAAGATAGGTGGAAAAGCAGTAGCTGGCTTCAAGAACATCCCCATGGTTAATATGGAGGAATTAGACTGTAAGACGAGGCGACAGCATGTAGTTCTCGGTCTGAGATCTCCGGAAGACGAGGAAAAACAGCACGGACTTCTACAGAGGAGCAGCAAAGAGAAGGGGGTCGTAGGTGGGCAAGAAAGGGACAACTCCAAAGGGGGGCGAACTACAAGAACAGGGTTTACACCAGGGCAGCAGGAGAAAGTACAGCGACGATATCATCAAATAGATCAACGAGCTCAAGTCTTCGTGGAGAATCCACCTCCCAGTGAAAAGACCAGTGTCGAGAAGAGACCTGCACTAGTGAAGCGTGCAATAGAAGCATCCAGTAGACCAGCATCCAGTAGACCTTGCTCTCCACAGGAGCTCTTTGACAGGAACGTCATTTTGGTCCGTGAAACCGTGTCCCGCGATGGGTCACCGCTGATGCGCAGCAGAGAATCTAACATCGTCGCAGAAGAAGTGCCACTGCAGCTGGACCTGGACGAAATAACTCATGGTAGTTACAGTACAGCAAAAGCAAACAGGACGTCTCTGGGTCCTGGAAGAAGTAAACCCCGGTATGACTTTTCTCCCCATCTTCGTGCTGTGGGAAGAAAACGACAGGTAGACCGAGACGCAAATCTTCAAAATATTAATCATTCTAGAAGTATTCCTGGTGATATTACAACTGCGAATGATAGTAGTACTGGTACGGTAAATGGTGCTTGCGCAGCTATTCAGTGGTCACCAAGAACAACAGTACGACAACGCTATCCTGGAGATGTGGTTGCCGAAGCACGTTCAGACGTACAAGCAAAGAGAACGACCCCGAATCAGCACAGTACTGCGGCATCTACAACAGCAGAGGTTCAGCGAGTAGTGGAGAGCAACATTGCTGTGATTCACATGTTACCGGAGAAGGAGGGAGGTCTTAGAAGTAGTGACGCAACTGCTGCTGCCACGCCTAGTGGAGAAATGACCAGGGAGGGAAGCCGCACGCCATCGCCAACACGCCGTGCTATCCGAACCATTAAGTCACAACATTTTTCCTCGGCAATGATTCACTTCAAAATTTGCATATCATTTCAACTTGTATGGATCTACTTATCATGTTCTCCCTTTATCGTTGTCCATCATGACTGTAGACCTCGGAAATGAATCCTCCTGAGCTTTAAACCCGGTGCGTCGCGTTTCGCAGTGCAAGGGCCGCCAAGTGCGACACCAAAGAAGGGACAGCGCTTTATCCGCATCAGTGAAGCAAGTGCCCCGAGCCCGTAGGCTGCTCCAGCGAGCGCGTGAGTGATAGACGATAATCTCCGAGAAGTAAGTGCGAATCTAGTCAGGTCGATGTAACCATAAGTTTCAACTCTTCGACGAGCAACACAGTCCTTGATAACATCAACACAGTCCTTGATAAAATTTAACATAGAAAATATAATCAGTAAGTATGCTGTAGACTACCACTTCAGTAATTTCTTGTGATCGTGCCATATATACTATACTAGTAAACGTCGTAAATCATATGCAAGGAGAATCTGCTTCTATTGATATAGTAATCATGCAATACGCTAACATTGAAAGAGAATGAAAATCGAAACATTACAAGATGATTAAAATTGAAAGAGTAATTTTATGCAATTGTATTAACATGCAATTTAACACGTAAATTACTCTTTAACACGTAATGAACATTGAAATAGAATTCAGAGAGAAAGTGAAATCTTTGCAGAAACGTAAGACAGTACTTACAAGAACTAAGCGGTGCAGTCATTTTATATTTTTTTAAGTGTATTAGTGAATCTTCTAGTAGTCGAAATAGAGGCGCGCTTTGTTGATATTGTTCATCTCGTAATTCTATTTATAAATGAAAACATTAACACTAAAACAGCTGTCCTATGGTTAGAAGAAGATGTCTATACTTAGGAAGAAGATGTGTATACCAGGAGCGATAAGGCATGGCGAACAATTTGATTTTTAGATCGTCACTTCTTGACGATTCTTGTATGCTAACTATTGTTGTTTGTTGCGTCAGTCTTGTACAGCATGATGTCCTAGTCTTCAGAGTAAGAAGGCAGAAGAAAAGTTTTTTTCGGAAGTAGCAACTTACTTCATCTGAGTAAGCAGGTAAAACTGTGGACGGCGGACTGAATCCGAATCCTAATCCTAGAGTAAGCTCGCCAAAACTAGCAATCTGGCGTGAGTGAGGTCCTTGAACTTGCACGCAGACGCTCGTCGGTAAAGATCAGCATGTGACGCGTAGTTACAAGAAAGAGACCGAGAAAGGCACCAGAAAACGCAGGATCAACATAGTACCAAGTACTAAATCCGTCATTCTTCACATTTGCGGATCTTCTGGCAACAGCTCTGGTTATTTCTCAAGACCTTGTTCAAGAAAAGGGATATTCTCCTTTGCAAAACTGATACTATCAATATATTCACACACTTGAAAAGATAGTAATTCTGTCCTCAAGCAAGATCCCACCTGTCCGAAGATCCAGTAATCGTGCTTATGCTAGCTCCCAGCAACAAGTGATCTAGGATCCCGATCCCCTGCTGCTAGAGCTATTTTCCTAACAAGTCTAAGCGAAAATCATCTAATCATTGATTTTGCGCAAAAATTAAAATTCTTCATATCGTATACCCGCCTGAGTGATAGATCCTCGACGTAGTACAAGCACTACAAAACTCAACTTCTTCGTTCAACATTCTTGCATCGATTTCATGATATTCCCGACAACCCTATCAATTCCTCTTTCTTATCTCATTTTTATCCCAGGTTATGGCACGCGGAGCACCAAGAAAACAGTTGTACTAGGTAGAGGACTTCTTGTATCAACATCGTAGATTGAGCGTAGTAGTAAGTCCCTCTTGTTCTAACATACCTACCGTACACACAGCAAATTTACCCCGTCCCCCAAAGTATTTTTTTCAGTATCTTCGAGTCTAAGTTTTGGTTACCTGTACTAGTTAGAATTCGTCTCATCTTTCGTTTTGTGTTTTTGTTTTGAATTGTCTAAGTGCCGGCTCCTCCTGCTACAACCAGCTAGAAGCTTGCTACTAGCATTTCGCTTCCGAAAGTAGCGCCACGCAGCCACCTCCTTCGCATCCTTGATCTGAGTACGGGAGTTGTAACTACATCTGGCTTTAACGTTAGGCCTACTCCGTTGTTTGCTTCGATCAGTATCAGTGGATCCCGCCCTATGATATCTTTCAGAGACGCCGCTGATATGACGCTTTTATCTTCACCGAAGCTCATCGTAAAAAGGACAGCCAACTACGGTAAAAGGAAAAGACTCATTCTCTGAGACAACTACCGGTAGTTCTAGGAGGTCATCCTTTATGTTCTAGTATTCGCAGGTACTGCCCTCTCCGGTAGTTCTAGGGAGTCATCCTTTATGTTCTAGTATTCGCAGGTACTGCCCTCTCCGGTAGTTCGAGGGGGTCATCCTTTATGTTCTAGTATTCGCAGGTACTGCCCTCTTCCCTCGGTCATCCTTTATGTTCTAGTATTCGTAGGTACTGCCCTCTTCCCTCCTAGCCTAGCTGAGGCTACCCGCAGCTTAACCAACCCGAACCAGCCTCAATCTCTGCACGGAGAAGCATCAACCTCCTCTCAGTCGGGCAGCATTGCTACCAGTATTGCCGCTTACGCACCGCATCCAAGGATCATACAAAATCTATACGGTCGCTTTGTCAACAGTTGTCAAACTGCTCTCCGGAAGCATAGGATCTCCTTTTTTGGGTTCGTGTAAGTGATCAGCATGTCGACGCCAGCAGCCACACTTGGAGTGCCGCCTCTTGCCGGCAACAGCAGCACCCCCCTATTCCAACCTCCTCCAGCTCCACCTATGGCACTGCAGCACGGCCGCAGTGTCCCGAAATTCATCGTTTCCGGCGTCGGGCCTCGGGACACGTGGCTCCAGGCTGGTCGCTTCCGCGGTGACGCTCCGCGCACGTACTTGACCCTCGCCCAAGAGGAGAATATGTACGCCTGCCTGATGTTCTTAACTGGCATTCTAGTGGCTTGGTTCGGCATCCGCCAGGCCATCCGGCAGTACAAAGTAACGCCGAAAGCGCGTGCCTTGATGCGCACTTACGGGTTCTGGGAGTACAAGGAGCACGGCGCATCGGACAAGGAGAAGGCGGACTGCATGCGCTTAATCCTCAGTCACTCTAGCAGGGATTTGAGCTCCATTATCGCGGACACCACGCAGCTCCCAGGACAAGTTTTTTCGGCTTGCTTAACGATGGCGGCAATCCTGACGACTACAGTCAATTTGAGCGTCGTAAACTACGCCAAGGTGGACGTCACACAGGTACTTCCAACAAACAACTACAAACTTACTATGTCAAAGCTTCAGTTGACGTCACGCAGGTACATGTAAATTAAGATCGAACCTCTACTGTACACAGTCATTCTTGCTTATACTCCACTATAACATAGATCATGCCTGGACTAGACTAGTTATACCAACTTCCTTAACTCAAACCTACAGTACTAGCAGATCTAGACTAATTATACTAATGTTCTTATAACTAAAAATTATTATATATACCCCATGAATAATGGGAGGTACACAACTACTACTACCGCTTAACCCAAACGATGAAAACAACCAGATCATCTTCACTGTTATCAACTGGGTTCGCAAGTGCTCACTCCTGAGTTTTGTGATGATCCTGTATTTCCCGATCCCCATGGACCACGACTACTGGACTCACTGTCGCGAATCCGGAAACAAGCGGCGCATGACGTTGAGGGAAATCCGCAGGAACATGCAGCGCAACAATGTGGAGCCCTTTGTTACGGCTTCCCCTAATGGTAATATATATGTATGATCTCCCATTTTGAGAGAAGTCATCCTAGGTCGGAAAGAGGGTTTTATTCAAGGAGAACAAATATAGGGAACCTCTGCAGGATGTTGTACTATCTCAAAGCATAGTACTGTATGTTGTATACTACCTGTTGTACTATCTCAAGATGGACGGACTCAAGCCGGCTCTAACGTTGTCCGATCCAAGTTCCACTTCCTCTCGGCCAGCCTGGTCGCGTGCCTGACTCCGATCAACTTGCTAATGCTCGTGATCGATTTGGTACACTTTTTTTGGGAGGTTGGGAAAGGCTACGACTTCTACCGCAACAGTATGGCGCAAGCCGATGTGGACGGCTGGTTCCAGAAATTCATGACCGGCGAATACATTGGCCCCATGCACGAGCGGTGCAGCATGAACGAGGGCTACGCGGCCTATCCCTGGGGCACCACCCTGTACTGCGCCGTACCCACGCCCTACGTGTGGCTGTCGCTCTCCGTGCTGCGCTTCAGCACCATCTTGCTCAACCTGCACACCGCCAGGCGTGTGCACCAGCACTGGAGTGACTGCAAACCTGGAGAAAAAGCCACCATGCAAGGATTCCGAGGGGAAGTGTGCTTTTTCAATTATGGCTCTTATATGAATATAATTTCAAGGCAATCTTTTTGAGAATCAGAAGAGGAGTGTGCTTTATTTTCAATTACCAATTATATCATGTTGAAGACGCTAGTAAAGAAGTACTACTACAGACTCGTGTCGTATTAAAAACAAACTTCTCAAGTCTCTTTCGCTAATGCCTGAGTATGCTTCGCGAGAACGCCTTAGCCGCAGTTGCAGGAATGTTTGCTCCGTATGCGACGTACGACACCTATTCCTACAATTTCTACTTGCTGCAGCGCGAGATCCGACCTGGCTCCTTGTCTCCGATCAAAACTTGGTGGAACACCTTCCAAAACAACTCGACCCGCACCGCGCTGGTCTTGCTAGCAGCCGGATTCTTCTTCAGTTATGGTACACGTGAAATAGCGGTGACAGTAACGAGGTTCTTGCTCTGGTGTCTTTAGCAAAGAAGTCCGACTGGTGGGTAAATCAAATGACCTATTCTGCTTCTGTATGGAGTTTAAACGATTTTACTACCTCTGTATAAGAAGGATCATAATCTGATGTTGATCAAAACTATGTTAATAATCTTAATCTTTTTAGAAGATCTACATTGTGCTGTACAGCTTGGACTACAAGTAATTATTTGTCAAGGAGTACTTGTCAAGGATTACAAGTAAGGCAGGTTATCTTAATTCCACAACCACATCGCACTTGTTCTTCCTCTTTCTGCCTCCACTTCTAATCCCGTTACATTCCATGGCTAGTCGGGCGAATACGGGTCACCTTGCGAGATTTCGATTACACGGATGAGGAGCTGGCAAGAATGTTCGATAAAAGTTGGGCCTCCCATGAGGAAGAACTCGAGTTGACGATTTACAATAAATTCATCAACCAAGAGAAAAGTCAGGACCTAGACTCTGGGGATGATACAGAGAACGAACAGGATTTTGTAGTCGTGCAAGGCTACCCGTATACACAACCTGGCGTTACTAGGGTGGAGGAAGAAGAAAATTATGGACATTTGGTTGAGGACGCGGAAAGGGAAATTCATGAAGGAATAAGTGGCCGAGAAGAAATCACATATGGTCATGAAGCTCCAGCAGGTGATAGGCTTAGAGACTCCGATATTCTAGGAGGACATCAATCAGAAAGCAGTGGCAGGGTACAACAACCACGAAGAAGTGCTGCACTTCAGGGAAATATTAAAGTAGTGCACAATCAACGGCTTCGTAGGAATCGACGTGTTGCTGAACAGCCGTACCAGACCGGTGAAAATCGAGGCAACGCAGACAATGGACTGCCTCGTCAAGCGTCTAGACCACATCCACATCGCAAAGTCGACCAACAGGAAAGAAGAGCAAGCCATAGCCATTTAGATGTCACGTCAAATGCCCCCCCTCCCGAGCTGTTGTATCAAGATGGAGGAAATGATGGGCCGAATTTCGAAATCAACACCAGTCTATCTGCCATGCTTCCGTGGACCCGCAGAGCTGCGAGTCCGCTGACTCAGAGAGGCGCGCGAATCTCAACAGCAATCATACCGAGGAGAGAAAGAGACGCGAACGAACACCATGTTGGAGATGACGAAAGTGAAGCCCTAGAAGCCCTGTTTACCCGAACGGCCTCGGCTCCATCGCCTCCTGGGGTGACGGGGAGCGCCAGAGTGGACCGTCCTCGGAGATATTCCGCGTCACTGGCAGAGTTGGAGCAAAAGAACCATGACAACTTGCTCAAGCGTCAGGCAAGTCGGGACGCTGCGGGCAGAGCGTCCTCAGCTCGCTCGCCAAATGCTCACGTCGTGTGATTCGAACTGTCCGCGCGACTCTTGCGGCTGAGGTGATGAGTGCTGAGCCCCGAAACACTATAGGCACCGACAGTGACAGAGCAGGGCATTCAGTACAACTACAACTGCAAGGCATTAAGTACAACGACATGAGCAAGACATCGCTCTTTCACTTACAGCTACAACTACATGATGACGTTGAGACGCGTTTTTTCAGCTTCGGGCAACTGGTGATCTCTCCAACAAACGGGTGTCGACAATGGCATCTCTCGATGAAACTTGGGTGTGTTCTGCATTATAGCCTCTGTCACAATTCTCGTGGCCTCTGCTAGTCTCCTCACTCTCACACTAGCCTCTGTCAGTATTCTCATGGTTTTTGATCTCAATTCCAGAGTAAGTGCATCTTCTATCCTCTTGAAGTCAAAAGGAATCGGTGAGAGGGAAAGCAACACAACTAACGTCTGCACTCCTGTTACGTGATCTGTGTAATCGCTGTCATCGAGTGTGGGCCCTCTTGTTGGAGTGATAACCGAGTCATTGTGTCGCCAACGTGCATGGACGCATTCGCATGCATACATGCTACAGATCGCTTTTCGTTTTTTCACCATACTTGGGAGATGTAGTACGCGACCTTGTAAACGCGCATTGGAAAACAAGCAAATGATTACCGATGAAGTGTTGCTGCTGCAGCGCGACTTGATCTGATGGAGACTCTGAGAATGCTGAAGCCTTAGCACAGGGTATGACTATTTGGCATAGAAGGGCACTCTTCAAATTTTGTTGCATGTACTTTTTTTTTGCTTCATTGGCTGTTTCTGACAGATTGGAGGGAAGAGAAATGAATGAAGAGTATCTGGTTTATCGCCGCCATTCTTTTATCCTGTAGTACAGACCCTGGCGCGAATCGAATGGAAGCGTTAGAAGCTGGGTGGATACTAGGGAAACATCGACTGAAATACGAGCTATTCTAATTAGACTTGTACTTTAGTGGGAAATTGTTGAACTAGTCTACTGTCTACTCTGTTCTGTGCAGATTGAATTCTAACTGTCTAATCCGACACTCTTTGTAATGATTCTAAACGTTTGGCATGTTGCTAAATGGTCCTTTGATGCTTTTACCTTTACGCTGTGACTTCTGTGCAGAACAGTGGCACAATCTATTTCACTTTGAAAGTTACGACATTGCGGCAATACTTCGATTGAATATACTTACACACTCACAGAGAACTTGCTCAGTTTTCTCAATGATCCTGAAGCCTGACTGGGATACAAACATACGAGAAACAATAGATACGCGCCCTGTCGCTGAGACAAACGTCGCTGCGTCGTAGATCTCCAGCAGCCTGTAACTATTAGGTGTCCTCGACTCGCTTGCACTCGTACTCCAGTCGCGCACCTAGCCAAGACCGGTGGCTTCTTGGCGAGTACCTGGTTACGAACCCGCACCTCCCCCAGGCCGAGTGATCAGTTTTCAAGATATTAAGAAACCTCCCACGCCTTCATCTAGTTGTCACGGTTTTCGGCCGGAGCCCAGTCCCAGTCCGAAACTGCGAAGAATGCACTGCTGCCCTCCTCCGCCAGGCGTTCGGTTGCAGGTGCCACGTCGTGCGGGGTGCTACTGCTGGAAGAAGCAGGAAGGGTAGCGTCGCGGCTGTCACCGTTCTCCTTGGCGAATGAAGACGGCGACAGGCGGCTCTCACCGGTCTCTGCGTACTCCTCCCCCACCATTTCATCCGCGAACGGATCCGCGTCGTAGTTATTTCCTTCATCGCTGCGACCCGCAAGAAACGGCATGCCCTCAGGCACTTCGAGGAACGAACGCATGCTTGTGTCTGGACCAGGCTGGTCACCATCCATCGGCCCCAAAAGAGGCGGTGCGCCCACTGGAGAGGGCGGCAGGAGCGGTTGAGTCGGTTGCGGTTGCGGTAGCGGTACACGTTCACCAAATAGGCCATCGACATTCACCGGCAACTCCGCAGGGGCGTCCGATGGTGGCGGCACGTCCGAACCCGATGGACTTCGTGGCGGTCGCGGTGGCCTGGCAAACTTCGGAAGGGGCATCACCGATGGATGCGGTACAACTATGCCATCGACTTCCTTGACAAGGGCGTCCAAGTCCCGCTTATTCTGGTCACACGTCATCGCATGCGTCACTAGCGCAGTGAGGAACTCCCGGAAGAAGTGGATGCTGGGCTGCAAAGCTTCAACAACGCCCGGGAACGGAATTACTGGAATTACTGGCGCACCCTCTGTCGGGTCTATTTGTTCTCCCTTCGAATCGTCTAGCAGTGCTACCCAGCCATCTGCAACTCTTACACCATCACGCACTCCCCTTCTCCAACACCAGCGCACTGCGCTAGAGTCGACTCGAAATATCTTAGAGCCTGACAGAGGGTAGAGACGCTCCTCGCCAAAGCCCGTCCACTTGATTGCGCCCGAGTCATTATGGCTGCACAGCCCGAAGAACCTCGAGCACAACACGCTCCCAGCCGCAGAATAAAGACTAATCCCGACAGCCCACGCGTCAGACTGAAAAACATCCAGACTCCACAGCCGATCCGTGTAACCCGTCAGGATCGCTTCAGTACTTCTAGCACCGCTTTTGGATAGCTCCGGACCTGCACCCGCTGCCAGTAGAAGTTTGGGATCCTTGTACCACAGCGTCCCCTCGTATCGAACGTCCAGCGGAACTAAGTTCCACGCCATTCGCACAATGAGAGGAAAGACGGGAAAAACATCAAGGAGAAGAAGCTGCCAGCATTTAAATAAACTGTAATAATATCAAGAGAAAAAGTCAGCCAAGCACTGCAAAAATTCAGACAGCAGTCAATCTCGCCGGGCAGGGTAAGAATCTCAAAAACACTCGCCGCCCATTCTGCTCCCTTACCGAAAACCCTCCCACAATTACCAGCAAAAGGCCTCAAGCATGACCAGGACACCTGCGCCCCCCCCCATAATCTCCCGACGCATGCCCTTGCCCGCTGTGGTGGATTCTAGAGGGGCGCGGGGACACACAGAAAACAAAAACAAGAGACAAACGAACCTGAAAAAAGGCAAGCGGGGCAAAACGCTAAGCAGAGCACTCCCGCGACGGTACGTATGGAGGCAATGCTGACCGTTTTCGAGCGGTGCCTAGTAAGTTGGCTTTTCGCTTAAGTGATACATAAAAAGTAAACACCTACTGAAAGTTGAGACAGCCCGAGTGGCGAGTGCTAGCAACTATACACACAAAGATAAACAAAAGTGGCACTTCGAATATTTATTCGATGAATTTTCGTCATAACGCCTGCTTCTTCATTTTTTTTTCGGTTAGTTGGAAGCGCGGCGCCAAAGTCTGTGAGGCGCAGTCTGTAACTGGTGACAGCGCCTGCGCCTTCGTCTTGCTGTTGTTCTACTACAAGAATGTTATCTGGTTTTATGTCGCGGTGCGCGTAGCCAAGAGAGTGCAACCTGGAGACAGCTCGCACAAGATCACGTGTAAATCCGGCGAACAAATGAAACCAAAAAACAGCCTCGTTGGTTCCTTCCTCGATACCTGCAAGGAGCTGGCCAAAGTCGAATTTGGTGATAAAGGATTGCATATCGCCGACCGGGAAGTAGTCTTGGACGTAAACGATGTCGAGCCCCTGGATGGAAGTGGGTGCAACCCAAACCTCGTGCGTCGGTGCCACCATATCTGTCATGCTCTTGCTAACGTCAAGGTTGATGCAAATTTCCGTGAGTGCTTTTTTGACTGCTCCAAGACCTCCCCTAGCCCAATTTCGTCCGGTGAGGTGCTGAACAACATCTTCGGTGGTAAGCTTAAGCTGTTTGGCTAGTCCGTTTTCTAGTCTAAATTTTGCTCCATAGAATAAGATTTCTGACTGTAGTCGCCTTCGCAATGAGTGCTCCAATCGTGGCACGGGATGGGGTGCGTGCATCGGAGCAGTTGTATGCCGCAAAGCATACGTCTTCGTCTGGTCTTTTTTATCTTTATCTAGGGTCATTTCATACAATGTCGCCTCGCGGGACTGCACATGCACGCCCATTCTCTTGACGTACTCGCTGACGGCGGCAGTCTTCGCCGTCTCCGACGTATCTTCTTGCAGCTTTGACTTTGACGCCATCTCATTCTTCACCTTGTCCTGCACTTTCCGCAGCTTTGACTCTTGTTGCGGGACCTGGAGGTGCCACATCACTTTCCTCAAGTCATAGCAACGCGCTTTGTCCTCTGATTGGCCACCATCTTCATCTGCAAGCGACAGGATCTTCCAACGCGAGTCCATTAGGACTTCACTCAGACGGATATCAGGAGGCCTTCCCTCGTTCTCCAACCACTTGTTTTCCTGTTCTTGTTGTACAGCTTCCTCTTGCCTATTCGACTCCTTATTTTCCTGTCCTTGCTCTACACCTTCTTCTTGCTTGTTCAACTGCTTTTCTTGTCCTTGTTCTACAGCTTCTTCTTGCTTGTTCAACTGTTTTTCCTGTCCTTGTTCTACAGCTTCTTCTTGCTTGTTCAACATTTCCACTCGATTCTTCAGTTTCGAGACGTCTACCGCGGCAACTATGAAGAGCAACTGCAACAGCACTGGCACAATCTGCTTCACAAAGAGCAGCCGAGTACGTTGTAAGCCAGACCGTTTTCTTACTTTGTCAGACTGGGCGCAAGGTGCCTGCTGGCAAGTGTCGGCCAACCTATTACGCCTCGAGGTCGAGATTGCAGATGGTAATGGCAGCACTGGTTGAGCTGATTGTAGCAATGTACTCCTGCAGAAGCCAGTGATGAAGTTGATGATTTTATTTTTAGCATTTCCCAAGACTACTGTTACTAGAAGAAGGAGGCGCACAAGAACTACTTGGAAGCTCTGCTTCACATAGTGCAGCCCGGTGCCGTTTGAGGGAGCCAACTTCCGCCCTTCTTCAGGCTGCGCGCAGAGCAGCTGTCGGCAAGTGTCGGCATGCCTCCCACAACTGAAGATTCCTAGTGGTGGCGCTGATGATGGCGGTTCTGGTGGTAGCAGCAGTGTACTCCTGCAGAAGCTACCAGTAACGAAGTTGATGATTTGACTTTGAACATTTCCCAAAACTCGTACTTGTACTTCTTCTAGAAGAAGAAAGTGCACTAGAACCACTGGTAAGATGGAGATGCCCACTCCAGACCATCTTTTTTGATCCACAGCGAAAATGGTCCAGCATGCGAAGAGCGAATCGCGGGCCCAAGAGGCGCGTGATCTGCGACGGTCGCCGACAAGCGCAACAAGATAGAGGTACGTGGCAAAACAAGCTGCTAGAGACGCGGTTGCCGAGAAACAGAGAGCGGCGCCAGGCGAACCGGAGAATTCGCAGAGAGCGGCGCCAGGTGAACCGAAGAATTCGCAGAGAGCGCCACCAGGTGTGTCGCCGAATACCACAGGCGTTACATTGCTCCACAAAGGCACAGCGTTTTCCAGCCGCAGGCTGCAACCAGTGTGCAGGTATAGATTAGTGCTAGTCTAGTCTCATTAGCCCTAGTCTAGGGAGCAACTTATGTGACGGTCGCCTTGATATCAAGCGTAAGTAATTGCGACTCAGAAAGAGGCCTCAAGCAGCTGGAGAATAAAGTACTAGCCTGCCTTAAATAGAACTGCCAACAAGACGACCGACGCAACGAAGGAAAAATCGCTGGCGTATTTCCGACCGCATGGGTCCTCGAACGCGCAAGTGGTCTCCGAAAACGATCGCGGCTCCAGCGCGAGACCGTGTCGTAAGCACAAACCGGTGTGCTCCCATGGCAGAGACCCGTCATCGCCGATCATCACACCAAACGGCGATGCCAAAAACGTCAGAAATATTGACACGAATAACAGCATCCTCCACGTGCATGAAAAGTATAGCGATATCCAGTCGCAGCCATCTGCTGGATCCAGTAACGAAAGCGACGGCCCGCTGGCGGGTACTCGCGTACAGGTGCAGTCGACGTTCTGTGGTGCGCTAATACTTCGCTGCTGACTGACGTCGTCTACTAATGTTTCTAGTCGTGACGTTAAGGCAGTACTTCTTTGTTCAGCGCCATCGCCCTCTCCTGATGTTAGCCTGGACGTATTAGAAGCACTTCTTCGCTGACCGACTTCGCCTTCTACTGAAGTTAGTCTGGACGTACTGGCAGCACTTCTTTGCTGACCGCCGTTGTTGTCTGTTGAAGTTGATGTTAGTCTGGACGTACTGGCAGCACTTCTTTGCTGACCGCCGTTGTTGTCTGTTGATGTTAGTCGGGACGTACCAGCAGCGCTTCTTTGCTGACCGCCGTTGTCGTCTGCTGATGTTAGTCGGGACGTACCAGCAGCGCTTCTTTGCTGACCGCCGTTGTCGTCTTCTGATGCTAGTCGGGACGTAATGGCAGCACTTCTTTGCTGACCGGCGTCGCCATCTACTGATGCTATTTTGGCATCATGAGTTCGGTCGTCCACTGCCAATACAGGGCTGCAGAGCACGTCCGCGCACTTCTCATGCAGCGCCAACCTCATCCGCGGCCACAGCGGACCCCTATCGTCTCTTCTAGCGTCGCAGCGTCGTTCACTGCTGCATGACTGGTCCGATCGCGGATCTCGACTCAGGAACATCGTCGTCGACGAGAGAAGTTCCGAGCGCTGTCGCCTTCGAGGCGACGAAACCGGAGGCGCAACTGTAGCCGGTAAAGAATGACTTACTGTCATTCTTGTCGGTGAAGCTGGAAATCAAACTGCAGATACGACCTGCAAAAGCGATTAATTCCGGCTGATAATCGTTCCGGTGGATAATCGGAAAGGGAAACAGGTATGCGCCTGTCAGTCAGGTTGCCATCTTCTTCTCAACAAGAGTATATTCGGAAGGGGAAAACACGAGTTCCCAATAGATACAGAATGTCTGAGTTCAACTGTGTTGTTTCAAAGAGCTGTGTGGATTTTATGGGTGCAGAGAAGATAATGCGAATTTTCATCAATTTGGGTCACTTTCGTTGTACTTATACATAGTCACTTCAGTTTCTTGTTTCAAAAGAGTAGATAAATCGGCGCAGACTCTAACATTGTTGATGCGACGGAGGCTTGGGTTTTCACGGCGAATGTATGAATGTGTACCTTTTGAATTGAAGTCTCGTGGTCACTGGTCAGCGAACTCCTTTCTTTCTCGTTAAAAGGACACTGAAACACTAAACTGATACTGAAATCTCCTAAAAACACTTCGAAACGAATCGACGACTTAGCAGTTCCACCGATTTCGGGCTTTTTTTACTGCGAAAGCACAGTGTTTCCGACGATCATGCGCGCACTCTCGTTCTCTATCTCTCGTTGCCCTTTTTACACTAACTACTCGTCCAATCTCGTTTGGAAAAAACTATAATCGCTACCGATTATTACCACCGATACGGACAAGCCTACTCCTCAACAAACACGAGGGAGACTCCCTTTTCTGTTCATTCAGCGAAGTCTGTGGCCCCATTCTTTTTACACGACCTTACTGCCTAGTGCTGATTTGTCACATTGCCTCTGCCATGAGCAAAATTCTCGCTGCACTAGCTGAGAAACAGTCATAATAGGTCTGGGCCTTCTGGTGTCAAACACTGTCTGACGCACAATAGATACGTCAGAAAACTGAGTCATCCGTCATCTCTTCCACGACACAATTCAAATATTGTAGTGTAGTTCCATGCCATATACTGGCTCAACATCGCATAGATCGAAAAGGTTTCTGGTACGTCACGCTGAAACGTTGCTTTCGCAGCCGACGAAATACGACGTAAGCTCAATCATGTAGTTGGCCTTGCTCTTGTAATTTAGTCTAATATTGCCATATTCTTAATTTATTGGAGTCTAAGTAATATTGTTATTGGTAGTTTTTTTCTGCACCGTATAGGTACTTAATGCACATAGACATATCGACCGAAAGTGGGTGATGTGCTTCTGCTTACTTCTACTTCTTTCATCCATTATACTTCTATATAATATTGGATTTTCTTTCCCCACAACTACATATCACTTGCCGTCTCTTCTTTGATATTGGATTTTCTTTTCCTGCAACTCCACATCACTTGCCGTCTCCTGCAACTTTTCTATAACGACGTCTGCCGCTAGCTCTCCAGCAATCACTGCACCCTCCAGCATGCCCGTCCAGTCTTCTGCGGCTTCTGAGCTCGCGAACCAGATAGCTCGTCCAGGATGTTCATTGTTGAGTCCGCGAATGTCATGCGGGTGTTGGGGAAAGGCCATATTCTGGTCACTCTCCGGCATAATGTCTGTGTCATTACGCCACGCCTTGAATGTGACCATATCCGGGGAAGGAGCGTAACTGTTTGAAGGCTCTGCGCCTAATGTATTTCCTTTACTAGCAGAAATTAACATAGAAACACGCCCTAATTGCTCTAACACGTTCGCTAGAACCAGCTTTTGATAGGCTGTGCTGCCGTTATCGACGATGGTTTCCGCATGTTTTCCGTTGCCACTAACGTACTTTTGTGTCCAGGCTTGATAATCTTGTGCAAGGAGGCTCTGGTTGTTGCTGCCCAGGGCCACAAAGGCGACCAAAACATGCATTGGCTCACCGTCCACGATAACGCTCCCAGCGTCGTAGGCCTGAAAGGCGTGCGGTTGATGTTGCGGGTGGATCTTCGAGTACGAGTCGCCAGTCCCCGTGCCCCGTGGTAAGGGTAATTGCGTTCGCATCAATGCATCCGGACTCCACCACTTTTCTCGATAAAACAAAGCAATTTTTCCCGCTGGGCCCATCCAAACCGGCTGATTCGCCATTTGCTGCTTTACGTGGCGCGAGAGGTTCAACGGCGTGTTGTTTTCCACTTCCAAGCCGTTTTTACCGTCATTCTGAGCGAATTTCACGTCACTCAGCACCTTTTTGGGTGGGAAAGCCAGAACCACCTGTCGTGCACGAAAAACGCGCCCGTCAGCTGTGTGCACGGCAACCACTGTTGGGCGAGTTCCACCTGTGTCTGCAGCCGTTTCAATAGCACCAGCACCCGACGGAGACGTCCTCGACACATCTTCGGAACCACTAGTCCCCCTATGAGAAATATGTTGCTCTTCTACGATCTTGACTACTTTAGCATCCATCTCCTGATCCACGTCCTGCTCTACACGCCTCTTCAGCTCTTCAATCAACCTGCCAAGGCCTCCTCGCATGCGAGCTTCTCCGCCGAATCCACTTTCTTGAGGTATCAGGGGTAACAACGGTTTCCGATTATTCTTTTTGGAATCGTTATCCCTGGCTTGCCCAGGAGTAGCTGATGAATTTTGCTGATCCAAATCTCGTAGTAGGCGCATCATACGCGGCTGTGCGTGTGGCCAAATCCACGCGGGTCCAAGGTCCGCGCCCTGCGGCGACAGAATGCGTCCCCCGATGCGGTGCGCGCTGCTTTCCAGCAAGAGAACACTCGTTTGAGGGCGTTGCTCCAACATGCGCATTGCTGTGGTCAAACCCGAGAGACCTGCGCCGGCAATGATGACATCATACACGCGATCTACCACCGCTGAAGATGCTCCACCACTTGCCATTTTCAATAACTTCTATTCTTGAAAGATGATAAAGATTAAGATTATAATGGCCGTAAGAAAAGTGTAGGAGAGGTATTCGAGCACAAAGGAAATCTGTTGGGAATAATCAATGGCTTGCTTTTGAACAATGGGGCAAAACCTCAGTATATTGAAATCGGGACCAAACACAAAACAAGGAGTTGTATAGCATTCAAAAGCTATAAAAAAGCAGTAACAGCATGCACGAATTCACGTACAAATGAAATTTGATTGAACATCCGTCAATGAGAATGAATCGAGAGCT